ATGCTGGCCCAGAAGCCCCTTCCTCTGGGCCAGGAGCAGTAGGACAGAAGGTGGCCCAAAAGCCCTTTCCTCTGGGCTGGGAGCAGCGGAAGGGATGGTGACCAGGAAGCCCCTTCCTCTGGACCAGGAGCAGTGGGACGACAGCTCAGAAGCCCCCACCTCTGGGCCGGGAACAGCGGGACTCAGTACCTTGGTCTGGTGGTCTGGTGTCCTCTGCGTCTTCGTAGTGTGGAACCAGGTGGCTGCCCGTCTGCAGCGGGGCAGTTCGGTGTCTTCCACGCTACTTAGGACCTCGGTAGGGCGTGCACAGACCTTCCTGTGTGCAGCGGGCTGATTCGGCGTATTCCACTTGACTGGGGACCTCGGTAGGGCATGGGCAGACCTGCCTGTCTGCAGCGGGGTGATTCGGCGTCTTCTGTGTGACTCAGGACCTCGGTAGGGCGTGCCCCAATGATATGTTAAAAGATATCATTACCAAGTGCAGCTAAACAAAAAATAGATAAGTTGGTTTACTATCTGGAAATTAATAATGTAATTGACCAGATTAGCAGGCAAACTATGTGCTTTTGTCATTAGATGATGACAAAGCAGGTGACAAAATTCAACTTCCATCCATGACAAAGTTCTCAGCCTGTTAGTGTTAAAAGAGAACTTTTAACAATCTCAATCAGATAAAGGCATGAAAGGTTGAATAATGGCTCCCCAAAGACATCCATGTCCTAATCTCTAGAACCTGTGAATATTTATTTTATGTAACAAAAGGAACTTTCCAGGTGTGAATAAGTTAAGGATCTTAAATGGGGAGATTATATTGGATGATCTAGGTGGGCCCAATGTAATCGTAAGTGTCTTTATGAAAGGGGGGAAGTGATGTTAGGGTCAGAAAAAGAAGATGGAAGGAGGGCAGCGCAGGTCAGAGAAGAGAGAAGATACTACACTACTGGCTTTGAAGGTGAGAAAGGAACCTGAGCAAGAAATGCAGAAGTTAGAAAAGGAAGCGAACAAATTTTTCCCTGGCACCTAATACTTTGAATTTAGCTCAGTAAACCTGACTTTAGACTTCTGATTTCCAGAACTGTCTGACAATGAATCGTATTATTTAAAGCTGCCAACTGTGTGATAATTTGTTACAGAGCCATCAAAAATTAATATGAAAGGGCATCTTCATACTAGTTAGTGAAATGTTAACATCATATCAGGTAGCAAAAGAGTGAGTACTTAACCCCTAGCATCCTTAGCATCTACTCTACTTCTAGTCAACATAACACTGAAGATGCTGGAAGTGGTGGCAATCCCAGCATTCAGGAGGCTGAGGCAGGAGTATCACCTCAAGTTCAAGGCCAACCTAGGCTACATAATGAGTTTGAGGCCAGCCTGGACTCCAAGGTGAGACCCTGTCTCAAAACAAACAAACAAACAAGCAAACAAAAATAAAACCATTATACTGTGGGCCTTAGACAGAACAATAAGGCAGAAAAAGAGATGAAAAGCATAGAGTTTGGAAAAGAATAAGTAAAAATGTAACAACATTCAGGCAGCATGATCATCCATAGAAAAATCCAAAGAAATCTACATAAGACACTACATATGTGTTTTTAACAAGGTTGCAGGACACACATCAAATTTTGAAAATTAATTATATTTTCATACACTAACAATGAACAATTGAAAAGCAAATTAAGAGAAAATACCATTTATAACAAAATAAACTAAATTCCTTTATGATATTGTGACTCCTGGAGGATCAATGTGGGGCTGTGGGTTCCATCATGGGGGTGAGACCCACTGTGGGCTCTTCACTCCCTGGGCTCCTCGGCCTCTGAGATGTGCCAGAGGGCGGCCTATGACACCTTACTAGGTGTCTGCATGGATAAGGAAGGAAAGGTTTATAAGCACGTTGGGGACTGCAGCAAGTCTTCGTCATTGCTTAGACCCTTGGTGGCCCTGGGCATAAGCTGCAGGTTGTAGAAGGTCTTGGTGCTCATGTCTGCTCTTCCTCTGTGTCCAGGTGGATCATTATGCCTTACTGTCAACCTTGCAGCTGATGTACACTGTGGGATACTCCCTCTCTCTTATCTCCCTCTTCCTGGCTCTCAGCCTCCTCTTGTTTCTTCGGTAAGTGGAACTTCTGACATACAGGTTCATGCATATGTCATGTAATTTACTCAATGGCTGCCTCTAGAAGGCCATAGAAAATAGGGTGCATGATGTCATGGACCATCAGAGCTGGAAGTGGACTAAGAGAGCACTGAGTGTGTCCATCTCATTTTGCTGATGAATGGGAAGAAACGAGTATCTAAGTTCAGGTGAGAGGCATTGAGTTGCTACTGTCCCTAAAGCCAATTGGTCACCCATGCAGAATTTAAATCCAGGACTCCTGACACTACCTTTGGGATTTGATACCTTCTATGTTCCCACAACCAAGCAGCCAGGGCCTAACTCCCTGATCACACCCGGTAATACCACAGACCACTCTTACTGAAACTCTACCAGAGGTATTATTTTTAAAGGACTAAGAAACTTCCCCAAGGCAAGTGAGAGGTAGAGCTGGGATTTTAATCCAGGGCCCTAGCTATCAATTATTGAAGTGCTTCTTCCTAGCACTTTATGTACATGAAATCATTTAAGTCTCATTCCAATTGAATTAAGATTAATTCTAATCTTAGCAGGTTACTGCTATTACTGCTCCATTTTACAAGTGAGTGCGCAGAAACATGGAGAGATGAGGTACCAGGTGTGGTCAAAGTATTCGATGAATGTGTAAATACAAAAATGTATTACAAGAAAAGACCCACTGCCATTAATACCCCTCAAAGTACTTCCTCTCTCTTTAAACGCACTTATCTCATAGTTCTTCCCACTTTCTGAAGCAGTTCTGGGAGTTCTCTTTCATGAGTGTCTTTACTAGGTGTGATAAAAATGATGGTGAATGCTGCTGCTGAAAGCCTTCCAAATGGAAAGGCAGGCTGGTAAAAATATTACGGGGTGTGTCCTGTCTACCTTATTCATCAGATCTGGCACTGTGTGAATTACGGCTCTTCCCCAAAGTCAAAATGACCATGAGAAGTAAAAGTTTTGAACTGATTCAAGACACCAAGGCAGCTACAGCACAGTACAACTAAAGACGTACAAAAGAGAACTTCCCGAACTGCTTCAGAAAGTAACAGGAGCAATGGCAAGAGTGTGCTAGAAGCAAGGGGGAATATTTTGAGGGGGATCAATGACAATGGGTCTTTTACTGTAATTCATTTTTTAATTTAAATAGTCACTGTATTTTTCCATCACACTTAGTACCTTACCCAATGCCACCTCAGCTGGTGGGTGATGGACCCAAGATCACAACCGAGCAGTCCAGGGTCTGAGTATTTTCACTCCTTCGTACTCTCTTTCAGAATCCAAAGGCTTGGTGCATTATTAAATTGCACTTTTAGTCCTCACTCAAGTGAGATACTTATGGAGCCACCAGGGAATCCTCCAAAGCTGTCCCTTGGTCTCAGCCCTTTCAGGACCCTAAGTGAGGAAAACCTGGCAGAATGAGCATATGGCACCGATGCAAGAGGCCTGGTTGGGAACTCTGGAGACCTGACTGCTAGTCCCAGAGCAGCTCCTCACCTGAACTCTACTAGCCCAGGTCTGGCTTCATTTGATTCCTCAATTCCAGAATTTTCTGTGGCTCCAGGACCAGTCATGACCTTCCTGGAAAAGGCACTTGAGCTACAGGAGAATTCTACAGCCTGTGGCCACGATAATCTGAAATGTCCCTCCATATACCTTCCCAAAGTCCCAGAATCCAACCAGAAGAAAATAACTCCCTGGCCCTGCAGGAAGCACTGTTTTCTGAGTCTGGGTTGGATAAGTGTCTGTACTGCCTCAGGCTCCAACATGAGCAAGTCCCTGCCTTCAAATCACTTCTGGTCTAGTCAGGGAGAAGCATGCATACATGATAAAACACAATGCCTCGGAAGTAAAAAATGTGATAATAGCTTTCAAGCAAAGGAGGATGGGGTAGGGGCTGCACAGAAAGCACAGTAGTGGAAAAGGTTCTTCAGGCTAGAGAGACTGAGGATGTTCAGTGTCACATCAGCCTGTATGCCAGAGAGCTAGCAGGACATTCCAGAGACAGGCCATGCTAGCTGGCATTTTCCGGGGCACTTATTACATGCACTTTACAAGAATTGACTGATAGGCCCAGGATTTAGCTCAGTGGTTCCAGCGCCTGCCGCGCAAGTACAAGGTCCTGAGTTCGATCCCAGGTACAAAAAAGATTCTAAGAATTAAGTGATAGAACTTCCTTCTGAGATAGATGCTGTCATCCTCAGAGGCTATACAGCCTTAGAGAGCTATACTTTGGCCTCAGAGTTTCTGGGTCTGGGTCTGGATATTCACTCTGCTACTTATTGCTCTGGGACTTTGGACAGGTGGCTTAACCTTTTGCGTCAGTGAAATAAGAGTACCCACTCCTCTGATGGTCACAAGGAGTAAGGATACCTGAAAGTCCCTGCAGGTGTAAATGGGCTGGAACATGGCGTGGCATGGCCAGCAGTTACACAGGGGAAGCTATCATTACCCCATTTTATACATGGGGAAAATGAGGCCCAAAGAAGTAAGATCACCTAACTCAGCAGTCCAGGTCTGGAGCCTTTCTTTAGGTAGGTCAGGCATGCACCCGCTGGTCTGAGCCATTCTTCACTGAGGGAAGGCACTTGGTTTTCTCTTTGCACAGAAAACTCCACTGTACTCGCAACTACATCCACATGAACTTGTTTGCGTCGTTCATTCTGAGAGCCGTGGCTGTACTGGTGAAGGATGTCGTCTTCTCCAATTCCTACTCCAAGAGGCCTGACAGCGAGAGTGGGTGGATGTCCTACCTGTCTGAGGTAAGTTCCTCCCCCATCTAAATTGGCCCTTCCATTGATTGCCCCGGGCTGAGCAGGGGAAGAAGGAAGTAAAGGTGTCCAACTCTTACGGGTTGGAGATAGCATGTGTTCTACAAGCACTACAACCTCCCTACAGTGGGCCAAGAAAAGGAATCAGAAGCAGATAGGTTTACTACCTCTACTGTGGGTTCTTGGGTGGGAAATTTTTCATCTGTAAGCAAAGTAATTGGACCAGCTTAACCTTTTTTACAATTAGTTTTTTTAAAGCAGCAAAGCTTTTCCACATTGAAATATACGGGTTGTTTGTCCAGTAACCTGCTGCAATAACATTGCATTCCTAAATTTTGATAGATTATTCTTTCTCCTATATTTCTGATTTCAGTTTGCTAATATTGTGTTTTGTTTAGTATTTCCTCACTGATATTCATGAGGAAGATTGGCCTATTATTTTCTTTTCTTGTAATACCTTTGTCAAGTTTGTGTATCAAGTTTGTGCTGATCTCTTAAAATAAATTGGTATATGTTCCCTCTTTTATTATTTCTGGATGAATTCATTTAAGATTTATATTATTTCTTACTTGCATGTTTAATAGATTATACCAGTGAAGCCAATTGGACATGGAATTTCTGTATTGGAAGGTTTTGAATTATAGGTTAATTATGAATCTTGTGTTTTCTATTCTGGTGTCAGTGGTAGTAATTTTTCTAGGAATTTGTTTACATAGTTCATCTAACTTATCAAATTTATTGATATAATATCATTCATGGTATTCTCTTTGGATCTTGTTAAAGTCTGTAATTGTGTTCTCATTTTCACTCCTGATATTGATGATTTCTGTCTTCACTCTTTCTCCATTTGATCATCTTTACAAGGAGTTTCTCAAATTTATTGAAATTTTCAAAGAACAAGCTTTTGGCATTGTTGATCTCTTTCATTAATTTCTGCTTCTATTTTTATTATTTCAATCCATATACCTTCTTTGGATTCAGTTTACTATTCTTTTTTTTAACCTTCCTGGCATGATTTTAGATAACCAGTTTTCAACTTTTATCTTTTAAATAAGTGTACTTAAGGCTGTAAGTTTCATTCTAGGCTTGCTATTAGCTGCATACCACAAGTTTGGTATGCAGTATTTTCCTTATACGCAGTTCAGGAATATTTTCTAATTTCTGTAATAATTTTCTCTTCAATCCCTGGGTTACATAGAAGTCTGTTTTCTCATTTCTCATCATATAAAGATTTTTAGTTATTGATTTCTAGCTTCATTGAGCTCAGGTGAGCAAATACTTTTAGTGTTTCCATTAGGGCAGGTATCGATGATAAATGTTCTCATTTTTTTGCTTAAAAATATCTAGAATGTTAAGGAAGAACTACTTGAACCCCTCTTGATGTTTTATATTATTGCCAACTTCTCTGGGATGATCAGCCAGGGCTGGGGAAGACAGGGGAGGCCTTATGCCTCAGGAGGTCTTTCTCTGTCCACTCAGGGTCCAGATGCTGGGGAAGCCAGGGCTCACCTTCAGGTTTTCTTCCCCATAGGTGTCCACCTCCTGCCGCTCTGTCCAAGTGCTGCTGCACTACTTTGTGGGCGCCAACCACTTATGGCTCCTGGTTGAAGGCCTTTACCTCCACGCTCTTCTGGAGCCCACAGTGCTTCCTGAAAGACGGCTGTGGCCCAGATACCTGGTGGTGGGTTGGGGTGAGTGACGTGACTTCCCAGCCTCCTCTCCTGAGAACTCATCAGAACATGGGAGCCCTATAAAGTCTTAAGAGTTAGGAATCTAACTGGAGGGGAACTTCTGGGACAGGTAATTCCTGGATGATAAGAGACTCGGAAGAGAAGTGCACACAGGTGTGTGTGTGTGTGTGTGTGTGTGTGTGTGTGTGCATGCTGCATATGTGCAGATACTGTATGCCCAATGCAAAAATGGAAAGGTCTTGGGGAGGGGATTTAGCTCAGTGGTGCCACACCTGCCTCGCAAGTGCAAGGTCCTGAGTTTAATCCCTAGTAACAAAAAAAAAAAGAAAAAAAAAAGGAAAGGTCTTTGGTGGCATCAGATGACAACACACTGTTTCCAGCTTCATTAGGTATGCTCATGGTGCCATAAGAAAATACCGTTGTGGCTTAAATAACAGGCATTGATTTCTTGTGCTTCTGGAGGCCAGGAAATCCAGCATGAATGTGCTCTCATGAGAGCTGTCTTCCTGGCTTGCAAGCAGTTGGTTTCTTGCAGGGAATATGGGGTTGGCAAGGAGAGAGAGAGAGAGAGATCGCTCTCTGGTCTCTTTTTATAAAGACATTAAGAGCCAGGGATTTAGCTCAGTGGTGCCGCTGCCTACCTTGCAAGTACAAGGTCCTGAGTTCGATCCCTGGTACCAAATAAATAAATAAAGGCATTAAGCCCATCATGAAGATGCTATCTTTGTGACCTCATCTATCCTTGATTGTCTCCAAAGGCCTTACCTCCAAATACAATTACATTGGGAGTAGAGCTTCAAGATGTAAATTTGATAGTACAACATTCAGTCTATAACACCAAGTATTTAAAGTGATGTTTTTGATTTAAAGAACAAAAGCAAAAGTATCCAGATCTGGAACCCTATCTCCACAAACCCTTGGAGAATTTGATGCTGCAGGATTCAGACAAAATAACCTAAGTCTGTGATTCAGGAGATTTTGGTTAATGTGTTTAGATTTATTCTAAACTGTAGTTTAAACTCTTCTTTGGGTGCTGCTTTCTCTGAGAGTAAAGGAATGGAGAGGCCAGTGCTGCCTTAGCTCTCTCCAGCTCTCACAGTTCGTGATTCTATATTTGGGTTTTTACAAGTTTTAATCAGCTGTTCTGGGCCCCATTAGGCTGGGGTGGGAGGCAGGCATGTTTGACTGGTCTTCTCCTAATTACATTCCCTGTCGTTTCTCCATAGCCTTCCCTATGCTATTTGTTGTCCCCTGGGGCATTGCCCGTGCACTCCTGGAAAACATGGGGTAGGTAATTCATCTGGTTTTACTCTTCCATCAGCCAGTAATTTCCAGATATACCCAAATATAGGAATGACACCATTTCCCCAAAGAGAACATTTAACTCCCCCAACTTTGTCCTTTTAGAATATACTTAGAAATGTAGACAAAGTGATCAAAGATCTTGTAGTAATTAGTTTATTAATTTACTTACACAGGCAAATGAACATATATATATATATTGTTGTATAGGTATGCTCGGTATGTGAGGATGTAAGCACAGGAATACTTCTTGCAGCATTGTTCACAGTGAGGAGAAAAAAACCCCCCAAAACCCCAAAAATCCCTGAATGGCCATCAGTATGAGAATCATTGGCTAAATGGTAGCATATCTATATCTTGGAATATTATGGAAAAGAACAAGTTAGTTCCTACTTTTTCACTTTAAAGCCTGTTGCTGAAAAATGTATGTTGTGTTCCAAATAATCACCATCAAAAACAAGGAAAAACAGTTTTCTTAAGTAATAAAGAATCTGTACCTAAGGATTTATATTTGTATGATCATGTAGAAAAATTTAGAAGGATCCATACACTGTACTGTTAAGAATGAAGAACAACTTCAAGGTAAGAAAAGCTGACAGTACCAGGACTGACACAAGGATTTTAGTCTTCTTTTCTCCTGTCCCACTCCTTAGGAGAACAATTGGCAGAAAGTGTTTAAAGTAAGGTTTGCTCCACAGGGCGTGAGATTTTGCCATTCAACCTCATCTCATTTTTGTCTTCTCCTGCCTGCTCTTTGCCCTTAGATGCTGGGCAACAAATGGGAACAAGAAAATCTGGTGGATCATCCGAGGACCCATGCTGCTTTGTGTAACTGTAAGGACCATCCCACTCACCTCTGTCCCCTCTGAGCTCAGCAGCTGGGGGGGGACATCTCCTTATTCCTATCTCCCAAATTCTCTGGCGCCTTGAGAAGGAGAAGCCGAGGTGTGAGCAGTTTCTGCTGAATGAGAATTTAGAGACTTCTTTTTGTTTGGGTTCAGGATCTAAATTCAGAGTTACACTTAGGTCTCCTTCTCTCTGGGCCTGCAGAGACCTGCAAAGACATGAAGTCAGCTCTGTGACTCATACTGAAGGACTGAGAGGCCGAGGAGGCCCTGGGGCAGGGCAGGAGGAGCCAGCAGAGCCATCAGGCTTGTATCTTCACACCCTTAGCGGGAGGGAGGAAGACATCGAGGAAACACAACCAGTATTAACATGAAGCTGTTATGGGTAGTAGAATCAGGACATGGATGTTACTCTGAGATCTTAAGGGGGAGGGGCTTTGATTCATTACAGTCAGAGTATTTGGGATGGGAAGAGATGTCCGACCTTGAGTCATAAGGTCCCTTTAGATTGGAATGTGTGAAGATGAAATCTGTCAGAGATGCTTGAGGAAAAGGCCAAGGAGTTAGCCAAAAGTGGGAAAGACTGACAAGATCCATGGGTGGAGGGCAGAAAATCTTTGGCCTACACATAGTGACCTCATGGCTGGGTGTTAGGCACTGCATTCCATGTTCTGCTGACTCTCTTCTCTGAGAAGTTGCTTGATTTGCTATTTTATGTAAATAACATGGTGTCATGAAAGAAAAAAAAATCTAGTTTTCATAGAATGTCAATATTGGTCAATAATAAAAGGCAGCTCTCTGCTCAGACCTAGAGGGAAGAATGTTTATAAAAAAGGTGGGAGACCAGGGGCGCAGAGAGACCCCAGCCTCCAAGGGCTAGGTCATGTCACATCTGGTGTATGAGGTGATGCACAGCTGCTGATGTCTTCCCTCCGGCCACTAGAAACACAGCTGAGAGTAAATGTTCCGAATGAAGTCAGGTGCACATGCCACTCGCAGCTCTGGGAGCCCTGCCTTACACCCCCATCTCTCATTACTCCACAATCCACCCTTTCTGGCCATGTAACCCAGCTGGGGTCCCAGCATCCACCTCCTACCCAGGCACCTCAGCTATTGCCTGGTAGCATTTATTGGATGCTTCCTACCTAGCAGCTCCAGTTCTAAGTGCCCTGTGTGTATGAACTCAATTAATCTTCCCAACCGACTATGGGATAGGTGCTAGTATTGTATTTATTTTGGGGCAAGGACACTGAGGTGAGAAGTTACTGAGAAGTCATAGAACCAGTAAGTGGGAGCTGGATCTCAGCCCAAAGGCTCTGCCTGGGTGGCAGCTGGCACCTGTAACTATAACACTGTGCAGCTGCTCAAAACATATTTATTGCCTCTAGAGCCTGGGCCTGGAATGTTGACTGTCGCAGACTGTTTCAAACATTAGTACCTTGGTTCAGATTCTCCCTGGGACCCAATTTCTTCACTCCACCATTTATTCACTGTTGACCTACTGCTTGTCTTCTAAGTCTCAGATCAAGCATCAACTTCTCTGCTTCTGAATCTGGACACTCAGATCACAAAGTAGAAATGGTCATATCCTCTTTTGCATCTTTCCTGGTTCTCATTCAGGCTTATCTCCAGCCCCTGTAAATGTCAAGTGCTTATTTGAAAACTATTTGGTGCCACTGTAAACTGCATGTTCTATTTATCCTGGCAAGCTAGCCCAAATATATGGTGAATTCAATGCATTTATTCAGTGGGTGTTTGTGACCCACACTCCAGGCCCTGGAAGATTCTCACTAGCTAATAATAAATCAGGAGAGAAGCCAGTAGTCCTCTCCATAAAAAGGTCAGACTCTATCCAGCTGGATCCCTAATACTCACTGCAATCTTCTAGAAGCTACATCGATAGCTTACAATATGTCTCAAACTTAAATTCACTTAGAAACAGTAGGGATGTCTTTACATTCTTTTGGCTTGAGTGTGTCTCCTGGACATTTATGTTCCATTGATCTTAGAAGTGGCTCCCAGAGAGTGGGTTTTAATGTACAGCTGAAATTGAAAAGCATTTGACTCACCTTTGCTCTTCAAAAAGTGGTTCTGGGACCATTAACACCAACATCAGACTGTGATATGCTTGTTCTAAATTCAGGTTCTCATCTCCTACCTGCCATACCTACTGAATCAGAATTTGCATTGTACCAAGATCTCTAGGCTTTAGGTGCACATTAAAGTCTGTGAAGCTCTTTGTCCATAGCTATGATTCTCAAAACTGGTTGTGTGTTAGAAACAGCACAGTAGCCCAAACCAATGACATCAACAATTCTAAGAGTGGGATCCAGGCAGCTATAGTTGTTTGTTTGTTTGTTTGTTTGTTTTTGGTACTGGGGGTTGAACTCAGGACCTTGCACTTGCCAGGCAGGCGGGGCACCACTGAGCTAAATCCCTGCCCTAACTATAGTTTTAAAAGCTCTCAAATAACTCTAATGAGTGGATAGGGCTGAAACCACTGCTCTAACCTCACTACTTCAGCCTTCCATGGCTGGCTGACCAGCATGCCAGCTTCTCCTACTGCTTCCTAGTTCCTGGAAGGACATTGTCTCCTAGCAGGGCAAGCAAATGCACTCTATCTTCTTCCCTTGGATAAAATAAGCTTTACTTGCTGTAGCTTCAACAGCTCTAGTAGTGGTTGACTCCACAATCACCTTAGCTCACAATGGATTCTTTGTCTTCCCTTCCAAATGTTCTTCTCCTGCTTCTTACCCCACTTAGTAAATGATTCCACCATTCACTACCCATACACCCATTACAAAGCTTGGTATCCTCCTAGCCTTTATCTTTTTATTCCCTGCAGTATCCACTCAGGCTTCAAAGCTTGTCTACTCTTCCTCTAAAGATCCTTACAACTCATCTCCTTTTCCTTAATTTCACTTTGATGGCTCTTATTTATTGCTCCGATATTTCTTATGCAGACTTTGCACATGCCTCCTCTTTGGTCTCCCTTGCTTCATTCTTGCTCCTGGTAATTAATTCTCCATATTTCAGCCAATTTCTTTTCAGTGCTGAGAATTGAACCCAGAGCCTCATACACCAGAAACAAGAGTGGCCTTTTTAGAGTAAAAGTTGATTATGTCTCTTTTCTACTTATAACTCTTAATGGATCACTATTTCCCTCAGGCATGGTTCCAAACTCCTTAGTGTGGTAAGCATATCCAACCACAGTACCCCATGTTCTATGTACTGAAGTGAATAAACTCAATGTTCTCCAAATCTAATTCCCCCCTCCCTTTATATTCCTTCTTTCTGAAATGCTCATCTTATGGCTTCACATCTATCTAGTGAACTTTTTCTCCATGGAAACCAAGCCCTGAATTACCCACCCTCAATTAACAGAAATCAATGAGCATGCCTGCAATGGACTATTTCATAACAATATTAGAGAAGACAGTGCTAAACTATTGTTGCCTATGTCTATAGAGGCTTGGACAAGAGAAAATGACCTTGAGTAGAAACTGAGGAAAATTCCCTCTGGTCAGAGGCAATAATATTGAACCACGAACTTGTAGAACACTGACATGGACCATAGAGAAAGACTTTGGAGTATCCATCTCTATCAGTTTCCAAGAAGAGACTCGGTCCTGAACAATAGGGACTTAAACCTGATGACTTCTCAGCATGCACAGCTGTAGGATTTTAGGATTCTGTGCATTGGTTTCAGGGCTTCCCAGAAGCAAATCTGTAGGAATCTGTATGTTCTACCAGACAGGAAAGGGAAACAAAAGGCCCATAGGAGCTGATCTAAGAGTCAGGAGCGGAGGCCTGATTTGTAATATACTTTTGAGCCAAGTGATTTGACCTCTTTCACTTCTATTTATTTAGAGTTGGACCAGGTGATTCTGCCCTTTGGAGGCATTTGGCCGTGTCTAGAGAAATTTTTAATTGTCACAAATTGCTGAGGGGGTTACTACTGGCATCTAGTGGACGAAGTGCAAGGATGCAACTCAGTATCTTAGGATGCACAGAACATCCCCCAGAACAACTAATTATCCTGCCCCAATGTTAGTAGTGGTGAGGTAGAGACACTCTTGGCTGGACAGTGGCTGTGCATTGAAAAACCTGGGCAGGCTTAGCAATACCCAGCCTAGACTCCACCCAGATTGATGGAATCAAACCTCCTGCCATATAGAACTTTCTTAGTGCTGGACTCTCAGTTACCCATCTTTTCCTATAGCATTCTTTGAGCACCTTCTCTGTGCTGGCTTGGTGCTAGGTTCTTTCACAGTTTTCTCTTCAAGGATTTAGAATTTAGTAATTATCATTCTGAGACTCATTAGATTGAATCATATCTGCCTTCATGCTTGGTCATATGACCACATATTGCAGTTTCCAACAATCTGAGTAGGCATAACCCCAACTCCAAAAGAGAATTCCTTTTGGAGCTTAGGTCCCTGAATGATTGCATGGATCAGTGTTCTCACAGTGCACTAGACTATGACATAAGAAAAAAATGAAACCTTTGTTATATTAAGAAAAAATATATTCCTCGACCCTTGTATATATTCTATATAAACTAAAATACCAAAAAAGTAATATAGTAATTGAGATTGAGCTGGTAGCACTTGGCATTTCAGGGTACTTAACACTTTTCTTACATCTTGGCCAAATTTGAGCCTGAGCCTATTTTCTTAAGCATCACTCAGGGGCTTCTGGGGAAAAGCCAGCTGTTCATGGTGAGCAGGGCCTTTAGACAAGAAGTATCCCACCGCAGATGTAGGTTCCATAGTGAGCATCCCAGCATCACAGGTGAACCTCTCCACACCCCTGCTTTGGCTCTGCATTTGCTTGTCAGAATCTGAGTTGAAGACATGTTGGAAGACTTCATCTGATGCTCTGTTGGTACCTGGTTTCCTGTTTTGAAAATGCCCATAATATGACAACCTGAGGAATCCAAATATTCTTTGGGTCTTTCACCAGACACAGAAATCTGAGAATTCTCACCTCTTTCTTTGTATAAGACATTGTGTAGTACTTCAGTACTTAAATTAACCTGTTGTACATTTAGAGTTGAGTCATATTGGAACACAATATATTCTTTTGCCTAAGCCTCCCCAATCCCCATAGGAAATTGATAAAGCTTTGCTTGGTCCAGCCTTTTAAGTTATTATAGTGTGCAAGGTCATTCTATCCATATCCTGCCCTCTGGAGTTAACAGATGGGCCAGACTGAACACCCAATTGAAAGACATTTTTTGAATCAACAATTTGAATGAACCATGAAGTCCCAAAGTCAAAACTGTCATTTATGCTCCTTGATTTTCTTCTAATAATCTAAGAACATTGCAAAACTGAGATATAGGCAAGATGAGTCATTATTGGCCTTATATCTCTTTAGGTCCTCTGCTCTACCAGGGACTCAGGGGCTGTCTGCTGCTCCAGGCTTCTCAAGATATCTCCTCACTCTCATATTCTCTTCTGAAGAGTTCTAGTGGGAGTTTCCCTATAGTGTATTTTCTTACCTCCATCAAAACTTAACTTTTCTGCATCCTGTCTTCAACTTTCCATGGTGAAAGTAAATCAGATCATAAGTATTTATTTATCAAAATGAATAAGAGAATTTCCTCCCTCCTCGCTCATCTCCCTCTCCCCATCATTCCTTACCTTCTATGGGACACAAACACTTCAGCAGGGCTCTTAGAGAAAGTGTATTTTCTCCACAAGAAGTAGCTCTAAGGGTAGACATTTTAGTCCACATATTAGGCCACAGAATCGGGGACTTGGGGTGCAGTGGCAGAGTTAGGGGGTACATGAGAACGCCCTCTGAGTTCCTGCCAGGTTAGCAACCACCTCTGTCAACCTGTAGGCCTTGTGCACAGATGCTGGAGAGGACAAAAGTATGTAACATCCAAAAATGCAGCTGTGGTGTCTAGGACCTGGAAGGGTGCCTTATATGACCCATTGGTTGATGCCTGTTTTCTCTTGTCCAGTCTCTGGAAGACAGAAAGAAGAGAGAATCCACATGCTGCTCATTCCTGCTTCATTTCCTAGGAGACAGTGCTGATTGAAATTAATTTGCTGAAATATGTGCCTTTCTCCAGTTAAGCTTACTTTGTGAGAAAAAATGACTGTGTTCAACAAATCACTATTCTCTTTATGACGAAAAACAGATATCCCATTAAAAGGATATATTACTTGTTACATTTAGTTTGTATTTAAATTTTCTGTTGCTAAATATCCTTTGGCTGGGAAGCTCCATCATTCCTGCTGGCTCACTGATTAGATAAATAGCCACTTGCCTGAAACTCGAGCTTGTTAGCGTTGAATATTGATTCCCTCAAGGCCAATACAGCAATTAATAACAGGTACATATTGGATTCTATGGCTTGTGTTTAGTTAAAGAATTTTGTTTCTAGACAGGGACATTAGTACGGGGCTGGATCAATATCAGTAGAGACTTTATTCCATTAATTGTCACCTGATCGCCCTTTTTGTTGGCTCTTTCTCCACTGCACAGAAACATCAAGTCTTTTCAATTTTAAAGAGCAACTGTCACCCAAATCCTCATCCAGCCCTGCAAAAGAAAGTGGAATGACATTATCTCCATTCTGTGCCCCTTGTCCACTTCTGCTCTATCACTCTACTTACCTTCACAGATAAGCCTTTTAACTATTGCCTACCCTGTCTCTATTCTCTAGATTTCATTTTAAAAACAAAGCATTGCAATCTGGCTTGTGCCCTTTCTCTGCCCAGCAGCTTCTCTTAGTGCTTTGTTGCTACATGCAGTCATATTTTGCCTAAATTCCAAGTAACCTTTAAACTTTCTCACCATTCTTCCTTGCTTGGGCTTTCAAGATTTCACTTTCATGTGGCTCATTCCAGCTGCCTCATGGTTCTTTCTTAGTCTCCTTTCCTGTCACCACTCCCTCCACCATTCTCTTCATTCTCTCCCTCCCAATTTACAGTCTTTGTGGATAATCTCACCATATTCATGGCTTTCTGCTCTGGTGGGGATCTTTCTGTTGAGATCTAGATGTGCTTCCTTGGTACACCTCTATTGAATGCCTCCTCACCTTCCCATCTCCAATGCTCTTCCTCCTCCACACTCTCCCTCTCTTGATGATAGGTGTTATCACACATGTGAGATTTGTGATGAAACATCAGGATCATCTTTGACCTCACATGCAACCGGTAACAAAGTTCACTTGACTCTAACTTAATAATTTCAGATGGCCCACTCCTCTCCATCACTGAAATCCCAGGGCAGCTCCTTGAGTTCACCTCTCCATCATCTTCCCTGAAAACTGAAAATCCCTCCCAGCTGGTCTTCCTTCCTCCAGTCCAACCCATTCTCTATACTGATGAGAGAAATGAGCTTTCTGAAATGCAGAAGTACAAATCTAATCAGGTCACTTGCCTGCTTCAGATTAATCATGGGCTCTCCATTCCTTTGGAAAGGCAACTTGAATCCTAAGTATGACCATGATTGACCCTCCTTCCCTCCCTCTCCAGTCTCCTCACATACCCTGTCCCCATTCACCAGGCCCATGTTCAATCAATTTTCTACACCTCTGCTCGAGGGTCAGCTCAAGGTGGCTCACACCAATGGCTGGAGAGCAGTGCTGGTTGGTGGTGGGAAGACTCCATTCTCTCATGTGGGTCTCTCCTCAGCCAGCTAGAACATCCTCATAACATGGCTACCAGCTTCCCTCAGTGTGAGCAATCCCAGAAAGAGCATGCCAGGTTGGAAGCCATCCTTTTGAGGACCTAATTCAGACATCATGTAGCATCATTTCCACCATATTCTTTTTATTAGATCCAGGTTAATAAATCTAGCTTATATTTGGGGTTGGGAAAAGTAAGGGGGAAAATGAGCTCTGCCTTTTGAAATGAATTTTGTATACATACTTTATAATTTCTACCATGGTTAATAATAAAGGGCTGGATTTGTCCAGTTGGGAGGATCACTGAGTTTGAGGCCAGCCTGAACTATATAGCAAGGTCCTAAATAAATAAATAAATAAATAAGACCCTGGGGAGGTAGCTCAGTGTGAAGACCCTAGGTTTATCTCTGGTACTGCAATGTGATGATGATGATGATGATGATGATGATAATCATAATCATGTAAATGTCCATCCACCTTTCTCTGATGGCTTCAAGACCAGGGCCTCCTTGAGGCAGAAGATTAAACTGAATGATGAGCCAAGATCCCTTCCAGACTTTCAGATCACATGGCCTTGGGACCATGGAGATTACTATAAGCACTTACTAAGATAGCTGTCAAATTGCCCTGGGTTCACACGGGTGAGGAGCTGATGGCCAAGCCCCAGGTGACCTTGATATTCACAACAATATGGAGTTCACCTCTTACCCACATCTGCTTTTTTCTTCCCCCAAGGTCAATTTCTTCATCTTCCTGAAAATTCTCAAGCTTCTCATTTCTAAGCTCAAAGCCCATCAAATGTGCTTCAGAGATTATAAATACAGGTGAGTGGCCTGAGGTCAGTGTTCAGAACTCCAAGGTTATTTTCAATCTTTCTGATGGGAAGAAGGGAAAAAGCTGCTTTCGTATATTTGTCTCCCAAGGCTTTTTGAAAAAGTTATTATTGCCTATGACAAAAACCTTCAATCTCATGAAAATGAGGTGAGTGGTAAGTAGTAAAGCGCACACTCATTCCCCCCAGCAGGGGACTGTTATAATGTCCCTAAGAACAAGTGATTTATGGACAAAGTACAGCCTTGGTCATTACTTTCCTTGGGGAAGAATTTGAGGCAACAGAATAAAAGATATATTCGTAACTCAGAAGAGAGTATATGGGTATTTTTGAGACCTTGACAAATAAAGCCACAAATTTCTAGAGTCTAAGGAAATACTCTCAACAGAGTTACTTTTCTTTGTGACTCACTTTTTCCATGACTTGCCCTCTTCTTTCTGTGGTGATAGCAGCCCTTGTTTGTCATAAATCAGACATATATTTGAGATCTGCATAGATGTGAAAATAAAGAATGAACAAATGAATGAAAGGTAGGGGGCTCCTTTCCTCTTTTGTTAGTTATTCTTTGCTTTCCAGCAGCAGGTGCATTTCAGCAGGGCTATTAAGGAGATAGTGTTTTAACTCAAGTAATAGGGAATTTAGTCCACATAGCCATCCAGAGAAAGAGGGTGTGAGTAAAGACAGGTCCAGTCCTGCTTCTCACTCTTTATAAGGCTATCCAAAGGCCTGGAAAGGTAGTTTTTCCATTTACCAGACAAATAATTAATAAATGCGGCCCAAATCCCTGGCACTGTGCTTGGAACAAAAGGCAAATGCAATGTAGACCCAATCTTTGAGGTATATGTCTGCTACTTTATTAAGGACTAAGACATTGGTGTGGGGTATGAGACAGCAGAGAGTGGGCTAGCCACACCCCCAGACCTTAGGGAAGTGGCTTGGTCTCTCTTAGCCTGTTTTCTGGTGTTTAAAATGGGAATGTCATGGCAGAACCATCTCCTATCTGTTATGATGTTTCAAGGAGGTTGTAGATATGGGTGGCCCAAACTAATCAGATGTGGGGAGAAGCATTTGCTCAATAGCCAGACCCCAAATCCTATCTTCCCCAACTCCTCCCTCCAGGAGGTCTAGAAGGATAAACATAATGCGTTCAGGAATGGGCAAAGATATATTACAGTTGCTAGTTAGGGCTTTGGCCCAAACATTCTGCAGAAACCCCTATCCCTGGTTAACTGGCCTGGCCTAAGCCTGGGGGAGGGAGTTGTGCTGTCTCTCCTGGCACCTCTAGCCAGGCCTCCAAGTGGCTAAGCAGCCTCTTTGGCACCTTTCCCAAGGCTGAGCCTCTCCAACTTCTCTGAAGATAGAGCTCCAAGAGCTGTTTGGGTCCATTCAGGGAGAGTGATCCTCTTCATAACCTCATAGAAAGGCGGACAGGGTGCCCCACACACTGGACAGAGGTAAATACCCCCAGGAGACAGAAACTGGCAGCAGATGAGTTGCAAGGGGCTCCAAGCCCCATCCCTGTAGCTTTGTGCTACCAGAGCCCACTGTGTCCCCCTGGGATCTGCTCCATGTTCTAGACCTTCCGTGATCCTGACAGTAGTTTTCCATCCTGTCTGCTTGTAAGCATCCCCCAAAAGCCCACTCAGAGCACAGCCTTGTGAGCCATACTACTGGGTATTCTGACTCCAGAAATGTGAATCCCATCATATGGACTTTTTACAGACTTCCCCAGGAGATTCAGAGTGAATGACTACTGATCAGCTGCTCTAGTGACATACAACACATGGAATTTTCAGCTTGGGTGATGGTGAATGTGTTTCTATACAGCTGCATTATCCTCTTTTCCAAGGTCCCCTCTACAGTTGTCCAAGAGAATGGTTTCTAAGATTTTCTGATCATGCATCTTGACAGTAAAGAAATTTTGAGCCTGCCCCTCATCATATATATGCAGTCTAATAATGAACTAGTATATATATATAGAGAGAGATAGATAGATAGATAGCAAAAATGGAAAACAAAAGATAAAACTGATACACATAATACTCCTATTATCTTTTATGATTATATTTTCTCCCAATATTAAATCAATTGGTTTACACAGCCCTGAAGGGTGTATACCCACTTGGGAGCCATAACCAGGAGAAGGTTAAATAAAGACTTGGAGAGACCCTTCCCAGGATAGGTGTTTGAGGAGTGAACATGTAAGCCTTGCTGACATACACAATCTGTCTGGAGACTCCTTTTTCCTCTCCCCACCCTGTTGAAGGAAAATGGGTGAGAAGAGGAATCTGGGTAAGGGTCTACCCAAAGGCTTCACCTGGGCAAGTTTGTAGACACCTAGAGGCTGCATGGCAGACCTCTCTCAGTTCCTATGTGGCTGACTGATGACACTGAACTCACAAGTAAAAGCTAATGTCTATAAAGTAGACTGTTGTTTTGTTTTTTGTTTGTTTGTTTGTTTGGTACCAGGGATCAAACTCCAGACCTTGCACTTTCAAGGCAGACGGAGGAACCACTGAGCTAAGTCCCCAGGCCCATTGTTCGTTTTTAATGTCTTTGGAAGTGGGGATAGGGTAAGCATTTCTTTCTAGGACCCACAAGCTTCACAGAGTTTCCTGTTCCCAACATTAGAAGATCCAGAAATCAACAGAATATTGTTTGGTGAACACACTGTCAAAGTAGAGTGGTTGGAGTTGCTGGATACCTGAGAAACCACCACTGGCCATATGCCATCTACTCCTTGAGAAGGAGGTTCATCCCCCTGGCCAGTGCACCTTCCACTGAGCAGGGTGGGATAAGCACCTATTTTCCTCCTTCTCTGTGCTCCTACCACCTACTGGTTGGCCATTTCCTTTCTGTTTACTTACTCATTTTCTGTCTCTAATACAGGTCATTAGTTTATGCTTATTAATTAGCGAAGCGTCAGAGATTCATCTCTCAGGAAGCCCCAACCACTTTATTTTACCTCCTGAGCTGGAGAATCTTACAGCATCTATGATCTCATTTGCCTACTTTGCTCTCAAAAATCAGCGGGAATTCCCTCATTTCTGTGTTCTGGAGCACTGTCTACAGTCACCCAAGGGATCATCAGCCTGCTGCTTTCACAGGACCCAACCCAATTCCCTCCTCCATGTTGGCTTTCCCTGGAAGCCCTCTGAGGGGTAAGGAAGAAGGGGCCACGGGGTCCAATACATGTCATCCAAACTCCTGTAGATAATGGCTGCCACCATCTCTGAGACTTAGAGAATTTTCAGAATGTAATGTTCAAGATCTGGCACCCCTCCAGGAGTATATTTTAGGAAAATTTAAATTAAACACATTTAGGTCCTGCCAAGGAGGCAAGCTGCTAGGAGCTAGAGAGCCTTCTGTATTCTTAGCCCTCATCCCCGAGCTTCCACCATCAAGCAAAGGAAACAGTAAATGCTCGTCTCTCTGGATTGGTGAGGGAAACTGAGCCAAGCAGGAAGGAGGAACTTCAGACCTATAAACAGGGCAAGCAGTGACCTTGGAACTTGGACAGGGCCCAGCAGACTCTCAGCTCCTTTGGAATTGTCTGTTCTTTTCAGTTCCCAGTAGGGAGGTAGCTCTCGTCCCCTAAATGAGTTTAGCTTTCCATGTGGTATTTGAGGACTAGACTTTATAATGAATTTATAAAAGAAAATCATTTCTTAACATGCTAAATCTCATAGACTTTTCTGAAAAGATCTCTCTGGTGGGCAATGGAGAGGGAAAAAAGGTTTTGTTCGAACTTCTTAGAGCCTTTGCCTGGGTCTAAAAACAAATCAATAAAACACATTAACAGGAGAAAAAGCGTACAGGGTTTATTTAGAAGTTTTATGTGACTCAGGAGTCTTTATAAGGAAACGAAGACCCAAAGAAACAGTCAGATTTGTACATTTTTATGCTAGGTTTGATAAAGAATCATTGAATAAAAGGGATGTGATATAATGGTAATAACTGGGGAGAAGCTGGCATGGCCTACATATTCAGATTCTTCTTTCTGCCCCCATGTCTTCAAAGATAAGGTTGTTCCTTTGCTGTGGGTAGAGGGAGGGCACCTCTCCAATAGGGTCTTACAACCTACTTCCGGGGAAGGTCAGAAAGTCCTTCCTAGGGTATTTGAGCTACTTTAGAGGAGAGAGTTGGAGGGAAGTCAGAGAGTGATCTTCCTGCTTCTGCAGTTTTCTCAGAACCTTCAGCTTTAAAACAGTCTGTTCAGGTGTCATATTTGGGAGTAATGTATTCTGAATCCCATCAGCAATCACCAACTAAAAATGTCATGAATGGAAGTTAAAAATTGACAAAAAATCAGTGATGTGATAGTAAAGGGGAGAGATGGCTTCTTTAAAAATAGTTATAAACTACACCTATCGATCATTTATCATGCATTAGATACCCTCTATTCTGAGAATTTACCCCATGTTGTTTGCTCAATGTTTATGATGACCCTGCCATATAAATGCTATTATTAATTTAATCCTCTTTCAACAGATGAGGAAACTAACAGAGAGCTTAAATAATGTGCCCAAGGTCACCATGCTAGTAACTGATGATATTGGTATTTGAACCCAGACCCAAGACGTGGGTGCCCCACCCTGCTGCCTTTGGCTACTACTACTCCCCTCCCTCTGTACTTGCTCATGTACCTAGAGCTGATGTTCAGTAAACATTTGTCAAATAGTTAAATGCTACAATAAACTATACCATTTAAATAAACAAATGGTTGTGGGTGAAAAATAAGTGTACGCACGGTCCATAAGAGTAAACTGCTATGGCTATTTATGGATTTTCATCTGAACTGGGACAAAAATAGTACTGTAGTCTAAGGAGAAGTTAGAATAACAGAAGTAGTGGCAGATCTCTTGTTGCAGCCATCCAGAGGGGTGGGAGTGACTAAAATGACCCAAAACTTTATTAAAAGATATTTTATTCTTTAAAAACAAGCATCCCATACTAAATGAAATGTGAGAAAATGAGTAAAATCCAAATAAAGTCTGGTGTTTAGTTACTAGGAATGTTTCGATCGATGCTGTCTCCCTGGTTTTGACAAATTACCACCTTCGTGTAACATGTTAACATTAGGGGAAACTGAGGAAACGGTATCTGGAGACTCTCTGTACTACCTTTTCTGTAAATCCAAAATTATTCCAACATAAAAAATTTATTTTAAAAACCCAAAATAATTTGCTGGTAAGAGAAGGGCTCACAGGTGAGCATGTCAGTATGTTCTATTAAAACCCAGAGCAAAGGTCATTTTGCAAGGGCCAAACAAATAACACAAGTGAGTAGTTCAGGCCCAGCATGGGCTGGAGATTCCAGGTTCCATCTAGAGGGTCAGGGATAGGAATCACCTGGCTGTGGCCAGCAATTGCCAAGTAGTTGTCTTGGGCCATGTGTTGCCAGATAACCCATTTTCCAAGGAAGCTGAAAATTTGGATATCTTTGCCTGAAATTTCCTTACTATTTAAAGATGTCAGTAGTAGCAAAAATCACTATATAACTTCAACTAAACTGTCTGCAGCTCAAACCCAACCCATAATCACCATTTTGCAATCTTTGAGGCAGAGGGTTTTAAAAACCTTCCTGGAAATAAAACACACCCTTGGGGGCTAGGCATGTAGCTCCAGTGGTAGATACAGTGTATGCTTAGCATGCATGAGGCCCTGGGTTCGATCCTCAGGAGCGAGTTACTGTTCTCTACTAAGTGACTCCTACACATGTGGGGCTGGGGTTGGGAGTAGATCTGAGCTTGGTCTGCACCTCATCTGCCCACTGTGGTCCTCCCCTGAGGGTCAAGACTCTGGGACACACAGCCCATGTGGCCAAGTGGAGTCTGTCCTGCACAGTAGCTTCTGCTTTCCTCTTCTGGGCTTTACATGCTTTCAGAGCACAAAGTGAGGGGTTTTTGTTTCACTGATGATACTGCATTTGAATGGTCTTACAGACAGGATTCTAGTAAGCTCTTTCTCTTGGCTAGAGTTCATTCTTCTTGAAAAACAACCCATGAAACATTGAGGGCACTGTGGGTTTCTACATCTTTGCCTTCAGGGGATTCGGCATTGGTGTTGGGGGGACTTCCTCTAGTCTGGCTCTTTCAGAGAAGCAGCTTGAGCTAAAAATGCATTACAATTAAGCTCCTTTTTTTCTATGTGTATAATACATAGCTTTGCTTGTACCCTGAATGAGTCACCTGTGCTAATGTAGTTCATTTCAAATGAAGAAGCAACTCAATAATAAAGAGGAGTCCGTCTCTAAATGTGGCTACTGTGGAACCCTATGGGCAGTTCTACAAAAATTTCACCTTCTCAAGACCCATTATGTAGAGGTTTGGATCCAGGGAGTTGACTCTGGAGCCCTGGGAGGTAGTGTATACCACATATAGGCATCCTTTGGTTCCAGGACCCCTCTCCCCAGATACCAAAACCCACAGATACTCAAGTCTCTTATATAAAATGACACAGTATTTGCATGTAACCTACACACATCTTCCCATATACTTCAATTGTTTCTAGATTATTTCTTTTTTAAAAAATTAATTTTATGGGTACATTTTAGGTGTACAATATAATGACATTCATCATTGGAAATTTGCAACTTTACATAATCTCTCTTGGTTCTTATTTTTCCCCATTCCCCTGCTCTCCCTTCAACCCCTCTATCCCTCCCTATTTACAAAAACTTTGTTTCCATTTTTTGATTTTCTCATATTAATCCCATTCCCTTCTTTCCTTTCCCCTACCCCTCCCACTTCCCCTTCCCCTTTGCCTCTTTTCTTCCTATTTCATATTATCTATTATAAATTTTAGTCCTTATTTACACTTTCAGTTTCTCACATCTAGATTATTTCTAATACCTAAAACAATGTGAAGCTATATAAGTAGTAGTTGTAATGGTGTATTGTTTAGAGACTAATGACAAGAAAGAAGTCTGTACATGTTCAATACAGGCACAATTTAAAAAAATATACTTTTGATCCACTTGGTTGAATCCATGGATGTGGAACCCACGTGTTCAGAGGGCCCACTGTATATATTTTTTAAGCTCATAAGGAATTTTAACAGCCACATTTGAGATCCACCAGTTGGAAGGATTTGAGCTCCAGCTGTGCACTTTACATGTGGGTGGTACAAAGGAATGTTTATCTTTTTTGTGTAGACTGTATACAACTGGGAACCACCCCGTCACACTTTTTATGAGGTGGATCAGTTTTTCATTTCCTGCAGCCCTTTGCTATCACAGGTTGAAAGGCAGCCAGAGGGCTGATGGCAAAGCCCAGCATGGAGTATGCAGGGCCTGGTATTAAGTCAGAGGCCCCACTTCTGAGGGGCTGGGATTTGCCACTTAGTATCTGCCTGACCCTGGATAACTTATTTCCTTTTCCTTCTCAGGCTAACATTGAAAGTACTGACATTGACACACTTGAGTATTGAAAGTGATACTGGCACTTGCTAACCAGTCAATGGGAAACTTGTCTAACATGGGAAGGGTGGAGTGTCTTAGGATGACAGCCTCATCCATGGAAATCTATTCACTGTGCAAAACACTGAATCTATTCATCAGGCAGAAGATATAAGGGTAACCTATATGATAGGATTCATGCATTCATTCAATTCATGTTTCCTAAGCCTCTATTATTTGTAGGGATGCGACAACGAATGAGACCATAATGACCCTTAAGCATTAAATGTGTAGTCCAGGAGATGAGCTGGCAAATCTACTGTTTATCAAGAGGATAAGAACTGAAACAAAGACATGCACAGATGAGCAGGAAATGTTGCCTAGTCACAATGTGGCCGTCATGATTGTCATTTGATTGTCATTTGCAGATTGGCAAAGTCAACACTACTCCTCATTCCTTTGTTGGGTGTTCATGAGATCCTCTTCTCTTTCATCACTGATGATCAAGTTCAAGGATTTTCCAAACTTATACGACTCTTCATTCAGTTGACCTTGAGCTCCTTCCATGTAAGTAGGAGTCTGACCTTGATGCCTTGGCTTTGGAGACAATAAAATTCACATGTTCTGAACAGGCTCAGAATTGAGAGCACCCCTGGATGAAAATAGATTTCTAGCATCAGTAGTCTTTATTGGTGAGGGTCCTTAATGTGAGAAGGGCATGCAGAAGAGGAAGTGTTTCCTTGATCCTGCCAGCATGATTCAGTGACTCAGAAGGGAAAAACATTCTGTTTCCTGAACTATAATAGTTGATGTGACTCATGATCATATTAACTGTGAGTGTCAATATGAAGCCTTTTATTAAGGGCCTATTTTTGCTGAGTTTTCTGAAGGGCATTGTGCAAAGTGAGCTTTGTGTACACTGCAGGTGACATGAACACAGAACACTACACAACTTGAGTAGGGAGGAGTGAGCCTGCCCTGGGGGCTCTTGAACCTGACAGATGTGTGTGGGCTGCAAGTAGGCACAGGAGGCTGGCTGCGGTTAGATTTTCTGAATATTTTGGTTATCCATTGATTAAATTGCTTGTGATTTAATAGCTTAAGAGGGTCATCATTTTTTATTATTTCTCATGATTCTGGGAATTGGAAATCCAGGAAGGACATGGTAGAGATGGCTAACCTCTGCTTGTTTATGAGGCTTGTTGGGATTGGACCTTCCCCGGTGATGGCTTCTTCACACATGCAGGGGTCTAAGCTGGCACTGACTCATCTGAGACAAATTTCTGGGGCCTCCTTTCTCAAAGTTAACTACTTTCCTTACTTCCATATGGTCTTAGGGCCCCTCACTTTCTGAATGTTCTCACCTTATAGTCTTTTCACAGGATGACTGAACTTCTTATTGGACTATTTGGTCTCTCAAGAGCATAAAAACAGGAGCTGCTTTTTTAGTGTTTAGGCCTGGAACTGGCACCTTGATGTATCTGCTACATTCTGCTGTTGAAAGCAAGTCACAGGCCCATCCAAGAATAAAGGGTAGGCGACTTTACAAGGGCATGAATACTGGGAGGCATGACTCATTAGCAAAAGCCGTTAATGCAACAGATGACCGTTAACAGCATGGACATAGTCATCCTCATACAGTAGTAATCTTAGAATTAATTACCTTTAAATGCTAATGTAGAAGCAGGACTTCTAGAATGGAGAAGAGAGAAACTTGGCAAATCCTCTCCCCAAAAAGCAATTTTTGAATACAATTGGGCAACTGTCAATTGCTATCATTTTAGGGCCATTTCATGTCTACAAATCAACCAAAGGCATAGAAGAGATTAAGTAGGGTTTATTAAAAAACATTAACGAACTGAGTAAGAATAGTGGGAGTCTGTGGTTTTTGTCTGTGATTGCTTTTTTTCTTCAATCTCCACTCCGTTGTTGAGGAAGTTCTAGTGAAAATTCGCAGTTTCTGTGTAGAAGAGAGCTGACTTGACTTGGATCAGAGAGTAGGAAAATCTCCCATGCCTGTGCATTACCAAATATAGTAGCAATCTTGGTGGCAAAGGAGCAGGGAAGGTCAATGTCACTGCCTGAGGTTACAATCCTATTTAGGGTAAGAAACACACTAGTGAGCTGGCCAGAAATTTCAAAGAGATATGAGGAATGAGACTGCCATAGTGAGATTTGATAAGTTCCCACCTTGCTGTCTGGTGGACAAAAGTGTTTTACACCTGCACAAAGTTGCCTACACACTGAAGAGAGATCAGAAAAGATCTCTCACATTCCTTGCGGAATATAAGTTCCTGTGCACACATAGAGGAGGCATGAGAGGACCTGGTGGAAAGTAAAAGTTAAGGAAGACTTATAAACTTCTGAACTTTCAAATTGTTCCCCGCACGACACACAGATCCACTGGCAAAGACTATGGGAGATTTAATAGCCCAAGATGATTGAGCACAATTTCTGATTAATCAATGGTTGACCATTAAGCTATTATAAATGGGCTGGAGACCAGACTTACAGAAAAATTTTTAAAAACAGAACTTTCAAAATTAGCACAAATATGACTGGCTATATACCACAGGGGAGACAGATTCTATAGAACTAGTAGTCCAGAAAAGTTACTATGCCAACAAACAACCACCACTACTCTAGGAGTAGGAAGTGAGGAATCAAAATCCTGAATTGCTATAATATATTATCTAGAATTTCTATCTGTGAACAAAAATATACGAGATGTACAGTGGAACTCTTGGAGGATTGAGATGTTGGAACTAGGAGACAGCAACTTCAAAGAAGTCATTGTAAATGTGTTCCAAAGATGAAAGGAAACTATCTTTAAAGAATTAAAGGAAAGTATGATGATGATGATTCATGAACTAAAGAATTTCCCTTCAAAGAGAGAAAGTACCAACTAAGACTCAAATGGAAATCCTGGAGTTGAAAAGTACAGTAATTGAAATGAGCATATCACAAGAAAGATGAACTCTCAGATTTCAGATGGCAGAAGAAAGAATTAATGAAAATGAAAGTAGATCAACTGAGATTTCTCTAGTCTATAAATGGTAAGCAGAAAGAAAAATATCACAGATTCGGAGACCTGTGGGATGCCTTTAACATACCAATACACACTGAGGGTGTAGCTCAGTGGTCCCACTGCCTGCCTCGCAAGCACAAGGACCCAAGTTTGATCCCTGGTACCAAAAAAAGAAAAATCCATTCAACATACCAATATACAGTGGACCCTCAAGTTGTGACTGGCTTGACATACGGACAACTTGGATTATGACCAGAGTTTTAGTTTTAACTTACAAACAAAGTCTTGAGTTATAACCCAAATGCTGGCCACTTGTGCTTCCAGGTGGTCTCAGATACAGATTTACTCTTAAAGAGTTTTGGAAGGAACATGACAACATTCTTTCCTGTGTGGGGTTAATTGAGAAATCCTGGGTCAATGTCTCTCTAAGGACACTGAGATCTGCCCGTGTACAGGAGAGAGATTTTGAAGGCTGTGTGGGGGAGCCTGAGCCTTCAATTGACAACTTGAGTTACATCCAGCCCTTAGGAATTAATTGAGTTTGTAAGTCAAGGGTCCACTGTGCAATTATCAGAGTCTTAAGAGAGAAGAGATAGAAAGAGGGTAAAGAGGTGTTAGAGAAACAGTGTTGGAAATGATGAAAAATATTAATCTACACAGCCAAGAAGCTCGGTGAACTCCAAAAAGCATTAAATAAAAAGATTCACACCTAGAAATATTAAAGCCAAATTGTTGAAAGCTAAACACAAAGAAAAAGTACTGAAAGTAACAAAAGAATGAGGATTTATTACAGGTAGGACCAGAAATACAATTAACAGCTGACTACTCTTTAGAACAATGGCAGTGATATGAGATATTCAAAATGCTGAAAGAAAAAAAACCCTATCAATCAAGAATTCTATATCCAGCAAAACTGTGTTTCAAAACAAAAGAAAAATGAAGACATTCTCAGGTGAACAAAACCTCAATTTTCTAAGAGGGAGGAAATGGAAACTTCCAGGTTTCATAAGCCATAGTCTCAAAAGTCTGTACTTGTTGAGAATGCCATTTCAACCACATTGTGTTGGTAAAATGAGTTGCAGGGTAATCCCAGATTCAAGGAGAAGGAAAAACAAGGTCCATTTTTTGATGTGAGAATAGCCTGAGCCTATGTGAAGAGAAATCATGGGGGCCATCTCTGGAGCCCTTCTACCTCGTGGATCATGGTTCTGCAACCAGCTGAGATTCAGCTCACCACTTCATACTTTTGAGGGATGTGAGGAGTCAGAGTATCTGCAGGGTGTTTTGCACCAAGCCTAAACCAGAAACCACACTTGGAGGGTTTATGTGAGTGCAGAGCCTCCAAGCTTCTGAATACTTCTGCGCTGTTTCCCTCCATCCCACCACGTACAGGTAAGAGCACAGGTAGATAGGTGTGTGGAGGCATATTAGGTGGATCACATCTTAGTGGGTCCACCAGCAAGAACAGGCATTAGCCCTAAAAGCTTCCTCCCCTTGCTGCTTTAGAGGGTCCTTCACTCTTCCAAACATTTACTACTTAGAGAGTTTCACCAGACTCTGCTGTGAGCAGATCTGTGGAGAGGCTGCCAAGTGATGGTTATATGTGAAGGGAAGTCCATGTGCCATGTGGGACCTATTCCCTTCACACTTGCTTTGCCTAGAATGGGAAGCAGACTCCAGGGTGCTCCAAACAGTGAAGCAGGAACCTGAGGAAGTGCAAAGATACTTTTGTCATGTGGAATCCTATTTTAGCTAACTTGTTTGAGAGCATTCCAGCATGTTGAAAGCTAGCTCTTCTTATCTCATGGCAACCACAAAGGAAAGCTGTCAACCTCTGATGAGATTCCATGTGTGAAGATGATTAGCTGGTACCACCATGCCCCTATTTAGAAGCTGTAGCCATGGAATATCTAGGTGCATAAGAGAAGGGAAATTTCATACTTGTGGCCACAATTCAAGCATTTGATTGATGTGTAGCTAGAATAGAGACTTGGCCTGGACCCAGAAAAAAAAACATGCAGAAAAACCTTCCCCGCACTCCATAGTTCATTATTTTCAAGAGGTTTCAAAGGAGTCAGCCTGATATTGAGACTTTCACCCTTTATTTGGAGATGTATCCTTTCCTTTTGAGTTCTGGGATTTTATGAGATTTTTCCCTAAAAACTCTTCAAGTACTTGACTCCCACACACATATCCAGCTCCGATGTATCAGACATGTAGCCCAAATTCCATAGACTCTCAGTTCTATTAGGGAAAGCCAAGCCACGGAGGTTATCACAGGAAGTATAAAAATCTGGGAGAACAATGGTAAATAAACATTAGCTAAAGCATCTTTGATTCCAGACCTCTGGCAGTTAAATAGTGAATCCAGAAAAAAATTTCAAAATTCAAGAGATTATCTCTTTATCGAAACTTCCCAATATAAATGCTTTGTAAATGAAAATGCCATTACATGATGGCTTATAATGTTTTCAGGGGAATCTTTGTATCCACAATTCTAAATAACTATATATGGAACAAAAAAGAAGCAGCTTGACACTGTACAAGGGAAGACTCTTAATTGTAAGTGGCAGCAACCCAACTCATTCATTCACTCACTCAACAAATATTTGGTGTGTTCCGTTACATTTCAGGCACTGTTTCAGGTGCTGGGGATCTGATAGTGAAAAGAGTAGGTAAGGATGCTAGTCTTATGTGGGTGGGATTAAGAAGGACAGATAATAACAAAGTAAACAAATGAATAACAATATAATCCTGGTGCTTTGAAGATAAAAATAGACCCCTGTGGTAATTACTGGAGGGGCTACCAAAAGTTGGGTGGTCTGAAAAGACTTCTTTTTGGTGATATTTGAGCCAAGAAATCAGTTAGACAGATATTTGAGGTAAGAAAGTTCTGGAAAACAGAAAGTGTGAGGGGACTTGGGGAAGAAGTGAACCGTGGTAGCCCCCAACATGGCTCTCACTGGCACCCTTGCCCTTGTTTAGTCCCTCCCACATTGCATAGGGTTGACTTGTGTTCCCATTAGGATATTGTGATTTCCTGGGGTAGGTCATAAAATGGATTGCAGCTTATGCCTTGCTGTCTTGGATCACCTCCTCTGGAGAAGGCCAGCTTCCATGTCAAGAAGGTACTCAAAAAATCTGTGGAGCCAAACCAAACTTCCCTACCAATAACCACATCTGACATATTCATCATCATCTAGCTAAATGAGAAAATAGGGAAGCTGACCACAAATATTTCTGATTCTGAAACCTGGAAGAGTAGAAAGTATTCTGCAAAGTTGTTTGCACAGTAATTAATGATCACTATGATATGAGGGGGGAATCTTACCTTTTTATTTCTATGGCTGTGACTATGTTTTACCTTGAAACTGAGATGTCTAACTGACATATACGTGCATCGATTTTTTAAAATAATGATCCTGAATTCGTTTACAAACTGCAATACTACAGTCAGAACAACCAGTACCAGCTTGCCGACCATATGAGCCACTTGGAAGAAAGTCCAGCCTGTAGATGACGCAGTTATAACCAACACTTTGAATACAATTAAGAGTGACCTTTAGCCAGGACATCCAGCTAAGCCTCTTCCAGATCCTTGGCAATAGAACATGTATGAGATGATAAAATTTTATTGTTTTGATTCACTAAGTTAAGCAGCAATAGATCCCAAATGCATGATTGTAACATGCTAGAGGAGCCCAGAAGGCCCATGTCGGTGAAATACAGTGGCCAAGGGGAAGCAGAACATAAGATGAAATGAACAGAGACAGAGCTTCAATCACCTAGGACCTTCCATGGATAAGAGAGTTTATTTTCTTCCAAGTGTGGCAGGAAACCACTGATGGGAAATAATTTATCTCTTCAAAAGGAATATTCTGACAAAAGAAAAGGGTATTTATTATGTCACATAAATGAAATTTTTAGGACCAGACACAGCTGGATACAGACAATATCACCAGGAATTTCTGTCTTGCCATGTCTGACCTCGTGTTGGCTTCACCTTCAGGTGGGCTCTCTCCATGTAGCTGGGAAAATGGCAGCAGTATCTCTGGGTTTACATGGTCTATAGAGTTAGCCAATACACTATAGAGTGTAACCCTCTGCCCTTTTCCATTAAAAAAAATGCTGGTTGGCCTTGCTTGGGCCAATTATTGTAGTGATGGCCATCCTAAAACATGGGAACCACATAACCGAAAGCTGTCTTAGAAGCCCAAGCAATAGAGAAGAGTCAGTTTCCAAAAGGAAAGAATGCAAGTCGGACAACATAAACTAGCCAATGACCACTATGGATGAGTGGAAATGAGATAGTGATCTTAGCCAATATTTGTATAACAGAATGACTGTCATAGGGTCTTAACGATTTAATCATCACTGAGCTTGTATATGCATTCATGAGCACCTAAACAAACACCTGGGCTGATACAGGGCTGATACAGGTGGTGGATGTCAAGGTAAAAAGAGATGCCATGGAAATCTAAATTAGCATAAGCAGTATGATTAACTTTGTTTAGTGTAAGGAACGTAGTTGCACGCCTCTTCTGGAGGTTCCTTGGACTTTGAGAAGAGCTCTCAGATACATCTTCTCTCAAGTTAAAGTTCATGCCATGTCTTCCTTTCATTCCAGGGATTCCTTGTGGCCTTGCAGTATGGCTTTGCCAATGGAGAGGTATGTTTTTCATGTGGCTTTTCTGAGGCCATGGCTAGCATCCTGTCCACAGAGGTTTCTGCTCATGCTGAGACAAATTTGTATTGTGAGCATCTAGTAGAGAGAACACGAGGCAACCTTAATAAAGGGAATGGGTATGAGGAAACTCAGAACCCCAACCTGATCCTGCTGGAGACCTGCCAGAATTAAAGTGTGATGGAGGAAACAAGCACGAACTCTGAGTCCAAAACTCTGTGATCAAGCCTTGGCTCATCCACATAGGAGCTTTGTGAGTTAGTCAGGTTATTGTCCCTTACTTAGCCTCAGTTTCCTCATCTGTAAAATGGAAATAACAACTGTTCTTAGCTTATAGTGGTACCCTGGGCACAGAGCACATAATAAAGGCTCAGTCTCTAGGAACATTAATTTTGATTAATATTATTGCACAGCTCCCACCAGCTACCTGGTATGTTAGTTTTTTGTTATTGTAACAAATATCCAAGGTAATCAACTTAAAAAGGAGGAAAAGTTTATTTTGACTCATGGTTTCAGAGGTTTCAATCCATGGTTGCTGGGCCCCATTGCTATTAGGCCTGTGGCAAGGGAGAATGCCATGGTCAGAAGCGTTTGGTGTGGACAAGCCCTTCATCTTATGGTGGCGGAGGGAGAAGGGAAATAGCTCCAACATCCTCTGCAAGGCCCTCCCACCAGCCCACAACCTAACTTCCTTCCACTAGGATCCACCTCTTAAAGTTTCCACCACCTCCCAACAGCTCCACAGGCCAGGGACCCAGCCTTTATCATATGGGCTTTTCAGGGTCATGTAAGATCTAAATATAGCAACTGGGAAAAGGTTTGAAGAAAGGAAGGGCAGAGGCCAGAAGAGGTGTTTTCTCTTGTCTTGAGGAATCAGGAGTTTCCAGCCCTCTTTTACTTCCCTTTCTTCGAGTCCATATTTATTTTTGTCTCCTCCCACTAGAGCTTCTTAGCAGCGAAGCCCTCTTTGGTTTGCTCATTGCTTCTGCTTCTGTATCTTCACACAGAGGCTCCTTGTCTATCAGGCAGGCATCAGTTCAAAAACCACCCTACAGAGTTCTTTCCTGAACTCTGTATCTCAAGTTTTTAATCTCTTGTGAAAAGGACAAAAATTACAATAATTTATTTTGAAGCTCTTAATTGGCTTTATTGCAATTCTAGAATCAGCCAGCATTTCATTCTACAAAATAGAATGAGTATTCTGATGTGCTGAGCAGAGGAGGCTCCTTTTATAAAGACGAGATGAAGAAAGGAGAAATAAAAAGACAAAAAAGCAGATTAGTCATTTCAAAGGGACAAGGAGGCAGAAGGATAGAATAACAGATTGGTTATTCAGGTTACCTTCAGGTTACCTTTCTGTGTAAGGGTTAAGGGAGAGGGAATCTCATTTTTATGCCTCATTGAAACTGCCCTGTTTGGAAAAATTGGCTGTCATCTCTCTCTTCTGATTTCCTGGAAGGTCAGAGAGTTTCGGCCTGATGATGTGGAACATTAGCAGGGGTGACTCCATTTTGAATTTTAGTCTAATCTGTGGGGGCCTATTGTAGGAGCTTAGTCCAAAACTATGGCCTCCTATAATATTTAACACTCTTTATAACATTGTTTTTAGTGGTCTCACAGTGTCATTTTCTGATACACTTAGTGTCTTTGTTTCTTTTTGTCTCCACCAGTTAAAAGGTAAATTTTCCAAGGGTGGCACCGAGTAGTTACTCAATAAATATTTGTTGAATGTAATAGACTCTGAGACCATAAACCCACCTTTGTCTTTCTTGCCAGGTAAAGGCTGAGCTTTGGAAGTCCTGGGCCCGCTTCTTGCCTGTCCAACATTCAGGCTGCAGAGCCTGGGTCCTGAGGAAGAACTTCGGGTTCCTGGGGAAGTGTCCCAAGAAGTTCTCAGAGAGAGATGGCACCCAGAGAATTTGTAAGCCGCAGGCCTCAGCAGACAGCTCACACCTGGCCTCACAGGGCATGGGGGAACTGGACACCCGGCCTCACCAGGGCCACGCAGCCTGGCCCCGGGGCATCAGCCTGTCTGAGAGCAGCGAGGGGGACTTCACTCTGGCCAACACCATGGAGGAGATTCTGGAAGAGAGTGAGATCTAAGGCAGAGGATGCCACTCCAGCTCTGCAGGCTGGTGACTCCTGAGAAGGACAAGGATGCAGGATGGAAAACAGGATGGATGTGACCAAGTGCAGAATCGTTCTTTCCAATCCCCCGTGCCCACTTGGATGTGAGGTCTAGATCCAGGTCCTTCAAACTCTGTATAAACGAAGCTGTGTGGTGCCCCCAGCTTCTGCCAGCCTGCCTCTTAACCCTCACCAGTGTGCTTTCCTGAATGACCACCAGTCTGTGGGGTCTGCCTCTAAATTAATGAATGGAGCCCCAGGATGCAGAGAAGTCTCTTATTAAGTAGACTCTAACCAGTACCTTTTCCTTTCCCTCCCATGACACATGGTTTCCTTTGGAGGTTGGGTTTAGGGTACACAAGACCTCCCTAGGGAGCTTTTTAAATGCAGAATTTCAGGCTCATGGCTGAGAGTCTACAAGAGTAAATGTGGGATGATGGCTGGGAATTAGCACTACCTAACTAGCCTCTCGGAAATTCTGATGCAAGTTCACCCTCAGAAAACACTGGGCAGGGTGTGAGGGAACATTGTGCTGGCCTGACCCACAGCAGGGTGAAGTGAGTGGTATGCTGCATCTGCAGTCCAGCTGTGAGACACCTGCCTCCTGGGACAGTGTGTGAGCCCATGTCACCCACCAGACCCCACTCCTTCATTGCTTCTCTTTTCCTCTGCTGTCAAATCTTCTCTTCCTCTCTCCATCTCAGTCCTCTGTCTGTGGTCAGCATAAAACTCTTGTTTCAGCTGTCATCCTACCCTTCCTTGGACGGTTGTCCCCAGCTCTCGGGAACCTGCTGAATGTCATCATTGGTCCTCTCTTCTCCTTTCTGGCCCACCTGCCTTTCCAAGCTTGGCTTCTACAAGCCTGACTTGCTCTAGCACCCTCTATACTTGGTTTGCCTTTGATGGCCATGCCTTCTGCTCCAGCTGTTTATCCACTACTCTCCCTGACTCCAGGCCCTGCTGATAAGAACTCTACTCCCCAGGTGGGTATCAGGGAGTAGCCCTGAAAGACAGAGGGTATTGAGGTAAAGCAATAGGGCTGTAGCACCAAGAGGCCCAAGACTATGCCAGCTGGGCCTGAGGGACCTGTCCTACCTGTGGGAAATCTGAGTTGTGCGCCAGAATCTGACCTAGGGAGGCTGGGGAGGGCAAGACAGTAGATCAGGCGCAGTGGCTGAGCCCCAGAGCAAGAGTCTGAAGGAAGATGAAAAGAGGAATAGCCTAGGGCAGTGTCGTGCTCATGTCTAGGAGTGTTGCTTTTATAGTGCGTGAAATGTATGTGCAAGTGGGTGAGGTATGTTGCTGTGGAACTAAGTACTGTTATGTCTTGTGTGTAGAAGTTATGATGCTTTCCATGTTGGGCTGCCAAATTTAGAAAAAAACAAAAAACTGAACTGGACTCGGTGGCTCATGACTATAATCCCAGCATTTTGAGAAGCTCAGGCAGGAGGATTGCAAGTTTGAGCCCAGCCTGACCAATCTAGTAATTTAGCAAAACCCTGTCTCAAAATAAAAAGTAAAAAATGTTGGGAATGGAGCTTAATATGAAGGCCCTGGATTCAATCCTTAGTACCTCAAAAATAACACTTCAAAAACATGATACTGGATTACATTTGAATTTCAGACAATCAAATCATCGTCTTGTATAAGTATATCCCATGGTGCATCATCTGAAATTTGAATTTAGTCATGCATCCTGTCTTTTACCTGGCAACTCTGTTTTCAAGGATATTTTATAGCAGGGCCAGGACAAACATGAGACCGTTCCAACATTCACCTCTAAGAACTTCAGTGATCAGAATACATTACACTTTAATGTAATATTTTAGAAAGCCAAATCCACAAATTATAGCCCACTAGTCATATAAAGATAAAGTTTCACTCACACCAGGGCTGGGGTTAGCATGAGGCAGGAGAAGCCAGCTCATGCAAGCTCAGCACTCACCCTGATTCTATTTAAAATGTTGATATTTGGTTCATCAGGGACTTCGTGACACTAGTTTTCATTGCTAAATTACTACATTAAAATGTTATCTATCTTGGGCCGGGGACTTAGCTCAGTGGTTCCGCTGGCTGCCTCGCAAGGGCAAAGTCTGGAGTTTGATCCCTGGTACCAAAAACATTAAAAATAAATTTTAAAAATGTTATCTGTCTTGACTATGAAGTGCCCCCTTGAATTTTACACTGACTTGCAGGATGGGGACAGAAGCCAAGGCATCAGGCAAGTGCATAAAGAAGCAAAGTTTTATTTTTGGTGTCCAGAGTATGCATAGTTCAATCATTAAAATATGTGTCCTGCTACTTGCTCCTTTCTGCGAATGTCCCTCCCTTGTGCCGTCAGTTTATCAGCTCCTGGAAAGCTGGGATCATTTCCTATTCCCAGCACATACCCAGCACGTAGGGCTGGCTAGAGTAGGTACCTGGTACACAACCACCAAGGGAGGCTGGACTGAAAGTTCTCTCAGGAGCATCAGATGCTGTCCGCAGAAAGTTATCAAGGATCCTGCCATGAAGAGGAGAAACTTTCATTTTATATGGTCTCCTGCCTCCCTCTACAAATAGGGTAGCCTTCCCACACTGCTTGCTCTCACCCTGCTAATGATTAAAATGAGTTTATTTAAGTTGATTTGCATTTTGTCCATTCTTTTACACTTGTCTCTCACTGGAGCTGAAAGTCCTCGGGTGTCTGGAGAATCTGGTGCAGTTTCTGAACAGAAGAGGGGAGAAAGGGCTGTGACTTTAGTTGGTGACCAGATGGTGTGTTGCTTTAGGAACCAGAAGAGTGGGCAGATGGGGAGGGACCTGAAGCAGAGGTCAGAGGTCAAAAAGGGAAGTAAGTGCCTCCCTTTAAAAAAAATAATAGTCATCCTAATGGCTGTGGTTTTGACTTGCATTTATTTATGAATGAAGATGTTGCGTATCTTTTATGTGCTTACTTATTGGTAATTTTTATGTCTTTTTTAGAAAAATGTCTATTCATGTATTTGTCCACTTTATAAATTGGATTTTTAGACAGGTGTGGTGGTGCACACCTGTAATCCCAGCATGAGGGAGGCTGAGGCAGGAGGATTGCTGTGAGTTCAAAGCCAGCCTGGGCTACATAGTGAGTTCAAGGCCAGCCTGGACTACATAGAGAGATCTTGTCTCAAAAAACACTGGAATTTTTGGGTGGTTGTTGAGTTGTAGGAGTTTATTATATATTCAGGATGTTAATCCATTATCAGATACAGTATATCATTTGAAAATATCTTCTATCATTCTGTGGAGTATCTTTTCCCTCTCTTGATAGTGCCCTTTAATGTACAGAAGTTTAAAATTTTGTTGAAGTCTAGTTCATCTATTTTTTCTTCCTTGTGTATTAAGGACACCTGAGTGATTTTAATATGTGATCAAGGTTAACACTGGATGAGCCAGAGGAGAAGAAGATGAATCCTTCCCTGAAGACTGAAAATACCTTGTTGAAGTCCAAATAAATTAATCCTTCCACGTGTAGCACTTAGAACTTAATTCTTCCCTGGAAACACACTCAGCAGATTCTCACAACTCTAGTGAAGTGATAGTGTGTGTGGCTGGCCAAGTTTTGTGGTTTCTAAGGGGTGGTAATCCCAGGTGCAGCCTGAAACCCAGACACACAGACTGACCTGGGCTTTCCTGGTGAGTCTATCTAACCACAGGAACCAGGTGAGTGGCAGCAGCATGGTGCCTGCTGCCCTCTGGCTCCATGGGAAATGTTTGAGCCTGGTGAGAGAAGAGAAGCTGCAGACGAGTCTAGGAGAGCTGGCCCAGAAATCAATGATGAGAGCTATTTCCACATCATATGGGGCCTATGGGGCCCTTCTCACATACTCTAACCCAGAAGGCACCCTAGCAGCTATGTGCACAGCTTGGACTCAACAGGAACACTGTAGCCATGACTGCGGTGGGAAATGTGGGACCCAGGGCTACCAAAGGCACCTAGCACTAAGGGACTTACTGGTGAATCTGTGGGATATATGCCTGTTGGGGGTGCTAAGAAATGTTCAATGGGCACTGTTCAGTTTGGATTATTGTTCTTAGTGAGATAATACTCTGTTTCTGCCCTTGAGTTGACATGCACAGGAGGAGGTGCAGGAGTTTAAAGATGTGATTTTTCCTAAGGTCTCTAGAATAGACACCTATTTTTACAAACGTTCGTTCTCATACTTACAGCACCTCAATTTTCCTCTTGGACTCCACACATCTTCTACTCTCAGTTCATGAATTTTGAGTCTTCATAACTCCATCTTCAGCTCCAGGAATAGCAATAAAAAATCTCCAGGGCATTACATCTTCTAGGTGTCAGACACTGGGTCAGGGACAGGCATATAATCAATCAGAGGCAGGGAGACACATTCTGGGACTTCGGTGGGAACTATTAACAGAAAGAGATTGTCTCATTTCTACTGAAACTGGGACCATAAAGAAGTCAGCCCGAATCTGCTGTAAATATCTTACCAACAAAGAAAGAATCTCCCCGAGGATCATGCTCATGCCTGCATCCATGAAATACTGCCTACCGAGTCTTGCGTGGTACTTGACTTATAGGAAGCACTTCATACCTAAGCATTTATTCTCTGTTCTCTCTCTACTAAGAGAAGTCTTCTCTGGGGATGGTGAATAAGCCATCACTGTGGCTAAAAATTGAGATGTGGAGTTATCACCCACCTCCCAACACCAGCAGAGATGCTTCAGCCATGGAATATTGGACATAAGTTGGCCAATAGTGCAGAGCAACCATATATTTCTTTAGTCTTATCTTGGAACCTAAGGATGGAGAATAAATGGACCTTCTAAGCAATGAATGCAGTGAAGCTGGAGAAGCCACTCATGAGTTCCTAGATGTCCTAGGCTCTGGAGCTCTGAGGAGGCAGTGTGGGCTAGTGGGGAGTGCTGGTTTGGCCTCTGCTTATCAGTTGACTGACTCTGAGCCAGCTGTTTCCTGTCCCTGAGCCTCAGTTTCCTTTCCTTGTCTCTAAGGCCCTCAAGGATATCTATGGCTCAGTCTTCACCACTCACTAAGTCAAAGTTGAACTCATTATCTGCTGAAATCAGTAACACTCCCAGGTGTCAGTAGATGGTGTCACTGTTCACACAGGGCTCAAGTCACAACCTGGCCACCATCCTTGCTCCTCTTTACACCTGCGCCTGCGGCCAATCAGATGGACGCTACGCATTCTTTCAAGGTCTTGTCCTCTCCATCCCTCGGTATTTCCTGGGCCTGGCCAGGAAAACCTTCATCGCCAGCCTTCTTGCCCCCAGTCTTGCTCCCCTGCTTTTACAAATATAAATCCCTCTTACTTCCAACTGTACAGTCGCCTTAGCACCCTCATGGTGATGCCCAGCACTCACCGACAGCTGCAGGGAGGCCTCTGGGGACCTGGCCCCACCTGCCTTTCAGGCTCAGCTCACACTTCTCTCTCCCTCCCTCTGCCCCTTAGCCACCCTGGCCTGCTTACAAATCCTGTACTACAGATGCTTATTCCTGCCTCAGTGGCTCAGTGTACCACTCTCTGAGACACAAGCTCTGCCACCTCCACCCCCCTTACACAGTCCGCTGGGTCTGAATATGTGTCCCTTCCTCAGGAATGTCATCCCTGATCCTTCCTGATAAGTCAACCCTAGTGTTCTGCATGTCTCCATGGTAACCTTGGCCACCACTTGTGGCATCTTTGAGATCCATCGTCTCAAACCATGGGCTCTGCAAAAGCAAGACTGTGAGTCTTCTTCAGCACTCTAGCTGGCCTAAGACTGCAATCGCAGTGCATTCTTTTCTTTGAGGTAGAGTTGGCAGAAACTGTTTCCTTTTCCAGGGGGAGAAAGACCAGCCAGTTGTGTGTCCATTTCGTCTTGAATTTATTGGAACCCACTTACTCAGCAATTCGCAAAGGAGCTTAGGCAGGGGCTAACATTTAGGACTTCTGTTACTTAATCCTGGGATTATCATGCACCCATGGCAGCCAGGGAAGGGGGAGGGAAGACAGGAGGAAGAAGGAGCTGGTGGATGGTCAAAGATGCTTCAGTTGGGCTGGGGGTCTGAAGGCCTCTCCCTTGACCCTGGGAGTGCATGTGTGTGTGTGTGTGTGTATATGTGTGTGTACATGTGTGTAGTGTACATGTGTGTGTTCAAAGGTGTTTAAGTGGGCAGTAGGAGGGAGGAGCTGAGCAGTTGGCATCATTGTTTCTTTTCCTTTATCCTTTCCTTCACTTTTTGAGGCTCAAACTGGATCAGTCGCAGAATTTCATTATTGGCCAGGGTCCCCTCAATGAATTCTTTCTCTGAAAGTTTATCTGCAGGTAGGGAAAAAACATCAGTCAGAACTGGCTATCTCAAGCTGCAGTGAGGCTGACGTCCAGCCACTGTGCCCAAGGTGACTATATCGATTATGAAAATACCGAATACACAGTGCCCCTATGGGTCTCTCCACCCGCCAGATGCCTAGCTCCTCCAAGATCCTTGGCTGTTCCCATGCATCAACAAGAGGGTAACAACCAGGACTGAAGAGGTCTCCAGGATGACCATCTGGGTTCTGTGTCCCTTCTGATCGGCCAGTGCCCCTGCCTTGCTGGACATTAAATGTTTAAATAATTAATAATAATAACTATTTCTCTTCTATCCTCTCAGTATTAACCCAAGTCTCAACCCTCAAGTTCTGGGGGGACCTACTATGGGACTGAGCAAAGCAAAATAACCTGTCTGGCAGGCTCAGGGCTTTTGTGGAAAAGCCAGGGAATAGGGAGTAAGAAGTGAGGGGAAGGATGTCAGGGAGAGCCTGGCTTGCAGAAAGGTCTCTTTGGTCCCCATGGTGCACAGGCAGCCTCATGAGTCCCAGAAGCTGACAACTTCTATACATCTGTCCTCATATCCCCTGATCTGATCTCCTGCCTCACTCGGGATCAGGACTAAGAGCCTTGCTCCACCCGCCAGGCCCAGCTTCCCAGCATCTCCATCAGCTGCCCACTGTATTAGGTTCAGTCCAGCTAAGTGCCTGTTACCGGGCCCTTTTGTGTGGCAGATGCCACTGGGCTTGGGGCCGAGGCCATCACAGGGGCTGGAGGGTGGGGTGTGGCATAGAAGAGTGAGTTAAAGTCTCTCCCTAGGAAAGTCCTGATCTGGTGGGGAAGACAGTCCACACAGAAATAACTCTAGGGTGAGACAGATGGTCCTTTCTGGTAGTGGTTTTATGCTCATGGTGCCTAGCACACAGTAGGTGCTCAAAACAGCACTGCTGACCTAACTGATTGCCACTGGCTTATATCCTAGGCCTTTTAAGCATCCTAAATCCATTTTGGGTTAGGATCCAGGATGGTTCCCTGCACTAGTCTGGGAGGTGGAATTTGGATTTTAGAGTTCCAACTGCCCCACTGGCCTTCTTGCAGCGCTTGGAACTCCCGGAGCCTGACCCGGAGATGCGCTATCTCCTGATGGGCCATGGGAAAACATGTCTCCCCACAGCCCTCTGACACCACCCACTCCTGCGATGGTCACATTGGTCCCCATTTTCAGAAGAGCAAATAGCAGAACCACAAGAGGGAACCTGACACATAGACCCAGAGGAAGGTCGTGAAGGGGATTAAAGAGCCTAAAAAGCCAGTGGGTAAGTGAAGTCACAGGAGAGTGGCTAAGCAGCCAGGGTTCCTGTAGACCAATGGGGTGAAGTGCTCAAAGGAGAGGTGCTCAGACCAGGGTAAAGCAGTTGAAGTGCCTGGGCATAGAATTTAAGGAGGTGCTCCCTGCTGGGTCATGAGAGCACAGGGCCAGCACCTGAGAGTGAGCACCTCCTTAAATGTTATGGCCTAGGCACCTGCCTGCATCACCCTGGCTCCCACCAATGATGTTCTGTGTCTTCATCATTTGGCTGCAGATTAGTAGGAACAGATCATCGCTGCCTGCCCTATTAAGCATCCTGCTCAGGGCTTTCTTCTTGAAGCCAGGAGGAGTAGCCCAGAAGTTACAAAAGGGGAGAGTATTGGCCTGTCAGATGTGTTTGGGTCAGGGCATGTTTTATTAATTGAGATATATCAGGATTTAAATATCTCAATTAATGCTAAATGCTCTTTTTTTTCAAAAAAAAAAAAGTCAGATGACACAGGATCAGTGGACTTCATAATCCCAAGTGGAACCTCCTGGAAGCCATCGGATCAGACGGCCACTCCCTACTATATGTTAGCTGTCATCATTTAGTGGGGTTACAGTCCAGTTCACTCGCTTTCATCATCCAGGCCCCTGTGGCTTCTACATTTTAGCTCATCTAAATTCACGCCCGTTTCTCTACTACAGCCTTGCAGTAGCAGCCATGAGCATAATGAGTATCAGCTCCAGCTGCCAACTTCTGGAATCCATCACTGCTTTCACTGCAAAACCACACTGCCGGGGGGCTGCTTTCAGACAAGTACTGAGCAGGACAGGAGCACACTGAGGATGCTCCATCAACTAGCCAATACTTTCTAGAAAGGCACTGCAGTTCATGTTTCTTACCCACCCTTCCTTCCTTTCCTCTCTCCTTGGCAGGAAGTGGCTCCACATGACAGTCCGATGGTTTTCCCAGCCTCCTCTAGTTCCCTCCCCATTTCCCTCATTGGCCTTCCTCCCAATAGACCTCCAGCATTCTAATTTAAATCAAATCTCCACTTGGTGCTTCTTGGAGAATGCAAACTAAATTCCTAGAGTGAGATCAGATAAATTTAGATCCCACTTACTTGGGTTGATGCTAATTCAAGTCTAAGCTGAGCTGCAGTTCACCCTTGTTCTAAGTGTGCAGAAAGCATTTTTAAAAACAAGTAACTGCAAGTGTCTAAGAGCAGATTCTCCATTTAAAAAGAAAGGCTCTTGCAATTCCCCTAAACTGGCCACTTGAATACAAATAGCCAATGAACTTACTGCTTTCACATTTTCCTATTCCTTAAGTGTAGGTTAGTTCTACTATAACAAAAGATGTTTTTCTTCAAAAGCACTCTATAACTTAGAAGTTTCTTTCTTCCTCAAAGGACCCCAGGTGGCAAATGAGTTTTGTAAGTGATAGGCTTGCGGTGGTGTCACCTTCCCACAAGGTCAGCTCCAGAGTGGCCTCAGAACTGGCCCCTGCTGGTCCTCCTGGCCACTCCCACTTCAGATCCCCACAGTTGGCCCTGGCAAAGCACGATGACAGGAAGTGTCCTCAGTCCTGCCTAGGTGCTGTGAATCAGAAGAATACATCTGGAGCTCTCTAGGAAGTGGCCCAAGACTATAAAATCAAAGACAAAGAAGAAAAAGGAATTCACCATCATCTTTCTTTCCAAAGAATGCCCAGATCTTCTCAGCCCGCTTTTCCGGTGTGTTTTCATCATCAGGAAGGTGCTTCACATCCTCAGGGTTGATCATTTTGAAAATAGCCTGTACCAGATCAAGAGAAAGAATGTGTTAGAGGGAGCAGTAAGGGGCTGACAATCCTGGGAAAACCCATCTGAAACCACACACAAAATCCCTTCAAAATGGATTAAAGACTTAAACATGGGACCTGAAACTGTATAACACCCAGAAGAAAACATGAGAAAAGCTTTGTGATACTGGTCTTGACAATGATTTTTGAAAAAGTGGGATTATACCAAACTTTAAAAAGCATCTACATAGTAAAAGAAACAACAAAACAAGCAACCGGTACAATGGGAAAAATACTAGCAAACCAGATATCTGATAAGGAATTCATATTCAAAATACTTAAGGAATTCCTACAACTCAATAGTAAAAGAACAAATAATCCAATTAAAAATGGACAAAGGACCAGAACAGACATTTCTCCAAAGAAGACACATGAATAGCCAATAGAGATATGAGAAGGCGCTAAACATCAGAATTCATTAGGGAAATTAAAATCAAACCATAATGAGATCTATCCTCACACACCTGTTTGGATGGTTACCGTGAAAAAGACAAGAGATGTGGCTGCATGTAGCTCAGTGTAGGTCTTGCCTAGCATAAAAGACACTGGGTTTGATCTCCACCACTGAAGAGAAAGAAAAGACAAGAAACAGCAAGTGTTGGCAAGGGTGTGTAGAAAAGGGAGCCCTGACACATGGTTAGTGTGAATGTAATCGCTACAGCCATTACTGAAAACACACTGGAGATCTGGGGACTTCGGGTTACCTCCATCACAACTCCCTTCTCTCGGTCCCCAAATTACCAAGGGGATCAGAGTCCACCAGTGAGTGGGAAAAATACAGAAACACAGATCCTCACCTGATCTACTCAAATAAAATTCCTGGAGGGTGAGGCTGAGGCATCTGAGGTCCTTGTAAGAGACAGGGAACATGGGGAAGGGATAAAAGAAGGTTTTACTTCTTATTTTGCATCTTTCTGTACTGTTTGTTTTCTGATCCTGTAGATACAATAGTTTCATATTTTTAAAAAATGAGAACAAGAAATAAAACCTTCCCACTGATAATCCTGCAGTTGCTCTAAGTCTGGAGTTTGAGAACCACTAACACAGACCCTAACACCCTGAGTTTGGGCATATCAAACGGCTTCTTCTTGGCCTGTGAGGTACCTTGATTTCCTCACAGAACTGGTTTATGGAAATAATGGCTCATATTTATTGACCACTTAGCTGCCACTTTTCTAAACATTTTAACATCTAACCCTTACAACAGTCTTCCGAAATGGTCGACTTCATAGATGAAGAAACTGAGGCAACTAACTTGCCCAAAGTTATCCAGCAGACAGCAGAGATTCTAACCCAGGTAGTTTGGTTCTAGAACCTTCCTCATGTGTTACACCAAAGTCTGCTCGTCTCATTGGTGGAGCACAGGCTGAGGCTGGGGAAGGGGGAAGCTAAGTGTCAGACGGGTCCAAAGGTGTCCCCAGAGCACAGAAAACCCTTCATGTATCCTACCACTCTGGGCTCATGGAGCCTTCTCACCTCCTTCTCCCCTCTCTTGGCGAGGAGCCCGCCGTGTCACGCAGGGCAGAGCAGGTAGAGGGACAGAATGGCCTGGGCGTGCCTGTCCCGCCCTGCAGCTCTAGGATCTTACTGGCTTAGGAATTTCAGGGCTGATCCAACCCCAAGAGGACACCCACGGCCAGAGATCCTGGGTGCTGGGCAGGCTCAGGTTCAGCAGGTGTTTGGGGATGAGAGGCAGGAGGCTGCTACCTCTGGCCAGAGGCTCTGCCTCCTTGGAGACACCAGGAACAGGTCAGGCCTGTGAAAGTAGCCTGAAGTCCAGGAAGGTCAACAGCTTTGGAAGTTCCCTCTCAGTCCCCTGACAAGGGCAGGGCAGGGTAGCAATGTCGCTGACAGGACAGGCTCTGAGGTGCCCAAGGTGCAGGTGGCTCCATCAGTCCGGATTCACAGGCACCAGGGGTAGGCATGACCTACACATTACACATGCCTGCCCCACCCATTCCCGACATGGGGTGTGTGGTGTGTGGTGTGTGCCTTCATGGCCCCAGGAAAGGCCACAGAGATCACCAAATCCTCACCTGGGCACAGGGGGGCTATATGGTTTTCCCACAGCCACAAAGCCAGTCGGTGTCAGAGCTGGGACTAGAACTCATTACTTCTGGCTTTCAAGCCGGTGCTCTAACCACGACCTTGCCACCCTGCACAGCCTCAGCCAATGACACCTTCCTCCCTCCCTCCCTCCCTCCCTCCACCCTCCTGCCCTCCAGCTTCCTTTTCTTTGTGGGCCACCAACTTACTGGCCTCTTCTGGGTCCAGCATCCTTCAGGTGGCTCTGAAGAAGTGGGCCCCAACCTTGGCCAGTTAGAAACCCCAGTGGCAGCTCAAAGGAGGCCACTTTGCAGGCTGAACCCTAATAACAGTGTGGGGAACACAGCCTGCCCTTAGCAGAGGATGGAGCCGAGCTCCAGGGATGACCACAGCTGCACGCTCTGCTATTTTATTTATGAGTTCTCCTAATAAGGGTGGAAGAATTCCCCAAATAAAAGTATGATTACCAACACAGAAAAATATTGTATAAAATATGAAAAATATTCTCCCTCCTAAGAGGAATGGAATTAGAAAAATAAAGCAAGTGGATGGGGCAAGGAGGTTAAAAAGAATAAGTGAAAAGACATTTTTAAAGGGACCTTAAATAATATAACAGGAATAAATTGGGTGTGGTGGCACAGGCCTGCAATCCCGGCCCTCTGGGAAGCTGTGGCGGGAGGATTGTATGTTCAAGTTCAAGGACAACTTAGTGACTTGCAAGACCTTGCTTCAAAATAAAAAATAAAAAAGGGCCAGGCAAATAGCTCAGTGCAAAGGCCCTGGGTTCAATCTCCAGTACAATCAATCAATCAATCAACAATCAATGTGTGAATCACTTCTCGGCCTTTTGGCTAAGATCAAGTGTAACAATCAATGTGTGTTTAAATAACCTTATGGCAGTTCCATAAGCTGTAGGTTTTTTTTTTGGTACTGGGGATCGAACTTGGGTCCTTGCGCTTATGCAGCAGGAGGCGAAACCACTGAGCTAAATCCCCAGCCCTCATAAACTGTAATGTTAAGCAGCTATTAAAAATAATTTTGAAGATTGTGCAGTGATACAGAAAACATGATAAAAGAGTAATTTAAAATGTATGGTAAAAATCATATGTGAATATGTTATAGTTCTAAAATTGTTTAAAATTATATAGACAAAAGATTGAAAAGTTATACAACTATGTTTGTAGTTGGTTTCCCCGGATGTTAGAATTAAAGGCAATTTTAGTTTTGTTATGCATATGTTTCTAAATTTCATGGATTACTTATATGTTAGATAAAAACTATTTTCCAGAAGACACCTAAACTAGTCAGAGCGAATGGTGTGAGCCCGGGACAGCATGAGGCGGGCAGGATGCATGTCGGGGGCCTGAGGGGAGCTTCGAAAGTGCAGGGCACTTGACAGATGACAGGCTGAGGCTTAGACTTGCAGTGCCCGCCCAGTGGTGTGAGGAAGACTGGGGAGCTTTCTCCACTCCCAACCGTGACCACTTTCTGCTTTCCATCTGAACATGCTGATTGCTCACTGCAATTGAGTTAGAATCGGAATGTGTGCACGGCTGAAAAAATTGAAGATTCTGATGAAGAAAGGAGGGAGAGAGAAAGGGAAGGAGGAAGAAAGGAAGGAATGTGGGAGGAAAGAAAGGGGAAGGAAGGAGGGAGAGAGCGTGGGAGGAAAAGAGGGAAGGGAGGGAAGAGGGAGGGAGCGAGGGAGGGACGGGAAGGAGGAAGAAAGAAGTGTAAGCTGGGCGTGGTGCTGCCCATCTCTAATCCCAGAACTCTGAAAGGCTGAGGCAGGAGGATCACAGGTTCAAGCACAGCCTGGGCAACTTAGTAACTTAGCAAGCTCATGTCTCAAAATAAAAAATGGCTAGAAATGTAGCTCAGTGTGAAGGCCCTGGGTTCAATCCCCAGTGGTGCATGAATAAATACATTAAAAAATTTTAAAAGTAATATTAGGAAACCCCCAGATTCCTCTCGGGAAGCAGCAACAGCAGCAGTTGTGAACAGGTGCCTCTGTCCATCCCACAGCAGCCCAGAGCCCGCCTTCCGTGCTCTCACAGACACCCCCAACCCCCAAGCCCCTCCACCCTGCCCCGTCCCTCCTCCCCTCCCCCTCTCCCTCCTCTTCCTCCTCCGCAGCCTGAGGGCCTGGGGCCAGACTGACCATGACGATCTCCAGCACTTCGTTTTTGCTAATGGCCCCGTTGCCGTCCACGTCGTACAGGGAGAAGGCCCACCCCAGCTTCTGGGTGGGCTTGCCCGCGGTGGTCATGTGCAGGGCAACGACGTACTCCTTAAAGTCCAGGGTGCCGTCGTTGTTGGCATCGAAGCTGCGGAACACGTGCTGCGCGTAGGCCTTGGGGTCGGCGTCTGGGAAGAACTTGGAGTAGATGCTCTCGAACTCCTGCCTGGTGATGCGGCCGCTAGGGCACTCTTTCAGGAACGTCTGGTACCAGGTGCACAGCTCCTCCTCTGTGAACTTGGTGTTCAGCTGCAGCTCCTCCAAGATCTCCTTGGACAGCGCCCCGCTTCTGCTGTTCCCCATGGGTGAGGGCGAGTGAGCACCGGCTGGCGGCGGGTGGGATGCGTGGTCTGGCTGCCAGGGCGCTGCATGGAGGAGCAAGGCTGAGGTGCTCGTGGATTAGGGGGATTTGCAGCCGGTTCTTCCCAGTTCTTGGAGGGAGGAGGGGTGGGGAGCTGCCAGCACCCTCCTGAGATTAAAATAAAGAGCTGAGAGCAGGTGAGCAAACCATTTTGGCTTCCTGGGAGGAAAAGAGGGAGGAGAGACCCTTGGGCCAGAGTGTCCCCTGGCCCCAACTCCACCCCTTAGTGCCATGATGTCCAGGCCTGTCTTCTGCACTAATGCCCAGTGTCTCAGCGTCAGGATGGCATCTCATGTGGAGACTTGTTATGCAGTGGCTAAGAGCACAGACTTCACTGGCTGTGTGACCTGAGGCACTTTATTTATTTACTTGTTTGCTTGTTTTGCTTTTGTGCTACTGGGTATGGAACCTGGGGAGCACAGAGCTACATCTCCAGCCCTTTGAATTATTTTTTTTCTTTCTTTTGAGATGGGATCTTTATAGATTACCCACGTTGGCCTTAAACTTGCAATCCCACTGCCTCACCCTGCTGAATACCTGGAATTACAGTAGTGTTTCTTAACCTCTCTCTGGTTGGGAGGTTCTCTTCATCCTTTGCCTTGGTCACATTTTGGCTTCAGTGCTACCTTCTCATTTCCAATAGCACAACTCGCATGCGCAATCCCATCCCCATGGGTGTACTCCAAACTACTCTCACCAGAGGGCTAGCTCCAGAAAGGAAGAGATTTTGTGTTGCTTCTTGCTGCATCTGCATTGCCAGAATAGTGCCTGGCAGGTTTGGGCCCTCAATAAATATTTCTTGAATGAACAGGCAGAATAATGTCTACCTAATTGTTATTATGAGGCTAAAATGAGTCAATATGTGCAATAGAATAAAATAAACCAATCTTGGCACAAGGCAAGTGCTAAGCACCCACAGACAGTCCTGGATTTACGATGGTTCCACCTATAGTACCATTTTTTTTCCCAGTGGTGCAAAATCCTCCTATATCTACTGGTTTACATTCTTTTCTTTCCTTTTTTTGTACTGGGGATTGAACTCGGGACCTCACGCTTTCGAAGCATCAGAACCACTGAGCTAAATCCCCGACCCTGGTTTTCATTTCTGATATTCAATAAATTGCATGAGATATTCAACTCTTTAATATAAAGTAGCTTTGTATGAGAGGATTTTGCCCAATCACAGGCTAATGTAAGTGTTCCAAACATGTTAAGGCAGGCAAGGTTAAGCTATGGTGTTCAGTAGGTTAAGTGTATTAAATGCATTTTTGACATGATGTTTTTCAGTTTCCAATAGGTTTATCAGGACGTGGCCCTCATTGTAAATCGAGGAGCACTTGTAGCCATTTTTCTTATTGTTCATCAATAACAAGGAAATCTAGAAATCAGATTTTTAAATGCAATGTTCACATTTTAAAACTCTGGCAATTCAAAATTTAAAAAACAAACAAACATGCAGGCCAAACACAATGTATCTGTGGCTTAGTTTCAGCCTGCAGGTTGTCTGTTTTTCATGCAGCGTGGAACTGGGATCTAGTAGGCAATAACGTGTATTTTCAGAGTGAGAGGATGGATAAATATATGCGGGGCAGGAGGTGGGGAGCTGCACAGAAGGGCTCACAGCAGGCTGCGGCTCAGGGATGAACACAGAGCACAAGAGGAGGAAGCCTCGGTGCACATTGTATCCCTGGATTCTTGTCCCCCAGAGGGAGGCTGGCAGTGCCCTTGGCTTAGCTGAGCACATTCTGGAGGGGTCACACTCCCAGCTGCAGCATTGGCCCTGGGGTAGGAAGCTGTTTCCTCTTCTTTGGGGGTGAGGTTCATGAAAGATAAGCTCTAATATCTTCAGGCAGGTAAGAGGGGTTTGTATCCCATTTCCTCAGAGGCTGTTGGTAGGGAAAGCGAGGCCTCACTGCTGGGAGAAAGCTACCTTCCAGGCCCACTCTATTCATCAGCTATCACTGGGACAAAACTCCTGAGAAAATCAAAAAAGGAAGGATTTATTTTGCCCCACAGTTTGGAGGTTTTCATTCCCAGTCAGCTGACCCCATTGCTTTTGGCCTGTGGGAGCACATCACAGCATGGAGTGCATGGCAGAGCCAGCTGCTAGTCTCATGGTGGCCAGGAAGCAGAAAGACAAAAAGAGACAGGAAGGGGCCTGTGTCTCCAGGACCCCCTTCATGGGCACACCCCCAGTGACCTAACTTCCTCCCGCTAGGCCTCCCTGGGAAAGGTTCCACCACCTCCCAGTAGCACTGCAGGCTGGATACCGTACCTTTTACACACAGGCCTTTGAGAAGTACTTAACACAGGGCCAGGGATTTAGCTCAGTGGTTTTGTCGCCTGCCTCGCAAGTGCGAGGTCCCAAGTTTGATCCCTGGTACCAAAAAACCCCACAAAACCCAGTAAGAAAAATACTTAACACAAACCATACCCCCATCTTGACCTTGCTCAGGAAGGACCTAGAAGGTCAATATCAAAGTGTTGACCTACCCTTCCTGCATATCCCACTGGATATGGTTCCAGAGTTCTCAGGGAAACTTAACGCTAAGGGTATGTGTGTGTGTTTGTGTGTGTACTTTAAAATTTTTCCACATTCACTTATGGAGCCTCCATGCAGCCTAGTACAGCCCTGACGGTTGAGGGGTAGAAAGCAGCTGAAGCCAGAGGTTTTGGCCCCTGCTCTGAGCCTTGATGGGTGGCGGGAAATGTCTCCTGGTGCCAGACCTGTCTACAACAAGCCTGTGCATGGGGCAAGGCCAATGCCACTGCTGAGAACCAGGGTTCCAAAAGGCACATCTCCGGCCTGGGTCTCATGGTTGCTCGGTGGCCAAGCTGGGAGAGCTCAGCTTTGCCAGCTCCCTGTTCTGGCTTCATTCATGACAGCTGCCTCTTTGCCAAGCAGGCTCTGCCAGGGGCCCAGAATCACCATCTCTGTAGGTGAGGATCTGGGGCTGCCATGACCACAGAAAAGATCCTGGGTGAAGAGATAGGCGGCCTTGGGTTTAACAGAAGTCTGCCGGAGCCCCTCAGGCTTTTCTGTCCCTTCCAGGGGTGAGGAGGAAAGAGGAAAGCAGGTCAGAAGTGGTATAGTACAGTCCACATCCTTCAGCGTGCTGTGCCCAGGAGAGCCACCCTCTGCTACAGGGGACTCAGGCAGGGGACCACAGGCAGCTGTGTTGATGCGGCTGAGACTGGGAGGGGTCATGACCTGGAGGTTTGTTTGAAAACCTGCATAAACATCTTCTACCAGAGGGAGTGCTTCTGCTCCTTAGCCAAACAAGTTGTTGCCGATGATGTATAGTGAATGGATTTGTTAAGTCTGAGCTGGGGCCATAAACCCTCCCGGTACCCTAAAGACTGCTGACTGCTGCTGCGGGAGAGGGCTGTTTGTGTCTCCCCCTGCCAGCCTTGCCTGGACTGAAAGAAGCAAATGCTTGCAGGAGGCTGGGCCTGCTGCCCCCAGGCAGGACCTTGGTCTTGACTGTTTATTTGGGCTCAGACCACAGCCCTGGCCCTATTCTTCTACCTCCCCTGCTATGAGCTAAGGACAAAGTGAGCCTCCCCCTTCAGAAAGCCTGCACGGAGGGGAAAGCGGAATGGAGGTGTAGGGAGACAGCCTGATGGCCATCTGCTTGCTCTAAGTAGCCATCCGTCCTTTGGGTTGGCGTCCTTGGTGTCCTCCGCAGCACTTTCCTTTCTGCCACACCCCACTCTGACCTGTCATCATCTCTGCACCTGGCTGCTCTCTTGGGGAGCCCTGCCTCTGCCCGTATCTGCATGATGTCAGGCTGTGCACCTGGCTGCTGAGGTCCCCCAGAGTAGCTATCAAGATACCTGTGATGGCCAGCACAAGCCTGCACTTCCAGCCCCGTTCCACAGCCACCCCACTGAGCTTGCCTGGTCCTTTCTCCTTGCTCTTTCCATCCGTACCAGCCATGCTGGCCTCAAACATTTACTCTGGTTGTTCCCTCTGTCAGAAACCTTCCCCCAGGTCTCCTATGTTTGATCAGATGGCACCTTCTCAAGAAGGCCACTCCCCCCTCCTGGTTAATATAGCAACTTATTCACCTTCACCCTCTACTTTCCTCTTTTTGCTCAACACTTAGCCTCTTCTGCACCCGGGCAGTATGATACAGTTACTAGGTCTCCAGCTTCTGTCTCTCCCTGCTGCAACGGAAGCTGTGCGAAGGCAGGGCTCTCAGCTTCAGTCTCTGATGCACTTTCAGTGCCCAGAACACTGTCTGGCATATGACAGATGCTCAGTGACTGCTGAAGGAATAAATGGATGAATGAGAAAAGAACAGCCCACAGCTATAGAGGTGGAAGGGAAGCAGAGGGCTGGAACTCATAGACAGGAAGTCACCAGAGGGGTGGGGCTAGGGCCAGCACACAGTACACATCTGGGTACCAACGTCCAAGTGCTCTCTGTCCCTTCTGTCATCAGAAATAGAATAATCACCAACCCAGGAGCTCTAGAGGGATGCTGTGACCATCCGTACAAAGGACACTGGCAGCCTTCTAGGAAGGAGTCACCTTGTATGACCCAGTGTCTCTGGACAGTTTCTTTCACATGGGATAAATCTAAGCATCTCAAGTGTACATACAGAGCCAAAGAAAAAAGTCAGATAGCAGTAAACTCCCTGAAAACCCTTTATAATAATGCAGGACAATTATATATAGCAAACGCCTTCAAAATTTAAACTCTTGAAACATTTAATTCTTCAGCATTAATACACACGAATACTATTATGGGGATGGGGGGCAGGTTACATCTTCCACGGGGATCAGATTTTCAACAGTGTTACTTATAAATTATATTACATCGATTTTATTTACTGATCTAGGCAGCCAGAGGAGGGAAGGATATACAATGTGGAGTAAACACATTCATACCGGAGTGAGGAATGCTGGCAGGAGACACAGCTTTGTAACATTAAAAATGTATAAAGTATTTAGCAAAAGTTACAGAAAACAGACCAAACAAGCAAGTTTATTTTGTTAGAAAATCCCACTTTCATAGGGCTTGCTGATGTGCTCGTGTCCATGAAGGGGATGCCTCTGGTCATCTCCTTAAGGGAAGGGGAGGGATGCAGATTTGGGGCCCTTGTCATCCAGGATGGCTGGTGTCCCTTGGAACGTCTGCCCTTGGGTCTTCCACACTGCTGCCTGAAAGCCACAATGCTGGAGAGACTGTCTGCCAAGGGAGGTGCAGGGAGGGAAGTGCCCCACTTAAGAGCGGAGCACACAAAGGTCCAGGTGCAGGTCTGGTTTTAGGGTACAGGACACATGAGGCAGCAGGGAGGGACCAGTCTTGCTCTTCCTCTAGTACCACAGGCTTTTCTTCTCCATCTCCATGTCACACTATCCCTGTGAGGATACCGGGGGTCCTTGGCCTTCACATTCCTCCATTGTAGTTCAATTATAAATTCTCCCCCAACATCACTCAGAGTATCCAAAGGACACCCACCCAAGACACTCCCCAGCCTCTCCTGACAGAACCACACTCAGCACCCAGAAGCGGGGGAATCAACCTGTTCTTTCTACCCCAAGCAACTCAAGCAGCAGGTGGGCCCTCGCCTTTAGCAAAGTCCCAACAGAAATGATGCGCCTGGCCCACTGGGGACACGGAGTACTCCCTGGTAGCATCCAACCCTTGAGTTGCAGTGGCCTGGGCATCCCACCTCGCGACCCTGTGGGCTCTGGGGTCCCACCCTGACCTTCATCTGGCCTCAACCCAGGAAGGTCCCCAGTTCACTCAGGGGGACTTCCAGTTGCCTTTCACTGAGCGGAACGTGATGGAGACATAGCTTGGAGGACCTTGGGGTAACCCACAACCTGGCCTGGGCTTGGCTGGGTTTGGTCCTATGCCTGCCGCCATCTGCTACCACTTAGGTGGGTATGGGCACAGCCAGGCTCAGTGACCACCAGCCGAGCAAGGCCCAGCAACAACTAGGATTTGACCGAGGTGACTGCATCTGGACGCCTGTCCTGGCTCCTGGGGACAGACCCAAAAGTAACAACTTACAGTTCCTATGGGGGTCCTAGGAGGAACTGTCTCATTCTTAGCTCACAAAATTCTGCAGTTCCCTTTCAGCCTGAAAGGAGAAGCCAACCTCACCAGGGTTTTAGACAACTTTGTGCACAAATGTGCAGGTGACATCCAGATCAGGCACAACCGCGTGTGTGGGGTACAGACCGGGAAACAAGATGGGGAGGCGGCAGAACACAGCAGTGAGAAGCCCCGGACACCATCCAGAACAAGTATCCTCAGCTGGCACAGGAAGCCACTGGGCCAGGGAGAGAGCATGATGTGGCCCAGGACCGGCGCCAGCCTCTTACCATGTGCCTTCCACTCGGCCCTCATGGCCCAACACACTGAGTGGCAAATGCTGGGAGCACAGGCACTGCAGCGAGATACAGGAGGGCACAGGTCTTCTAGTTGGGATGCAGGCTTCAGACTGCACATCTGGAAGGTAGCTACGACCCTGTCTACCACTGTCCCTCCAAGCTCTGGCTGCGTGCTGTACTGGAGAAAACCTATCATGGACCAAAAAGGTGAGTGTAAATCCCAAGAACCACTTGTGGGCACAAGAGGCATTCAGAGAAGAGCCCTGGAAGCTGTAAGAAGCAGTGGGCTATTATGCAAATAAGATGAAGATCCCAGGCCTTGAACTTCCAGGGCCAATGATTCACTTTAAAAATAGTGTGGCCCGTCTGATGCAATGGAATATTATTTAGCAATGCAAAGGGTGTGCTACTGTTATACACAACATCCTGGGCCGCTCAAAAGGCTACAGCAGTGTGACTTCACTTACAGGACATTCTAGAAAAGACAAAACTATAGGGTCAGAGCATTTATCAAGCTTGCTTGGTCAGGAGGTGGGAAGAAAAAACAGACCATAATGGAGTGGATATGAACGGTTTTTTTTTTTAAGTCATGGAAATCTTGTTGGATTTTGGTGATAGTTACAAGAACATGAGTTTGTCAAAATTTGCAATACGCAATCGAGTATGTCAGTTACACCCCACCATCTTGAAAGAAGGTAGCTATGAGTTGTGCAGAGGTGGGAAGGACTATGAGAATGACAGGCTGTTGCTCTGCCCCCCATCTGAGATTTGTAAAGTGCTTTCTTCTACCTACAGAATAATGAGCAGGTCTTAAAAGTACTGTGTCTCGGGTACTCAAAGCTGGGAGTAAAATCCCTTAAAGAAGCCATGGTCTTTGATGTCCTTTGAATTTTATGGCTTGTATTTCCAAGGGACTCTGGCTCAGCCAAGATTTTTATGCAGCCATCCACTAATCTAGCAATTGGTTGGTTTTCTCAAAGGGAACAGAAACAAATCCCTGGTCATGAATTCACATAGTTTCCGTTTGTTTTGGCCATTAGTCAGCCCTGCGAGCAGAGAAGTCCCCCCTACCACAGAAATCCCCCAAGGTGAACAGGCCATGGAGTGGAACCAGGAAGGGGACCCCTGTGGTTCCACTGACAGAGCCTCGGGGCCATGTTACACATGGCTCACATGATACACGCATTGCAGTACTGCCCAAAACAGGGAGAAGAAAAAAATAAAACTAAGGGTGACAGGTGGCTCTTCCTAGAGGCTGTCATGGCAACGAACTCACTGTGAACACCATTCATCTTAGAGATTTTTTTAAAACAAGTTTTTGGGGTAAGGATGTACCTAACTGGTAGAGCACTTGCCTAGCATGAGTGAGGCCTCTGATCAATCCCCAGTACCACAAAAACAAAAACAAAACAAACAAAAAACCAGGCTTTCACAGACAAACCTAAGTGTATCAGGTCTCCCAGGTGGCAGCAGGTAGGGGGCTAAGCTGGTCTCAGAAACCAAACAACAGCTGTTTACTCGCCCTGAATAAACCCAGCCAGATCATCTCATAACCTAAGCACCAAGACAAACACAAAACCATGCGAACAGGGCCAGGGGTGCAGCTCAGTGGTAGAGCGCTTGCCTGCATACATGAGGCCTGGGTTCTACTCCCAGCACCTTAAAAACAAAGACAATGACCACACAGACAGTGTGCTTCTTACTCCAAAGTACATTTTAGATTTTCTAGACTTCCTCCTAATCTTGATTCTACCCATGGCTGGAGGGGTCCTGTTCATAGGGATAGGGGCTTGGATGACTCCCCATGTCGTTCTCCAGCACTCGCTGGCTATGCTTGGGCTTCATCCCTCCTATTTGTACAGCAAGGAGAGTTAGTTACAGCCAACCAAGGAAATCTGTGAAATCAGAGCTGGATCTGGGCCGTGAGGGTCTGGTGAGTAGGTGATTAAAATCATGGTGCTGCCAACCTTCCACCCACTAGATAAATAGCTCATGGCAGTAGTTTATAATTAAAGAATCCCACTGGGTAGATGTGGAGTGAGTGATGTTCTTCCTCTCTAGAAAGCTCTAAACATTCCCCTGTCCACGGGGAGAGCAGGGGACAGAGACAGTGTTCATCTTACACGCAACTACAGTTCTACCACCCAGCGTGATGAGTGAGTGAATGCAGATTAATCAGCACAACAGACGGTACCTCTGCACATCTCAATCTGTAGAGTACTTTTCTGTCAAGGCCAGCTGCCAGGCCACTGGGGAAAGATAAATCTACACCAAACAAGCTCACAGACTTCTCCATGGCAGAGCTGTATCTCGATGTCAGATTAGATCTTGACACATTGCTTGACCTTAACTAAATGTTTGATGATAGAACTGAGAGAGGAAGAAAAAAGAAGAGGTGTATGTGAATGAGCTGAAGAGGTAAGGGTAAGGGGACAAGGTGGAAAGGACTTCTGAAAATGGGCCAATTCGGGTTACCCTAGAAGGGGCAAGAGCTCACTCCATCCCAGGGTCAGAGGACTCAGGAGCCTGCACATGGGAAAGAGAAGATGTCAGTAACTCATATTGCACTCAAACTATCTGTTAATTACAAGGCTGTTGGCTTTGAATGAGTGAAAATCATCCACAAACTAGTTTACTAAGCCACAAAGCAACTACCACTAGCACCCGTTTTTTAAAAAGAAACCAAGAAATAGTATCCTAAAATTCGTAGCTGGTATCATAGCCCTAGCCCAGATCTGGAAGGAGCAAGTCCAGATTCTTCTCCACGGATGCTGCTCCTCCCTCACATGGACAGCCCCCAACCTTCGTACTGGTGGACACGTTAACACTGGCCTTTGGGGTTGGAATGTTTCAATAAGAGAAACGACAGTTTCATTTGCTTTAGTATGTTAGACATCTTTCTGATATAAACTACAAGAGGTGCCAAAGATCTAAGAACTAGAAGGCATCCGTTACTAGCATGAGACATGGAGGGAAGATCAGTGAGCTGTGCTCATCGGATTCAGCCTTTGTGGGAGATGCATGGTCAAATGCAAAGTCAGCAATGGGAAAGATGAGGGAAGCTGGGTGCTAGGGCTCAGGCTCCCAGCTAGAATCTGTTGTCACTATGTGACTTCTAGTCCCCCCACACCCGTCCCTGTCAGATAGATTCTCTAGATTACCATGGCCAAGAACACACTTGTTGTCACAGAGGAAGGGAAGAAGTGAAACACTGGACCCAATGGCAGTGCTGAGGACTTCTGAGGTCCCTCTTGCTCAGGCTTCTCCAGGGAAGATGGGCAGATGGAAGGGAGGTGCTGGTACCCAGTGAGGCTCGTCGCTTCGATACTGCCTAGATGTTAATGACTCACTGCAGCCATGGGCAAGTTTTCAGTGCCTGAACAAGGGCCAGCAGCCTTGACCCCATTGTGCACAGGCAGACAGAACATATGGAGATGGCCCAGACTTGGCCCAACCTGTCTCCCAGGTGGGACTTTCCCAGCCCCATGGATGGTCAGCTCAATGATGCAAAGGCGGTGGGCAGACAGACCCTGCTGGTTTCCTGTGGCTGGCTGGTTTCTGAGATGAGCTGGCTTGTTTCCGTGGACACAATGAACACAGCTGGGCGAGATGCTGCTGGCTAAGAACTTTGGAAAACTTCCTCTACTGAGACTGGGATGGGGTAGCAGTGTCGGGGCAGGGGATTTCCTTGAGAAGGCAGCAGAGGGAGGGGTAGAGAGGGAGGGGGTTCCTGGGGAGATTTTACAGATAATGCCTGATCTGGTAGGAGCCATGATTTAATACTCCAACTTGGGGCTAATTTGCCAAATGAGGTAGTTCCATCCTGACCTCTCCAGGCAGGGTTGGTCTGGGAAGAGAGAAGCCAAGCCTTCTTCCCAAGCCCACTGGGGATGAAAAGTGGTCAAGAAATTCAGATACGGGTTCCCAGAATGCAACTGGAAAGAACTGGGAAGGAGGGCTGCAAAGGATTCTGGGTGAGGGCTGTGAGGTGAACGGCACCTTCTATCCACAATTCTGACCCTGATGCTGGCTTAGACACAGACACCTCCCTCTCCTGGTATTCCAAAGCCTTGGAGACAAGGTGGGGCAGCTGGAGGATGGCATCCAGGAACACAGTCACCCCATGGGGTTCAGCAGGGACCACGAAGTTCCAGCCTCAGTTTGTTCTCAGAGCAACAAGCACAGCATGGGAGTTGGGGAGCTCAGAGACAAGGGCAGGGTTGAGGGTCCAAAGTCGTCTTGGTTGGGGAATACTGGGGAAACCCCAGCTGGGCTGTCTAGGTCGCCCTTCTGGAACCACCAGCTTTCCCCCTCTCCTCAGTGGACCGGGAGAGTGGGTGGGAGGGCAGCTCCACCCAGTGGGAGCCTCCACCCCGTCTCTGCGGGACCCCAGCCCCTCTCTTGGGCAGGACCCCCAGGCCACCTAGATGCGGCTAGATCTCCATGTCCACAGGGCGAATGTTGCCTGTTTTGTGCTCTCTGACCCACAGCTCCCTGTCTTTGGCCGGGTCCACTTTTCGTAGCAGTTGGTCCACAGGCTCGACTGTCTGCAAGGGACAGAGAAGAGAGGACACTGTCAGAGGTGGCGGCTGAAGCTAGGGCTGCTTCCTCTGTGCCGTGCTGCTCTTGCCCGGGTGCTGTTCAGAGCAGACTTTCTAGAAGGTTCCATGGGAGGGGCTCATCTGAAGGACAGAAGGAGCAGAGGGCTGTGGGAGCCAGAGCCCAGATCAGGTCACCCCAGCTTTTCAACCTGCAGCCCCCAGGCCCGGGAGAGGAGCAGAATACTTTAAAGGCCTGTGACCCCTTCCTCCATATGTCTCTACACGGACCAGCAGAGGATACGACCAATGAACGTTACCTTGAATATTTGTGAAGTTGTATTTTTTTGTTTTGTTTTGTTTTTTGAGAAACTCATCAAGGGAGACAATCATGTCTTCAGCTACTTTAACTGTAGTGAGTTTCTTTCTCCTTGGTAACAGCTCGAGGGAGCATCTAACCCCTGTGCTAGGGATGGGCCATGTGATCACCCCAGGCGGTCCTGACGAGTCCATCCCCCGAGGTCACTCTCGAGCAGACGCACCTGCCCACTGCAGGACAGATCCGTCTGCAGAAGCCACCTAAACTGTCACAGCACAGTGGCAGGTGGCTGTCCCCTGACCCCTTGCCCCCTGGGGCCCTGCTGGCCTCAGCCCAAGGGTGAGGACTCACGCTTTGGTTGAACATGTCGGTCTCGTGCCGCAGCTGTGTGTACTGGCACAGATGCTGCCGGATCATCTCTACCCTCTCCACCTCCAGCCGCTCCAGCTCCTGCCAAGAAGAAAGGACCAACGACCTCTGAGCACATCCCCCACCCGGGGACCTTCCTGCTTAGCAGTCCCAGACTACTAGATATCCGAAACACAAGTCCCCCGGTGATGACGTCAACCCTGTCTGACCCTCTGGGCTCCCAGGAAGCCGTACTCATCTCTGGGGTGAAGGTGAGGTTACAACAGCAGCTATTCCTTTACTTCCTGAGAGCCTCCTCTGCCATGCATGGTGAGAAAAGCCTCAGCAGGTGTTACCTAACTGTCCTCACTATTATGGTGAGAAAGAAGTTTTGTGATTATCCCAACTTTCCAAGGCAGGGAACTAATACCCTAGAGAGGGACTGTCACTTGCCCAGGGTGACATGGAATTAAGGAGCAGGATGTAAAGCAGGGTCCATCATGTTCTTAATCATGACTCTATATGAGCAGAGCCCCAGCCCTAGTACCCCAATGGGGTGGGAGCAGTGGGCCCCTCAAACTCTTGGGTCTTTGTCTTTGAGCCTCTGTCCACCGTAGTTCGAGGGACAGAGCAGAGACCAGGCGGGGGAGGCAGAGCAGGCTGGAAGGGGAGCAGCTGCTTGTCAAAGGGAAGAGTGGACAGGGCTTCTCCTTTGGTTTCTAGATAGTTCCTTGTCTTTGGAATTGAGGGGATTAGACTGTTATTCTGTGCATAACTAGGTCACTGCTCAGGTGATTAAACAGGAAGGGAGGCAAAGCAGGGGGCTTATTTAGGGGATTAGGGAGGAAAACTGGGTCATTGGCCCTGGTGGAGTCCTCTAATCTGCCCTGGTGGGCTGATGCCTGGGGAAGGCAGCTGCCAGGTCCTGTGCTGGGTGGACAAGGGGCAGCTTTGGGCAGCAGAACGGCAAGATGAGCAACACTGGCTCCTCTCCCTCTGGCCCAAGTATAGTTACATGCCACTGTCCCACCCAGACAGGGCCTGACCCATGAGGAGATGCTGTTCCTTTAAAGGGATTCTCAGTAGAACATCATGGGGCCTGCTGCTTTGGTCAGATTCCTAGGCCTTTCCCTACAAAGCTCCTGCAATCCCACTTGTACAGATGTCCCTGGAGGATTCTGCCATCGGGACCCGCAGCTCTCCGGTGTATGTGTAGGGGAGGGTCTCTCTTTCTACTACTTGGCTATTTATCTTCAGGGTCTGCTCAGGGGACTGTCTGCTTGATTCTGACCCTCAGTGGCAAGCCCAAGGAGGGTACAGCGGGACCAGGCCCTCACCCAGGTCCATATAGCAGGTGGCACTACAGTCCCTGAATGCACAGATGGCCCAGACCAAGGTCTTGACTCTAACCTTGGAGCGGCTCTAATGACCACCCCTATGGTCACCTCCACACCATCCCTCAGTGGCCACCACCACCCACCCAGAGCGCCCTCTGTACTGGCACAGTCATGACCCTTTGGGCACATACCAACGTGGTGGTCACCATCTCTTCAAACCACTTGGACTGGGCCTGGTTGTAGAGGTCCACACAGCGCATGAGGTCATCTCCTGGAAAAGCCAACAGCCACCGTCATGTTATGTCTGCTCTGTTCTTCCCTGGCCTTGCTTCCCCTTCCCTACCCGTGATGGTGGCCTGCCTGCGCCTTCCCTCGTCATAGCAGCCATTGGGAAGTTAGGGGATGAGGTGGGAGAAGAGGAGGGCAGAGTAAAGGAAGGAACGGGGCAACCCAGTACCTGGGAAACTAGTTTTAGAGCATCTTTCTAAACGCGACCTCAGATACCAAGAATTCGGGATGGGGTTTCTCATTAAGAGTGTGTATATGCCCAAGCCCAACCCCTAGCACAAGTGTGAGAAATTCTTCTCTTTCTAAAGGTGGCAGTCTGCATTCAGACTGGAGCATCCGGATTCATTAAAACATGTGCCACAGGCAACCCAGTACTAAGTAAAAGAGAGAAATTTGCAAGTCGTGTGCCCGTGTGTGTGTGTGTGTGTGTGTGTGTGTGTGTGTGTGTGTGTTTATGAAACTGCATATCATTTTGAATCACAGTATAATGTGCCTGGTGGTTATAGCTCATTCACTGTGCAATGATAGAACAAAAACTTACACTGGAGTGCTACACACCAACTTCAAAAGGGTGGTGACCTTGGGGAATAGAGAAAGGGTGAGTGGGAAGGGGAGGTAAGCTCCTTCTATAGCATTTTGTTCAGTAGCAAGAGATCTGAATAAACTATTACTCTTGATTACTATTAACTCTTGATGGCTACCCTATTACCTTCTGTAACCACGTGTATGTTTGGAACTCTTTGTAGTCAGAACCAGAACAACCTATGAAGTAACTGCAAACATCACTAAATGTATCAGCACCTTGGAAACCTGCTGCAAACACAGTTTGTGGACCTGCAGTGCCAGCAGCCCCAGGAGCTGTCGGGGCTGCATTGAGAAGAAGATATCCTCGTCTTAGCTCAGAATCAGAAAAGCCTGTGAGCCAACCCCCATGCTAACTTCTTCATGCCAGTCATTCTGGAGGAGATGCCAGGAATTCTAAAAGTCAAACTCTAAAGTAGAACCTAGCAATTCAAATAGATTCAAAGCTCCTCCTGTAACATCGCTCCTGCTCATGTGTCTTCTGCTAAGAAAGTGATGGTGCCCATGCTCTGCTCTCCACCCGATGGCACCTTGACCACTGCCAGCTGGTGGGGACATGAGGCAGAGATCATGGGGACATGAGACTGCACACCATAGTGGCTGAGTCCTGAGGAGAGTGCTGAATTGAGGGTTTTGTTCATTTTGCTCATGGTTCAAGGCCACTGACTGGACCTTTGACCTCAAGAGGCACTGGGCTGGAGGGAAGGAAGGGGATACCACTCTGCGAATGCATGTACACCAAGATCTCATGCCTGCCTGTCAGCGTGTCACCTGTGAGGGGCAAACAATATGAAACTCCAGAGCCCAATCTATTGACAGAGATTTTGAGGATATGCTTCAGGAACTTCCACAGCACAAGGAAGCAGCAGGCAGAGGATGCTGTGTTTCCTCTTGAAGGCCACTCAAGAGTTGGAAATTAGACCCTCCTGAGCAGTGTTGCCTAAGAACATGGATACAGGAACCAGAACGATGGATATAGGAACATGGATAGCAACAATGGATATAGGTACATGGATATAGGAACTAGCCTGGGTCGTCAGCCTTGCTCCACTTGTTATTCACTGTGTAACCTTGGACACAGAAACTAACCTGCCAGCTGTGCCTCTGCCTTTTTCATCTGTACAATGGATATGATGGTAGTGCCTTCACAGAGTCATTATAAAGATGGAACAGGCTGATGTACATACAGTGCTTAGGATGAAGACTCGCAGAGACAGCAAAATGTTTAATGTGAGCTATGGTAACAATGCTGATTACAATGAGTTAAAGTTAGGACCTGATGATCCTGATTCCCTTCTTTCCAGCAACCTCACAAAAGATGAGGGAGAGGGAGGTAAGGGACTGGGAAGAAAGAAGTAGTGGCATTTTCTGAGCAGCCATCCAGAAAAATGCTGACACCACAGCCTTTGGAATAAGAGAAAGCTGAGTTCTGGCCCTGAATGCTACAACTGTGAGTGCTGGGCTAACTCCTATCAATTTTCTCATTTGTAATAGACCAGGAAAATACCTGTTTATGGTGAGGGTGCTCTGAAGATTAAGAGACAAGGCTCTAAGGCCCGGAGCCTGAGGCCTGGCATACAGTAAGTGCTCAATAAAGGCAGTTTTTGTTGTTTATTTTGCAGTGCTTGGGATACAACCAAGAGCTCTACTACTGAGCTACACCCCCAATCCAAGGTAGTATTTTTTAAATAGTGGGTCTAAGGACTTGTCACTTTCATCATAAAATAATTTCTGGGTAGTGGAATAAGAGACCTTGTTATCTGAATAGTAACAAATCCCTTGCTCATGAAAATGTACAGCAATTCTTCCTCAAATATGAACTCAAAATCTAAATAGCAAAATGCCTTGAAAATGGCAAAATGAAAATACTGCAATCAGAACCTGTGAGGATCAGGACACGAGGGTAAGGAAGAAGGAAAGTAGAGTGGGTTGCATATTTCACAGCTAAAAACTAAACTAAAACAAAAATAAACACCAGAACCCTACCCTCTCTGCACAAAAATATTTTTTAAAAAAAGAAAACAAATTTGACTTTTAAGGAAAGTCTCAAAAGGGGGAAGGTCTTTCTAAGTCACTCCTACTAGAACCCAGGCACCATAGGGGGGAAAAAAAACCCTATATAGAAAAAAGTAACAAAAGCCAGGCAAACAGCAAATACAAAATTATACAGAATGAAATTAAAAGATAAAATATTTGCAATTCAAATGTCAAAGGATTAATTTCCCTAGCATATAAAGAATCCTTATTGGGTGGGTGTGGTGGTGCACATCTGTAATCCCAGCTCTGAGTATTGCCATGAGTTCAAGGCCAACCTGAACTACCTAGCAAAAAAGAAAAAAGAAAAACAAAAAACAAAGCAAACCAAAATGAATGCAAGAATCCTTATCAATCAGTCAAGAAGAAGAAGAAGACCAAATCACTCAACAAGAAAATGGGAGAAGCTTTGGTGAGTTATTTAGGCCACAGAAAAAAATGTGATTTATAAGTGTATTTTTAGAATGTTCAACCCTGCTTACAGAGAAAACAAAAACAAAAATATTGGGTTTTTTTACCAGCACACCAGTGACTTTAAATTTTGATAACAGGCAATGCTGATGGAAGTCTCAGAAACAGGTGTCCCAGATGAGAGCCATTTAGAAATATGCATCATTGGGAGAACTGTGCATCAAAACGAAGGAATTTTTTTGCTCCAGCATCTATAGCCTATCTGTAGATCTGGTCTTAGACATACACAGTTAGGATAACACATCATTGCTGGCCCTGGGAAACACTCTGCAACAATCTAAGAGTTCCAAAAATCAACTAGGAAAATGATGAAATAAATTTGGATACAATCATACAATTGGACATTGGTCAATCAGTAGAAAGTCTGATATGCATAAGGAGATGCAGAAACAGATGTAGAGGGAATGCAGTAGGACTAGTCTAACAGACAGCAGTTAATAGTAAATTCAGAAGAGTATAATATGACCTAATTTATATAAGTTCAAATATTATTTTAAAAACTCAAAACAGTAGGAAGTATGGATGGTGAGTATTTCTGGCAAATAACATTTTATATTTTTGTGGGCTGATTATTTAGCATGTACCAATACTTGTTTTGCCATATATGTAATTTTTAAAATTTTAATAAATTGAACTTATTTAAATATAGTTCTTCTGTATTTGGGTCCCTTTTCCCAAACTCAATAAATATATTATGGATTTATAACAAAGCTTTTGGCTCCAGCAATTTACTATCATACACTAAGATCTACATATTAAATGGTATTCTTACACCACATTAATTTTGTTGATTTACTAACAAGGTGACCAGAAGTTGAGATGAAACGAACCTAAAGGCCATATAAACCCTAATTTCACAGCACACGTTTTAATTCTAGAAGCAATATACATTGTCCTGATGAACTGTAAAATGTGGCTTCATTTACAAATAGTTGCTGGGGGTTCTTAATAGTTTTAACTGGACTTTTTTCTTCTCCTTGTAGTATTAGCTAATTCTTACCACTAGGTGGGAGCAGAAACCAACTCATGGAGGGAAAGCGGGTAAATCTGAAGCTGGGCTCTGTAAACAAGCTGTCAATTAGCCTGGCAGGACCTCGCTCCTGCTCCTGTAGTTAACCTTCGGGGCATCACTCAGTCCCTCTGGAGGTGGAGCACTTGGGTGGCTGGGCGGGGATTTTCAGTTCTGTGGGTTCCGAGCAGGGATAGGGCCCTGAGCTCTTGGATCTTGGAGGAATTTGTCTACTTCCTGGTCAGAGATGGCTGGAAAATGGGTGGCCAAGCCCAGCATGGCCCAGGAACAGCCTGGCCTGCTTCTCCTCCACCCCCTAATCTCTTCCTCTGATCCCTGGACATGGGGCAGAGAGGCGAGAGGAAGAGCTGCACCCTCCCGGGACGCGGTCTCCAGTCCTCAGGCCCTCCTCAGTGCCCACGTGACCAGGCTGAGTGGCGGCCCGGAGCTCACCAGCCTGTGTGGACTTCCTCCGTGCCTTCTTGATGTCCTCTTCTGTCTTGTTGCTCAGCTTGATCTCCAGCTGCTGGGTTTTCATCTCCAAGTCTCTCTGCCGCTCGGTGAGGGCTTTCCGGGCCTGTGGGCCATGACAGGACAAGGAGACTCTGTTCAGAAAGCTGAGGGCAGGGGGGCCTCCGGGCCATGTGGCCTGGCCTGCCTTGTCTGGAGAGGAGCCCTTCATCTTTGGTGGCGTAGACAGTGGCACATCCAGCTAGTCTGTGATGGTACAGAGGCCGCTCCTGTCTCCTCCTGCTTGGATTTGGCCTAAATCAATCTCTCAGACCACGTTTTCATTGGAGCATGGACCTGACTGGGGACAGAGGAGACCCTAAAATCTCTGCCTTTTGGGGTTGGGAGAGACCACTAATGTCATCCACGTCACCTCCCAGCAGTGTGTAGCAGGCTGGCAGCCCCAGCGACCCCATTCCACAGATTCAACCCTCGTGCTCCCCGGAAGTGCCTGCTGTGCTCCTGCTGGGCCCTCACGGGTTACGCTCCAGGCCACCTCCACCAGCGCCACGGCCTTTGGTGGAGGCAGCTAGCCAGGTCTTGGATGGCTCCTTCTGATCTCCGGGTCACAAGGGTCAGCCCCTGGGGAGAGTATTCTTCCTTGCCAAGCTCACCACCCACATTCTCCCCGATTCTGACCACCTTCAGGAAGGTGCGCTACTGGGTACATGGGAGGGAGTGATTGAGCCTGCAGGGAATCTGCAGGAGAGGCCCAGACACAGGGGTCAGCTGAGCGAAGACACAGGATGCCTGGTCTCAGATGCTCACAACAGCTGCTGCTGCTCCTGCATTCTCTCCTGCTCCCGTTGGCTCTCAGGCCATGGAAAGAGGCTCCTACCTGCCTTTTGGAGGGGTGGGGCTTCTCAGGTGGGGTCTATAGACTTGGACTCCCCTCTCCTATTCCACCACACAGGGACAAAACCTCTCCATAGTAATAGAGCCACAACTCGCTTCCCAGCACACTCTCTTCCACAGTAGGTACCTTCACCCCAGTCCCTATCTGGCACAAAATCCTGGCCTCTCACCTTCTCCACTGAGGCATAGCGGCTGGCAAGCTGCTTTCGGAGGTCAGCGATGTGGTGGTCACACTTTTTCATGTCTTTCTTGAAGTTCTCCCGGAAGTTCATCAGGGGCTTCTCTACCTCGCTGTGGAGCTGTGGAGGGGGGCAGAGAGGACAGATTTAGGGGTCCAGGCATCAGGGAGGGGGAAGAGGGCTTTGGCCTGGCTGGACAGGAAGACTGGAGATAGGTGGCAGTGTGTCCGGCCTCAGTTTACCCCCAGCCTTCAGAGCTATGGGATGAAGGCTTACAGTCTGATTCCCCATCAGCAACTTGTTCCTCCTTCTAAGTTTCTGCAGCTGCTTCTCTTAAAATTTTTTATTTAAAAATTTTTATTGTATGTAGTTATGACGCACTTCACAATGTTTTCAAATATAGTCACGCGTTACTTAACGATGGGGCTGTTCTAGGTGACGCATTGTTAGGAGATTTTGTCATTGTTTGAACATCACTATGAGTGTTCTTAGATGGAAATGGATATGAGGTCAGTGACAACGTAAACTCAGGGGACACCACTGTCTATGTGTTCTGCCACTGCCAGAAAGGTCGTTAGTCCCTCACTGTCGGCACAGTATATGCTGTGGAATGGCTAACTCCTGCTAATTAACAAAGGAGCTATCTCCATGCTTGGTTACGTCCCACGGCCTCTTGTACGGCTCTGGTCAGCTTTCCCTCTTACTCTCCAACCTGAGAGCTTTCTGGGGGACAGAAGCCAAGTCACCTGTCTGCGTCCCCCAGTGCTTATCACAATGACTGTTGCATGCAGCTCAATAAATAATTGTGGACAGGATGCCATTTACTTAGTTGATCTCCGATCTTTCCTGTTTATTGACCATCTGCTGTGTCCAGGTGCCTGGAATACAGAAATGACAGGGACATCGTCCAGGCCTCAGTGAACGCCTGGTGGGAGCTGCTGGAGGCTCCCTGACTTGGCCTCCACCTGTCCCAGCGGTGCCCGTGGGACACTGCTGTTTCCCTGGATAAATGAGATCCCAGCTCTGACTCTGAATTCTCTGTTTTCCTCCTCTCCAAGCTCCTGCAACACACTTTTCCCTGGAGACCACAGGAACTTAAGAATGAATTCTTATTCGGAACGACCGACTTAGACATGACTGTGCACGTCACATGGTCAGGGGCCACATCCGGTTTGATCACGACTGACTTTAGTGTCCAACCCGAGCTGGGGCCCGACAGGCTCCCCTTTACTACTTGTACAGAGAATGACAAACATCTCAGTGCCCAGCTCCCCAGATGACAAGAGAACAGCTTTGTGGCTGAAAGACCTTCATAGACTCCCAGAGAACTGGTCACCTGGACGCCCCACACCTCCTGATACTGGTTGAAAACGTCTCGTTATTTTATTTAAAGCCCCTGAACTATCCTTATGTAGGAAAACATCCCCATCTGGTGGCAGTTTATAAGATACTACTTGAGAGCTCATAAGTAGAAACTTCCTTCCTATTACTATGGCTTGAATGTGCCCCCCAAATTTCAGGCACCGAAAACATCATTCTCAAATTCATATGTCGTCGATGGTATCTGGAGGTGAGACCTTTGGTTTGTAATGGATTAGATGAAGTCATAAGGGTGTGAGTCCTATGATGAGACAGGTGGCTTTGTAGAAGACCTGAGCTGACACACACTTGCTGTGTCGCCACATGATGCCTCCCACCACCTCTGGAGACAGCAGGGGGCCCTCCCCAGATGCTGACCTCTGGATCATGGACTTCGCAGGTTCCAGGGCTGTGATCTACATAAACTTCTATTCTTTAAAAAGTACTCAGTCTCTGGTATTCAGTTATACTAAGACACTTATGTTTCAGATCAGGCATTTGCTGAGTAGGAGGAGCTGCACAATTTAGCTGCCATGGGAACCAGCTCCTCACTGGGGTCTCTGAGGTTTAACCCAGCCCGTTGATTCAGAAACTTTGGGATCTGTTTCCAAGGGCCTGGAAAGCAAATGCTTCCAGGCTTGCATGTATGGAGGTCAGCATCTCACCAAGGATACCTCAGGTACCTCAGGTTCTGCCGTCTGTGCGAGGCCCAGGAATCCGCCAATACACCGAAAGGTTTCCCCGAATTCCAAATGACGTTCTGGAAACATCCACGCTACTAGACAGCAGAAGTGGCTCAGTTCCCAAGATAAAGGGTCACCTCTCTCTATATATGAAGTGCTTTTTGAAGACATGATTTTTTTTCTTTAAAAAGGTTTAAAAAAAAAAGATAAAGGAAAAGTTGGCTTAGTGTATTTTAATACTCATCCCTGGCTTTTAAGCATCTTTCTTTCACAAGGGAAGCAAAAGTCCTGGAAGTATGTCTTTGCGGACATGCAGACCAGTCTGGCCTGTACCAGATGGACCAGCCACTGGGGCAGAGCTGTTTCCTTTCTGAAGCTCGGCTCTCTCTGCCTTCTCTATTTTTGCATCACACACCAGAAAAGAGCAAAAGAAATTCCAAGTTGGAAGCAACTTTAAGGACTGTCTAGTCAGACTACGGGGTTTTCGAATGCTTAGCGACTACGAGTTACGAATCAACTTGCTGGGTCAGGACCAGCTTTTGGTGAGAACGGAACGGACTTGTACCACAGTGTATTTTAGAAGGATAAGCATTGTCATGACACATTTGTTTTGGGTACACACATGTGTATCTGTGAGTAGACATGGAGTGGTACATGTGTGTGTGGATCTGTGTGTACTGGGTGACCGTGTGAAGTGCATTCCTGTGGGCAACAGTCAAGTTTAAAACCACTGATCTGTCCAAACTCTTCTTTTCACACGTGAAGTCATGGAACACCATGGGGCTATGTGACTTGCCCAAGATCCATAAGCTGGTTAGCAATAGCACTGAGCTAAAGCTCACTACCGTGCCTCCTCTGTGGCCCAGAATCTTCTGTCTGAATGCATGGCTCTTCTGCATAATTAAGATTTCCTCTCATCAGAAGGAATTTTTCTATTTTTTCTTTTTCTGCTCAAGCCAGGTATAACTTCCTTCAAATACTGCAATCTCATTTCTTTAGCAACCTGTTGCTATTAGCAATGGCTTGAGCTGGTAGACTAGAAAAGCTGTAAAGATTATTGTTTAAAAAAATACATTTCTTAAAGAGCTTTTTTACCTGACACTGAACATTAAGAATGGAATTTCAATAAGCCTTTTGGAGCAGGCATGAAAATGGGTTTTGTGCATATGGAGCCTTATTATCCATAAATCCCTGGAGTCACTTTTCTCTCCAGGAATCACCGTGAGGCCACCAGGCTGCTACTATGATGCTCCAAGGCCACCAGCACTGATGGCCAGGCTAGAAGCGGCAGAGGCTCTTGTGGCAAAGCCTGTTTTTGCTTTTGTGCATCCATTCTTCATAAGCTACCTGATGGCTATGTGGTGGTATCTGTACTGTCTCCTGAACATGGTTTCAAAACATCACAAGCAAGTGCAGGGCAGCCTGCTCCTCACTGTGGGCATTCCCCGGGAGGCCAGAGTACTCCTTAGGGCCAGCTTCTGTTTGTTTTTTCAGGGTGCTGGGGATGGGACCCAGGCCTTTGCATGCTAGGCAAGCGATCTGACACTGAGCTGCACCCCGGTCTCAGGGTCCATGTTTTAAATGCGATTGGTCTGCTGAAGAGGGGGTGATGTCAGAAGCAAAGGTCTAGGGTTCAAGTCTGCCATTTGCTTACTGCTCTCCTGTGCTTCCTCCACAGTTAAATCCACACAGCGGTGTGACCAGGGCCTGTGCTTTAATCTCTGTCCTTGTCATTTGTGAAATGGAGGTGCAGTCATGCATGGTGGCTGATAAAACGAAGAGATGAATTACATCCTGTACACTTACGAAATCACTATTATTAAGTACCTGTTGGTGGTGCACTCTTTTTTTTTTTTTTTGGTACCAGGGATCGAACTCAGGACCTTGCGCTTATGGAGCAGGCAGTGGAACCACTGAGCTAAATCCCCAGCCCAAGTACCTGTTGAATAGTTTCAACAATCAGAATCAGGGGCCCTGCTGATGGGGCATAAATGCCACCACCTTGGCATAAATGCCAAGATTCCCAGGAATCCAGCAGGAATGACTTCCAGAAGCTCACAGATCTGGCCTCCTAATGGGCAGCCTTTCATTCATCTCCCCAGTCAATGGAGGTCTGAGCCACTGCAGAGAATAGCAGTGCCCAGGGCTAGGACAGAAGGGACCTTAGAGGGACACTGCCTCTGAGCTGCAACAGCACAGAAGGACACCAATTCACACAGCTCCCTTCTCTGCTGGGGCTTGAGTAGTAATTTGTTCATGAAGCACTTGGAGTAATGAGGTACGTGTGCTACAGTTAGCTATTAATTCTCACATCTGGGTGTCAACGCAATCTTGGGCACTAAGTCCTTCAGAGCAGGGAGCTGGCAATAGCACTGGTTCTTCTCACTCCAGCTCTTTATAAAGCTCAGGGCCCTTCTCCATAGCAGGAAAATATTCTTTATAAAGAACAGAGGTTTATATAGATCACAGCTCTGGAACCTGGGAAGCCCACAATCCGGAGGTCAGCATCTGAGGAGGGCCCCCTGCCATCTCGGGAGGCGGTGGGAGTCATCATGTGGTGACACAGAGCGAGTATGTGTCAGCTCAGGTCTCTTCTTACAAAGCCACCTGTCTCATCATAGGGGTCCCACCCTCATGACTTCATCTAATCCATTACAAACCAAAGGTCTCACCTCCAAATATCATCGACGACATATGAATTTGAGAATGAAGCTTTCCTTGCAAGGAAATTGATAAACACTATGAACTGTAGAGACCTTTGTAAGCCATGTATCGGCACATCCCTGTGTGGGACCTGCAGGGAGCAGTTACCTTGGCAGAGAACTTGAGGTGAACTTCTGCTTCATCTGCAAGGCTCTTCTTCACCTGGGCCCACGCTTCTCCCAAGGAGCTGCAACAGAAAGGAGGTATCAACTAGGGGACCCAAGGAGGGCTGTGCCCACCTCAGATCCAAAGCCACGGCCCTTCCTAAGGTGGGCAAGTGAGTTTCAAACCCATATCTTGGGCAGGTATAGACCACCCAAGGCCTTGAACTTGAATGAGGTGGAGGTCACAAAGCATCTACAGAGCTGGATTGAGCCACCAAGGCCAAAGTGAGCTAGCTTTAGCTCTGTTAACTAGGGGAACAAACTACGGCAGACAGCTGAGCAGCCAGGGAAATACTCGGAACTCAGAGGCTCACAAGGACTGAGGGAAGTGCCAACCCTTAGCTGCAGTGAGGGCCTTGCTACCTAGCTATGACTGTCCACACTGCCTTCCATCACCACTCCCTGGTCTGCCAGTAATGCTGATAATTCAGGAATTGAAAATAAATTCATTTTTAGGGAGCAGCCCTTCTCAAATAGGAGGCACCAGAAAATCCTGCTTACAAGAAAATCTCCAGCATTGTAGCTTCCAGGAGAGGCACCAAGGGGCCACTTGGGCCCAGGGACATCAGAGGTACAGCCATGCAAGGAGAAGCCCCCCACCCCCATCCTCAAGAGTGTATTCCTGTCAAGCTTGGCTTCTCAAGCACCTAACACTGCTCACGACGTACAAGAGAAATGATCACATCCTCTAAGCTAAATCACCTATCCTTTCCAAGGAGAGGCTTCACACAGAAGACGTGCCCTGCAGTCCCAAGATGTTCAAAGGGAAGCCCCACATGCTACAGTCTCCATTATCTGGAGCTTTTCAACCTCGGTGACCATTCCAAATGATACCCATGCCTCCTTGCTCCCGACCTTTTCAACCAACCAGTAAGTCCAGGCTGAAAGTTCAGTTGACTTAATTTCATCAAAAAGGCACTTCCTCCCAGAGAATTCATTAAACTTGAGTGGCAAAAGCTGATTAAAAGAGCTTACTGTGATGCTTCTGGGTTCCAAGCCCAGCACCCAGCCAGAAGCTAAGAGTTACCCAACAAAGTAGAATGATCCCTCTGATCATAGCCCAGGCCCGCCTGGTGGTGCTGCTGGCTCAGGCCGTGGTGGGTGTTTATTGGAAACAACCAACTGATTTTTATCTTGCAGTCTGGGCAGCAAAGAAAACCTCCTGGGGAGTGAGTCTGGGGCAGCCCAAGCTGCTGGCATCTGTCTTGGCCCAAGGGGCCTGAGCTCCAGAAGCTGCTCCCAGACTGTGCAGGCATTCTGGGTGGCCTGGGTGCCCACCGGATTCTGCAGGTGGGAAGAAGGTCCAGGTTGGGAGGGGTTGAAGCAGCCATGCAGGTACATAGATCAGTGGAACAGAACACAAAGTCATGGTTTGAGTGTGTCCCCCAAAACCCGTGTGGAAACTTAATGCTCAATGCAACAGCACTAGGACGTGGGACCTCTGAGACATGATTAGGCCAAGAGGGCTCTGACCTCAAGAAGGGACAGATGCCCACAACGAAAGGGCCACAGGCTGGCCCTTGGCTCTCTTGCCATGTGATGCCCTCTGTCATTCATGACACAGCAAGAAGGCCATCACCACATGCCAGGCTCCTGAACATGGACCTGCCAGTGGCCAGAACTGTAAGAAATTTCTTTTCTTTATGAATTTCCCAGACTGTGGAATTCTCTTACAGACTAAGACACAGAATGACACAGATATGGCCTACTGACATTCAGCAAAGGCTCCACCAAGGTATTTCAATGGGGGATGGGTGAACTCCTCTCCTCCTTCCTGTTTTTCAGTGCTGGGGATGGAACTCGAGTTCTTAAGCATGCTAGGCGAGTGCTCTGAACTACACTCTGGCCCTTGGACAGACTTTCTAACAGAGATAACCATGTATTTATTGGAAGGAAAGAATCTTGGCCCTTCCCTCATGCCATACACACAAATGATCTCAAGGTAGATTCCAGCTCTAACATGAGAGCCCACGCCAGTCACGTCTTACAGAAGCTGCCCTAGCATGAGTGGGAACGTGATTAAAGGGACGTGGGGGGTTTTGTCCCTTGTAGCTGAGTGACAGGCAGCAGCTGTGGAAGTGCGAATAAGAGCTGCAGAAGCCAAACAAAGGCCCTTGGAGGGCAAAACAGTTTCTCTTACGGAGCCAGAAGTCCACTGTCAGCAGAGCACATGGTGAGTAACTGGTCGGGGACCTGCACGTTTGCCCGACAACGTGAGCTCTGAGACTGGGGGGACAAGAAGAAGCACTGTTTCCACCAGGGCCACTGTCCTTGGCTTCACCTCCAGGCTGGAATCCACAGGGGGAGAGCATCACCTCAAACATACAGGTGGGCTTGTCCAAGCCAAAGCACACCCCAGACACCTGCCCCTCTCCAGAATTCCAAGCCCCTCTGAGCCACTTCAAAATATGTAGAAATATCCACTAAGCTCCACTAATATGTACAATGAGTATATGTTAATCAAAAATAGTTATAGAAAATTTTAGAAAAAAATTCCATTTAGAAATTCTCTCATTTATAATCCCAGGACTCTGAGAGGCTGAGGAAGGAGGATCACAAGCTCATTTCCAGCCTGGGCAATTTAGCGATTCAATGAGATCCTGTCTCAAAATAAATGAAATGAAATTAAAAAGGGGCTGAGGATGTAGCTCAGCTGCAAAGGCCCTGGGTTCAGTACCTAGTTCCAAAACAATATATGCTCTCATTTGAAGACAGCATGTAATAAGAGCATCGAATAATAAAAAAAGATATAATTCTGTATCAACATACAATTTGAGGCACACCAAATCAAAATGCATATTATCATCAAAATTGCTAACCAGAAACACCTGGGATGTAGCCCAGTGGTTCCGACACCTGCCTCCCAACCGCAAGGTCCAGAGATCGATCCCCGGTACCAAAAAAAAAAAAAAAAATGATAAACACGAAAGACCATCATCCCATTTCCTTTCCTCACAGGAGAGGAACACCAAAGGCAGAAATAATCTAATTCTGTGTATTCACCAGCACCCACGCATCCTGTGAAATGTAATCCTAACACAGCACTTGACTTACAAACACAGCTTGGCATCTTCCTAGACGGGCCTCGAATGCTAAGCTCCAGCATTGCACTTTGCAACTTTTCAAGGTGCGCTGGGCTAAAGGTCCAAAGCAGTGTATAATGCAAAATATCATCACTGTGCACTGTGTGGAGAGGGTGCACGTGTTATGGCTAAGTGCTTGCTGGCAGGAGTGTGTGAGGGGGTCACTGAGTGAGTGTGTGCCATGGGTGAGGTGTGCGATGTACAGGCGAGTGGTGAGTGTGTGTGTATGAGCTTGTGTGTGTCTGTGCCTGTCTGTATGTGTGTGCTCAGCATGGTGGTATGGGCCTGGCCTGTGGAGCTGGGCTGCTCGGGTGAGGAGCGTATGCTTGTGTGCTGGCAGGACACAGTGTCCTTGGCAGCAGCCCAGCCCAAGGAGGTGGAAGCTGGAGCAGCACAGTGGGCTGCAAGGCACAGGGGTCTTCAGGAAAGCCCCTACCCAGGCAACAGGCACTACTGCCTGTGTGTCCCCTCCCTGCTCACACAACCGAAAGACTGGCATGTGAGGCAGAAAGGGCCAGGAACTAACCAACCCCACTTATGTCTGGAAGAGGCCCTGGCCCCGGAGGGCCACCTGGTAAAAGCCATGAGGAGGAGGAGGAGAAGGAGAAGGAAGTTTGGCCGCACAGTCAGCCCATGCGGAGGCCTTAATCAAAGCCACATTTGTGTGATGAAATCTCTGTCCCCTGAGGGATTTCAGGCCATGAAGGAAGATTTGGATTTTCCTAACATCACAGCTCTGACAGCCACAGCCGTCCCACAACAGAACGTCTTCCTTCTCAGGGATCACTTCTCATAGGAGGAACTAAAAACACAAGAGGTGCATGGGAGGAAGGCGCCAACAGGGGATCCTGTCAATTCTAACCTCCTGAGAATCTTTACTATTATTTTTATCAAGGCAAAAATCATGTAACATAAAATTAACCAATTTAATGTGGCCAATCCAGTAGTGTTTAGGATATCCACATTTGTGCAATATCCTTTTGTCTAGTTCCAAAATGTTTTCATCACCCCATCATGAAATAAGAGTGTGTCATCCTCCCCTGCCAAATGCATATGCTGAAGCCCTAGTCCCTGATGTGTTTATTTGGGCTGGGGCTTTTTAAGGCAGAAATTCAGGTGAAACAAGGCCACCTCCTCGGCCTAGGCTGCTGCAAGGGATATATACAGTTGAAGGGTAGGGACCTGATCTGTAGGATTAATGTCCTTATAAGGGACAGAAGACTGTCTCACTGCTCAGCACACACACAGGATGGGCCATGTGAGTACCAGGACAGAGTGGCCAACTACAACCCGAGGGGAGATCCCTCACCAGACGCCAGCCCTGCTGCTACTTTGATCTGGTATGGCCAACATCCAGAACTAATGAATAAATACCAGCCTGTGCTATTTGTTACAGCAGCCGCAGCAGACAAATACACAACCATAAAGGAAACCTGTGCTCATTATGCAGTCAGTCCCCATTTCCCACTTCCCCCAACCCCTTGGTAACCGATAAATTGCCATCTGTCTCCACGGCTTTGCCTATTCTGGATGTTTCATATAAATGGAATCATACACTCTGTGATCCGTTGTGTCTCACTTCTCTCACTTAGCATAATGTTTTTGGGGTTTGCCCAGGCAGCAGCATGGATCAGTATTCCAGTCCTCTTTATTGCTAAATAACATTCCATTTCAATATCCATGGATATCCACTGGGCATGCAGCATAATTTGTGTAGCCATCCTTTGATGACATTTGGGTGGTTTCCACCTATGTCTATTGTAAACAGGGTTGCTCTGTACCTGTTTGTTTGAGTCCCTGTTGTCAATTCTTTGGGCTATGAACCTAGAGAGGAATTTCTGGGTCATATATAATTCTATCCTTAGCTTTCTGAGGACCTGCCAGACTGTTGTTCATAGTGGCTGTGTCATTTCGATGAGCTTGCCAGCAGTGCATGAGGCTGAGATGGAGTAGAGAAGGCTGCAGTCTTTCTTCCACTAGGAATTCTTCTGTGGCTTGAAGGTTTGGGCTGAGTGTTCTCCAATCCTGGTCTCCTCCAAAGAGGTCTAGTCTGTCACAGCTGGGGGTGTGGGGAGCCTGGGCCTCATGCCCCATAGGAGAGAGTTCTAAGGGGCTGGATATGAACTCTTCTTAGATTTGGTTTCCTCCCAGCCTGCCCTCCAAGAAGCCCTGCCCTGGGTGGGCACTTACAGGATGTAGCCCATCTATGAGAGGACAGGGGCTCTGACACAATCCAGAACTTGGCAGGAGCCACAGGGTCACAAGAGAGAAGGAAGACAGTGTGGAAATGTCCTAATGGAGCACTGATGCCTACACACTGAGTCACAGGTACCCACCTGGAGCTATAAGCACCCACCCTGAACCATGAGCATGCACCCTGAGCTATAAACACCCATCCTGAACCATGAGTACCTGCCTTGAGCCATGGGTACCACCTTAAGTCATGAGGAACCACCTTTAGCTGTGAGCTGTGAGCAGCCAACTTGAGCATAGGTTCCCCCTTGTGCCAGGTCTACGGAGAGTTCCCCACTCAAAGTAGGCCTAAGCTGGTGGCCAGTGATGGGTAATAAAGGGTTCCCCTTCCTCAGTGTCTCCTGCCCCTCTCACCACTCTCCTCTCAACTCACCCTTCCTCCTGTGCGGCCAGGGAGTTCTGAGAGAGCTTAGCTAAGTTCTTCGCATATTCTTCTTCAATCTTTATCCTGCAAAGGGAGAAAACATACTGCTTAGGCTCTCCGTGCTAGACCATGATCAGATCTGCCACCCTGTCACTGAGCAACTATGTAAAGGAACCCAGTAGACCACGTTAGATTATAAGCCCTGAGCACATGTGGCTTTCATCTGTCTGCCTGATACACAGGAGGTATTTAACATTTATTGAATAAATGAATAAAACTCTTTGGACTTCCATCTCTTCTTCTGCACAATGGGATATTTTTGCCTGTCTCCAGGCTGTGGAAATGAGTACTATCATTTGCATAGCTCTGAGCACAAGGCTGGACACATGAGAGATCTTCCATTAATGAATGCAACCTGTGATGGTCCACAAGGATGCCCAGTATGTCCTCTCTCTCTCTCTCACAGCCCAGAATTCTGGATTCAGACCCTCCCAGATTGTCTTAGTCCCTCAGAAGCAATAACAGAGCATCTCTCCATAGTCTCCCATCTCCAATACCTCTAATTGCCAAGCACTATTAAGGGCATAAGTATTTCCATGGAAACCAGACACTGCCCAGAACTGCAGCTCAATTCTATTTCCCTGGAGAGGAACACTGCCTTGGATGTAGCTTCCAGCAGGCGGGCGGGCCCTCAACTCGCTCTCAGGGCAACTCTCTGGGGAGTGTTAATATAATCGGGCATATCATGTTAGGTGCACCACCAAAGGCAATGTTTACCTCCTAAGTGGTCCTTTGGGCCAGGGAGGGAGGCAGAAGATTTGTACTTATCACAACCAGGGCCGGTCAGAGAATGGGTACATGTGCTACCAATGTGAGCACAGGACTGGGACCCAAGAGAGGCCCTGGTGTGGGGAACAGAAAGGCTCCAGGACCCTGGGGCTGCACAGTTTGCTCCCTGCTCGCTCAGGCAGCCAGAACCAAAGGGTGCAGTGACATAGAGAGGGGGTGAACAAGGCCCAGTGGCAGCACCTTGTGTAATAACTGATGTACGACTTGGCACAGAAACACAATTTTCATCCTTCTCATCCTGCTCTGTCTGCACCTCCACCTCTGGCCAGTACCTTGGTTCTCCAGAGTTGAACACGGACTTCTCGCTCGCCCCTGTTGTTTCCTCTCCATTCCCTCTGGCTTCACCACCAGCCCTGCCCAGGATTACGTGGACTAACCTCCAGACTGTGCCCAAGACCTCTAGAAACAGGTTGGCCATGTTGTAATGTCAACGGCAGGCACCGGGTGCAGGCGGTTCATGTGCCATCTGCCTCTTGGCTCTCATCTCTGGAACCAGCCTGTGTCACTTCCACCCTCTGCCCAAGTGCCCTAAGCTGAAGCTGCAGCAAACTGGCAATGCCTGTCCTCAACCAGGCGCACTCCGTCCTCTGCACCTGTATTCTTACCTCTTCTAGCTCTGGAAGGCCCCCTCCCCCTATGGGACCCCAAGGTAGACTGAGAAAAGATACAGGAATCTGCATTTTCTCTGGGAGGGCCACGTGCTTGCTAGCATGATGCTGCTATGGGTATAAACCATATGCAGGTTTAGGCTTTGGCTCAGACCACTCTTTCCCTATTTGCCTGTTTTATTCTTTTGTTTTCTTGCACCTGAGCAATGCGGCCTTCCAATTTCCTACCAGCTTAATGGGTCATAAAACAAAGATTTGATTATACAAATAGAAAATAGGCCTCCTAAGGAAAAGGGTGCTTAAAAATGTCAAAGCATTATTACCTGATTACTGTTGTTATAATGAAAAGAATTATTTTTAAAAGATATTTGCTATAAGTATTGCCAGTACACCTTGGAAACTGGTAGGGAAATCGTTCATACAGGCAGGTATGCAGGGGTATGGGTGAGTGAGTGTGTGCTTATCGGATTCCCAGAATGTGGAGTGAGAGGAGAAGGGAGATGGAGAAGGGATTTCTCTGTTTTGTTTTGCTTTTGGTAGTTTTCCTTATTTCTGTGGGACTGAATTTATTGCTTCTTCATCTATGTTCCCAAGCTCTTTAGACAAACCACTGATATAATCCCTCAGCATGGGGGAGGCCTGGGGGATGCTTCTCCACCTGTGCCTGGGGCTCAGTTTTGATTCCTAGATGAACTGAAAGGTGCCATTCCTCTTCAGGGTGGTGGGAAGGGGCAGTGCTTCTAATGAGGGCCAGGTAGGCAGCAAAGAAGCGAGACAGTCTGAGAGGGAAGCAGTAGGGAGTGGTGGAGACTATAGCAAACTGGGAACACATGTCCCCTCGACAGGGTAGCTGCTACTCGGCACCAGCCAATTGCTGCATGAGGCACATGGAGGCCATCCTTACCACTCTGTTTTCTCAACAGCTGCTAGGTGTCCTGATTTTAATGTAAAATCTACCCGTATTTTTAAAATGTTGGCTCAAATCTTTCAGAACACTAGAGAGGCCAAAGCCATACATGTGCTGGCCAGATCTGTCCCAGGGCCCTGTGTCTGGGACTCTAGTCTTACTCTCCCCTTAGTGCCATCCAGCCCCATTCTGGGCGTCGGGTGTCGAGTCCTTCTGGTGATTCCCCTGGAGAGACAGGGTGGAGAGGGCCCTGCAACCAGTCCCCAAGCTGGAGGGACCCAGGCTTTACCTTTCCCGGATGAATTCGGACATTTCTTTCTGCATCTGTTTGCCTTTCAGTTGCTTCTGGAGCAGCAGTTCAAACCCAGCCACGGTGCCGTTGCCCTGGGGGTCCTTCTTATCCGCCTAGGAAGGAAATAGAAATATCTGGTGTCTGGAGCCAGGGAGAATGAAGTGTAGGGAAGTGACAGTCCAGGAAGGACCCCAATTTGCCTGGCAACCCTGATCCAGCCCAAGAATGACAGGAGCAGTGGTCTCTACGGTCTCTCCTGGAACCCTGGCTCCCACAGTGCTTTCTGATGCTGCCATGGCCTGAATGTGTCCCCAGCATTCACGTGTTGGGAATCTCAGTCCCCAGTGTAATAGCACTGCAAGGTGGGTTAGGAGAGCTTTGGCCTCCGGAATGGGTTAATGCTGTAGCTACTGTAGTGGGGTTGCTACAGAAGCAAGTTTGGCCCCCTCTTGCTCTCTCTTGCCTACTGCCTTCTGCCAGGGGCTGATGTGGCAGGAAGGTCCTCACCAGATGCTGGCACCCTCATATTAGACCTCCCAGCCTGCACAACTCTGAGCCAAGTAAGTTTCTGTTCATCATACATTACTCACCTGAGGTATTCTGTTACAGCAGCGCAAAACAGACTAAGACTGATGCGTAAGCTCTAGAGCTGCTGCTGCCCCACACCCATGCCCCTTGCTGCTCCTGACCTCTGGACAAAGAGAAGGGCACACGGCCTTGACCTGGGCTCTCACGCTCAGTGGTGGTGAGCCTACAGCACATATGTTACTATGGTTTTAAGACAAAAGCTGTTAATGTGTAAGTTGTTTTTTCTAAACTAAAGCCTCAGTATTCAGGTTGAATTGCAGTGTTGGTACTTTGCGGTAAGTAAGAGGGGTTTGGGTTCCAGTTTGGGCACTTTTCTCTCAAAGGTTTGCCTGGGACTTCTGACGGGGTGGCTCGTGTGGCTGTCTCGACCTCCTGAGAAGCCTGGCTTCCCGACTCTAAGCTGGGACAGTACATGTGTGACTCTCCACCCTTTCGCCATCCTGTCTTCTACCAGCTTCCTGCACTTGTGACTTAGGCAGTAATGGCTTCTAATACAGTCATAAAAAGTCATAGCCAAGGAAATAAAACAATCCTAGTGGTTGCTGGGGAGAAGTGGATTGCAGGGAAGTCAGAGGAGAAAATGGCAGGCTGGCAGGACTGAAATTCTGACTGAGTGACCCTGGGAAATCCTGCACTCATCCTATGCCTGAACTTCTTCATCTGAAAAGTGGCAAGATCATGAGATAATCCCCTATAGTCCTTTTGGGATAAAGGACATGTATAAGTGACATAGAGGCATTTCAGGATATATAATATGTGCTCAGCTGAGCACGTAAGAGTATTCAATAAATAGTGTCTATCATCAGTTACTTTAAAATAAATGTCAGGACCCGAGGAAGATGGCCAAGCCATGAAATAGAACCTTAGGACCCAATTAATTTCTCAAACATATATTCTTAAAATTTCAAAATGGAGTCCAGGTGTAGTGATGCACACCTCTAATCCCAGTACTCGGGAGGCTGAGGCAGGAGGATCATTGCAAGTTTGAGGCCAGCCTGGATTACATAGTGAGTTCAAGGCCAGCCCAAACTGCATAGTGAGACCCTGTCTCAAAAAAAAAAAAAAAGATGCTTAGCTTTACCTGTGCTTCCTCAAGCACCTGGACACCCCTTTCCTGCCCTTCCCTGCCTGACATGCATCCTGGCTTCTCTACCCACAAGGCCATGTTGCTGGCCAAACTCACAGAACTGTCCTAGGTCCCTGGCTGTCACCACAATTAAAAACAGCATTCTCCTCCTGCTTGCAGCCTCTTCCCATGGGGAATCCGGGGTTATATGTTTCAATACTTAATGGAAGGAGTCGAAACAGGCTTTCAACATCACAGAGAGGCACACTGCTCAGAACAATGTTCCAGTGTCTCAAAAGACCCAGGTTCCCATTCTGCTCAGTCACAAGGTCCTTCTAATCATTGGCTGTGCCCCTGCCACCACAGCTCTTGCAATAGGAGTGGGTCGTGTCTCTAGGATCCCTTCTGGATCAGATATTTAGAATGAGGGGAAAGAAAGGGGCTGTGGAGGTTTGCAGAGAATCCCATTTACTAGTTAAGCTATGAAGGGTTTTATGGATACCTCCCGGGTTCTGTTCAATGCAGGGTCCCTTCCTCGGTGGTCCTGACCCAAAGCTCTCTGGCCACACTGCTAACACTGTCGCAACAGGGAGATCACCACCACATAGGGCAAACCGTGTCATGGTGCCACTGCTTGTCTCCATGTCTCTTCACTGCCCTGAAGATTTGCGCACTTCACTCTGTGAATGCTACAGTTTGATGCAAAGGCAAAGGAAAAATTATCCAAGATACTGAACCCCAATCTGGTTCCCTTCTGGATGGCTATGCTGAGTGATTCATCTGCTCCTGGGAAAGCCAGCCAGAAAAATGGGCTTTAGTGACTGTGTCAGTAGAGTTTCTATTAGAGATGAAAAAGCCTTGATGGTGAGAAAAGACCCCAGATTATGTATGAGTCCCCACTGAGCTGAGGGGAAGGCAAGAACTCTCAAGTGTTGCTCCCTTGGATGGTGCTGACCAGCAGGCAGGATCACATCCTCCCTTCTGCTGCCCAATTCCTTGATTCCCTTACATGCTGACCTCCAAGATAGTCCGATGTCCCAGTGCCCATTCCAGAGCTCAAACCCTCTCCTTTGAGCACTCTGTTTACAGAGCCCTTTTGAGGGGTAATTTTTGCAGACATGGCTACATTTCTTAGTCTCTGTGGCTGCTACATCCTCTCTGATCACCTAACCTCAGCTCTCAACAATCCTTCCCAGACAATGCATATAAGCCAGATCACATCGTATTTCTTCTTCAAACCCTTTGACACCTTCCTCCTGCAAACAGCATAAGATACAACATCTTTCCCAGGGTCTGATCCTTCCTTGGCTGCCTCCAAGCTCTCCTCCCACATCTGTATGATGGCAAAGCCCTTTTTATAGCTGCATCTTCTCTCTGCATGGGAACTTTGTCCTGGTAGCAACACAGCTGCAGAGATAGGAACTGCCCCTGCTGGTGGAAAATAGGAGTCTTTGGATGTCTTCTATAGTATGAATGATTTGGTAAAAAGGAAAAGGCACTTTTGTCTATTACTCAGCAAACCTACAAAAGAATAGATAATCCATTAAAGTTTTTAATTTATTTACTGCTATTCAGAGCAAGAGCTCTTTTTGGAGGTGCACAATTTAGTAGTTCTAATGTGTTTGCAAGGTTGTGCAACAATCACCCCTATCCGATTCCAGAAGAGGGTGATCTAATTCCGAGTCATCACTGACCTTAAAATGCAAACGGCTGGAACTATCTTCAGAGTTTTGAAGTGCAAGATTCCGCACTTATTTAAAAAATTATTTAATTTTAATGGTGGAAAATGCACATAATATAAAATTTTACCCCTTTCGCCATTTAAAGTGTACAGTTGAGTGGCATTAAGCAAGTCACATGTTTGTGCATCCATGCCTATTGCAGAACTTTTCTCAACCTGCAAAAGTTGAAAGTCTGTGCCCATTAAGCAACATGCAAAACTTTTGGAGCAGCTGGAGATCTCTATGGATCCTTATGCACAACCTCTTCAGGACTCTGATGGAACAAGGCTCGGGAAAGTGAAGTTCTTGCCCAAGATGACTCGTATCAGTGACAAACAGGTCTAGCGCCTAGGTTTGTTTCCTGAAGCTAATTCTAGTCTCCTGCCCTCACTGAGTGGCCCCTCCAGCTTCCCTGAACTCTGGTAACTTCTGGGGTTCCCATGTTGCCATCAGCAAAAATCCTGCTGATTCTGAGACTTACGAAATGATCTTGACTCCAGGGTAGTCTTCAGTTCCTATCTCAGATGCTAAATCGACTGCCAGGACTTCAGGCTTCAACAAGAAATGTTCCTCTACTTTGAGCTCAAGGTCCCGCCTGCTCCTCCCAGATTTACACACCTGGTCATCAGGGCTACCATGTGGGGAAACTGAGGCACCACTTACCCAAAAATAGTCGCAGTAGCTCCACTCTGTTGGCTTCAGCAGCTGCTGTTCAGGCATTGTGTCTGGGTGAGGGAACGTCACACAGTTTATCTGTGGGGCAGAGAATGAGAAGGAAAACAATCTTACTGAGGATAAGATGTGGGGAGGCCTCTTTCCCCGAACAGATCAATAATGAGGCTTACTTCACGCCAGCTTAATGGACAGCACTGGTGTCTTCCTTACTTTACCATCCAGTATTTCAAATAAAGGTAACAAGCATTCAAATCCCCCCACCATCAGCAGTGGAGAACTGCTGGGTCTTTGGAGAGTGACTGAATAGGATCTATCACTACTGCAAACATCTAGACCCTTCCATGTGGCAACTGCACTTCTAAGGATCTGTGCTGCAGATAATCTGCCCATGTGTGCAGGGATGCACATGCATGGTTTGCTCTATAGCACTACCTATAGTGGCAAAAGGCAGGACCAGAAAACTCCATTGCCCTTCCAGGGGAACAGGGCAAACAGAATAGGAAACACATCAGTATCCAGGAAGTGGTATCACTGTGAAAGACACAGAGATAAAATTCCTATGTACTGATAAGGAAAGTATACCAGGATATATTGTTAAGTGAAAAAGAAGGGGGTTCTGGGTATGTAGCTCAGTGGTAGAGCACCTGTCTAGCATGTTGAGGCCTTGGGTTCAATCCTCAGTGCAAGGGGAAAAAAGGAAGAAAAGAAAAGGTGAGTGTAGAACAATATTACTATATACATCTATTTGCATGAAAAGCTGGGGGGATATAAACACATTTGTTATTTCTGTATAGAATATTTCTGTAAGCTGATAAGGATGATTTGCTTCTAAGAAAGGAACAGCGAGATGGAGGACGGAAGTGACCCTGAACCAGGGAAGGGTCAGAGGTGAGAGGTTATCTCATGAAGCATATTCTATGAGCAACTGCAGCTTAAAATCATGAGCCAAGGTGCTCGTTAGGAATGGTCCACACCAAGGGGAGTGCAGTGCCATTTCTGGATCATCTTGGACTTTCTTCTGCCCAGTATACTCAAGGCGCCCTGTGGCTGTCCTGGCTCTGTGAAAGTGGCTTTGTTGCTGCTCCCGCTGATGTGGTTTCAAGACCCTGATCCTCCTCTAACCTCTCCTCACACCCAAAGCACCTGCTGAGGTGGGAGACATCGGAGGTTAAAGGGAAGAGCCTTGCAGAAACCTCCTGAGGATCTGGGGATAGCATGCAAACTGTGAGGGGCCATGTGTCACAGGAACTGCCACTTGATTCTAGCACACATAGGCCTCTGCATTGGACGGGAGCTGAGGGTTGTGGAGCAGAGTCACAAGCCAGGAAGAGGAGTTGGGCACTGCCAGATTATGCAATGGCTGGAGGGAAGCTCACAGTCAGGGTTCTCACATGAAGCCTCTCAATTCTTAAGTGTCATCAATTAATTCAAGGTTTGGAATAATAATAAAATTAATAAAAACACCACCATGTCGTCCTCACAAATTAGTCTGTCAAGAGAGTCAGGCCTAGGGACCTTAGGGGTTTGGAGGCAGCTGGAAGTCAGCCCTCCACCTCTCGCACTGTGGCCAGAAGTTGCAGCCAAAGGGAGGAACCCCTCCCCCTGGATACTGATACCTGGTGAGATGAGGTAGGGACCCTGCCTTGGAGAGAAATGTGACACGGTGGGATCCAAGACAGGAATGACCCAGCTCCTGGTCAGTGTGGGCCCGAGGGATTCCTGAGGCTGGGGACTTTCTCCTGGGCCACACAAGGTGACCGTGGCTAGCAGCAGCCTCTATGCCTGGCTTCAGGAAGTGGTCTTCCCAAGCCCTTGTCTGGGACTGAGGGCACCGTGGCGTGGTCACAGTGAGTCTCCTTCAGGGCTTCACCCCCCCAACACACACACACACACACACACACACACACACACGCGCGCGCTACAGGCTGTCATTTGAGACGATCATGAAAACAAGGGATGGACTTTGACTCTTTTCTTTTTTCTGGTACCGGGGATTGAACTCAGGACCTTGCGCTTGCCAGGCAGGTGCGGTGCCACTGAGCTACATCCCTGGCCCCAAGGGATGTACTTTGAACTTTTACATATTCCTTATTTTGTGTTCTAGCCATTCTTTTTTCAACAAATGATGATGATCACAGTCCACTTTTATTTTGCTTCATAATGGAGCTCGTGACAATTTCAATCAAATTTAATGATACAAGAACTATGACATTAAGGTAAATTGGGCATTAAGAATCATGGAACTAGCAGACCGAAGGTACAACTGAAGGGAATAAGAAGAAAATGATTGTATAGGTTTGGTACAGGTGCAATTTTTTAACATTTTCAACCCATAGGTGGTTGAGTCCATAGACGCAGAGAGTGCAGGTCCGGAAGCGGATTATAAATGCCTTCTAAAGTGCTCTATCCCTGACCCTACCCTTTTGTCTTTCTTCACTCAAACTGCTCTTGGCCTTGGCCTCTCATTGAGGAAACAAGAACTTTACCACCAGAGGAGGCAGCATCCTTCCTCAGGTGGGCCCCTCAGAGAAAGGAGGCCACTCCCACCCCAGGATGCTCATGAAGACAACCCTGTTGGCCGGAAGTGGAGATGACAGAAGCGGCAGCCCCTTCAGTGGCAAATCCCAGCTGGCTCTAAGTCCAACCACCTGAAAGGCTACAGAAGGTCAGCAGGAGGGCTGGGGGCCTTCCTAAGTCCCAGCCAATCCCCGCTTCATCCTAGAACTGAGGCCGAGTGTGCCTCAGAGTCACATGGAGGGTCTCCTGAAATGTAGATTGCTGGGGCCCACCCACAGAGTTTCTGATTCAGGAGGTCTGGATGGGGCCTGTGCTCACAGGTGATGCAGATAGTACAGGGATCATGCCTTGAGAAGCAGCATTCATGATCCGTGCAGCAGGGATGGGGGCACTGCCCAAGGAGGCAGACGCGAAGTTGGATGGGTCCCGATCCTACATGGCCTTCCACAGAGATGCCCATGTCGGGGACTAGAAGGGTCAGGGTCTAGAAAGTGAGGGGTCCCTCAAATGGCCCTGTAATGACCACCAAAGAACAGCTGGTGGATTTGGGGGACAGAAAGTTAGGGAAGGTTGAAGACATCCTTTTATTGTTTTGACCACTCTTTGAGGACACTAATCCTGGGATGGCCTGGCCAGGGATCCCAGGTTGCCTGTCACTGCCTCTGTCTATGATGCTGATCTAGGATTTTTCCCTCCCAGGGATATAGGAACTTCCTGGAATCCTTGGACCTTATGCCCCTGGTGGGCATTTGGAGAACTGCACCTCACTGGCCTCTTGGGAGGCATCTTACTGGCTTGGGGTTCCAGAAAGCCCTGACTCAGGCACGCTGCCAAGAGCTTCATGCGCTTCACATTTCTGCTTTCCAGCAACTCCACAAGCAGGGAACTTCAGCCTCAATTTATAAGAGGAAACCAAGGTTCCCAGAGACATTTGAATCCAGAAGGAGCTGACAGCAGATCTCTGGCCCTCACTCACAATGCCATTCCAAGGACTATTTGCTCATTCACTTTCCGCTCAAATGTTTGTTGAATAGCTTCTCAGTGCCACACTCTATTTGAGTACTCAGCAGTCTGCATGAGTACATGTGTGATGGTATTTCTTGTGGCAACTTATTTAACATTTCTCTTCCTTGCCAACAGCCTGTCCATAGGGGAAGGAGAGGAGACCATGTTTTTCCTGCGGTTTCCCTAGTACTTGGCCCAGCACCTGGCACATAGTAAGTAGGTGCTTGATAAATGTTTCCTAGTGCAATGACTGGAGACCAGATACCAGGTAGAGTGGCGGCCCTCGTGGTTTGGGTCACTAGGATACTTCAGGAGACACCTGCCACTGGGGTCTGCATGGGGTCCTGGGGCTGCAGGAAGGGCAGGGACCCAGGGAGGGATCTTTTAGGAAGTGACACTTACATAATAAGAGGAGGACCGCAGGCAGGAGGTAGGGAAGTAAAGAGAGTACTGTGGTGGGGCTGGGGATCTAGCTCAGTGGTTCCACCGCCTGCCTTGCAAATGCAAGGTTCCGAGTTCAATCCTCAGTACCAAAGAGAGAGAGAGAGAGAGAGAACACTGCGGGAAGGAAAGGTGCCCAGGGGTGAGGAGAACGTGCTGCTTAACCAGGAGGCTTGGCTCAGAGTGGGAAGGTGATAGAACTGAGGGCTCAGGGGCCTGGCACACATCTGTCCTGAGGACAGTGGAGCCCAGGAGCACCTGGCAGGAGAATGGCATGGGCAGCACCCTCACTGCAGGGTGGAGGGTGCACAGGATGGAGAATGTGACTGGTCACCATGGGAGGTCACATGATGACCTGGGGAGTTGTGATAGTGGCTTAGAGCGGCATGGGAAGGGAGTGTAAGTAGAAGAACCTCAGATGCTTTACAGATTTAACAGGGATAACCCCATAAAGTTAGTTTGGTGTCATTCTCATGTGGAGACATTTTTGGTTGTCACAACCCAGTGGGACAGGACTGTTACTGGCACCTGGTGGGCAGAGGTGAGAGAGTTGAACTTCCTACAGAGATGGAACAACTACACACTACAAAGCCCTGAAGCATCAACAGGGACCAGGCTGAGAAGCCCGAGGTGGCTGGCCTGGGTGGAGGGGAGGATCCCCACACATTGGGGCTGGCCAGGGCAGGAATGGCCAGTGGTGGCACGCTGATGTCCAGGACGCAGTCAGCTGAAACGCTTACCAAGGGGCTGCTGCAAACTCACGCAGCCAGCACAGAGGCTTCGGGGAAGAGATGAGAAACTGAAGCACAGGGCAGCTAATGCTACCACTGTCACGTGGCTAAGGAATAGCAGAGAGGGTTCCTAAGTCCTGGACCATTACTCTTAACTTGTTCTGTCCTTCTACAACCCCAGGCCTCAAGTCCAGGCTCCGAGCCCCTGGTCAGCAGGGCTGAGAACACCACAAGCCTCCACCCTACAGGGCCACAATGCCCCGAGACGGAAGAGGAGGGGGGCGGGGCTTTCCCCACAGAAGCCTCTGACTGTGAATCCCTGCCTCCACCTGGAGGACATTCTCCAGGCAGTTAACACCAGGGTCCGCTTCCCCTGGAGGGAAGCTTATCTCCTCTCAAAGCCTCCTGGGCACAGCAGAGCCTCAGTCCCACCTTGCACCCAGCACACACAGGACACAGCGTAAGAAGCCCCTTTCCACTCAACAATAGCTCAGGACGTCCTACGTGCATCAGACCTGTTCACTCACATCATCCTCACAGCAGCCCTGGAAGGCAGGTGTTGCTAGTATCCCCATCTTACAGATGAGAAATGGAAGCACAGAGAGGTCGAGTAACTTATGGAAGATCACACAGATTGTAGGTAAAGTTGGAGCCAAGGTCTGAGCCCGGGTAATCCGGCTCTAGGCATGAGGTTCCTAATCCCTACCATATTACCTCTCCAACACACTGAGGTGAAGCTATATGCCCTGTCCTCCTTGATGGCTGCAGCTCACACAGGAAGGGGTGCTCAACAGAAGGGCCTCCTGATGCATGAAGGGTAGGGGCAGTTGCAGTGGCCCTGGAGACCCAGGGCTCCATCAGAGGCATCTGCTCTCTAGTACCAGTGCTGTTCTCTCCAACCTCAGGGGAATGGAGTAGCCCCCACACACCCTGCCCCACTGCTGGGGACTCAGCGCAGCCCATGTTGCTGCCAGGCACATTCTGCAGCCAAAGCCACAAGGGCTGCCCAAACACCCCCTCAAAACTCCCCACCAGGGGGCTCCCAAGGGGCAATCAGCTGTCAGCAGGGCATCTGGCCATGGCATGAGAACTGCTGAACACAGGGGTGACCCACCTGAGGGGCCAATGGGGGATACTGAGTCACCCTGGGCAAGGGTGCCAATGCAGGTAGTGGTAAGCAGAGCCCATGGCCTCTTTATCCGGCTGTCTGATCAGCCTGCCTGGAGCATGGAGGGAACATGGTTTGAGGCTGAAGCAGACCCTGTATTTTCTCCCCAAGGAAAGCTAATATTGGAGGGGGCTTTGGGCCAGCAGAGCTCACTCCCTGAGGCCCCACCCAGGGTGCTAGGTTTCAGACAGGCTATGCTGGGAAGCTGAGGCTAAGAGTCAGAGTCCTCAAGTTCCTCTTCCCAGGAGAGAGCATGGCTGCGTGCGTTTGTTTTCATCTCTCCCAGAGTTCTCAAGATTCTGACATGTCACATGGGTGCCAAGGGCTGTGAACTGCCCTGAGCACCCATCCCTCCCAATCCAAAAGCCCACTCCACCTGCCAGTGCACACTGCTGCCAGCAGGGCTGGGATCAGGCAAGGCTGCCAGGCCCTGCCCACTGCTGCCAGATCGCTGTGTATCAGCTCCTTCCAAAATAGCTCCATGCCGTTGAGCTTTCAAATTCCATTCTTGCTCCCTGGCTGAAGACACCCTTTGATGCCCAGGCCTGGAAATGCATGCTCTGAAGGAGCAGTGCGGCAAGCTGCTCGCCTCATCCCACCTTGCCAGGGGAGGGAATCTGATGCCCCAGCTTCCTGGGAACAGGGCCATCCCCTCCCTCTGGGTGTTGAAGGATCAGAACCCAGAACAAGGACCTGGGCATGGGGAGACAATGTTGTGTGGAGGGGAGAAGTGGGGGTACACACGTCTTCATCCTGGAAGTGTGTGTGGCCCTGGTGGCCAGGTGGTACACTGGGCAGCGTCCTGGACTGGCAGCCAGGAGACCCAGCTTCAAGTCCTACACTCCACTCCCCACCTGCTCTGTGGCCTCCTGTGCTCAGTTTCCCCAGCAACCATTCTCCAAGCCATGAGTGTTTATTTCGAACCTCTGGACGTGTTCTGGCCCGGCCCCAGATAGGTAGGTGTTGGGTAGCTCCAGGAATTGACATTTGAAACAAGTATCCCAGAGGCTTTGAATGCTGACATGCTGTGAACCATCTCATGAGAAGCGCTGATGTAGGTTAGTGGAAAAAAACAGAAGGCGCTGAAGCGAGGTGGATAAGGTGCACCATCCCAAGGGGAATCCAGGGCCACATGCAGCCCACTGGCAAAACCTGAGGCTCTGGCTGAAGGACAGCGCTGAAGGTGCCCACCTCATGGCCTGGTGCCAGCGCCAAGGCCTTCAAGACAATGCTGGCCAGGCCTTCATCATTCTGCCTTTTACTTTCTATTTCTTCTGTTTCTCTTCTACAACTCTGTGTCCCCTCCACTTTCTTCTCTTCCTTCTTTCCCCCTATTTCATGGACTTTGGGGACTGCCTGCTTTACACCTACATTCTGGGGTAAATGGCAACAAATCTGAAGACAGAGACCGTACCCTCCAGAAGTCTGCACTCAGGCTCCCAAGCCCTGTCCAGCTCTATCATGTCCTCCAGAAAATAGAGAAGCTGCTGCTGCCCACACTCCCACACTCAGCCATGCTGCCCAGCCACCAGGAGGGGCAGGAGGCAGAAAGGGCTTGATGACCCGAGGAACCCGAGCCAGCCCCAAAAGGCCATGCCAGTAGATGGAAGCATAGGTTTTGAATCCTGATGCTCTACAGGTGGGGGACCCTGAGTGATGTGCCACTCTGTGCCTCAGTTTCCTCATGTGTAAGTGGGATGGTGATCACACTAGTGTGTACTGAGCACGTGCTACGTGCTGAACTAGTGCTTTACACTAGTGAATGTCCTTATGCCATCCCTACGTCACCAAACCCCATGTTCCTATTTTACAGATAGGGACGCTCAGAGGGAAGAAGTGTAGAAACTTGCCCCAGGGGCTGCACAGCTCATAAGTGACACTATGGCTTTAGAGTCCATGTATATAATCTCTCTCCTGTACTGATTCTATTAACTACACCTTACACAGCCGGGGGGCACTTGGAACACTGCTTGTACATGACAAATACACACAAAAGTGGCAGCAGTTACTATTGTTGCATTTGCCTAACTTGTTTTCCTGCAAAGCAGGCCCTCCAGCCTGGGTAAGCCAGGGCAACACACTCTCTCCTGGCCATATTTCCGGGGAGGTGGTCAGAACAGCGTGAGATGGAGCCCAAGAGAGGGATTCCCTGTTCCAGATGCTTCTGGGTTTGTGCCAAAATAGTAAAGCCAGGATCCTACTTCCCAAGTCTCCAGGTTGTTGGCTGTTTGATGGCTGGACACTGGACAGCTCCTTTTCCTACTTGGAGGGGACACCGATGTCCAGCCCCCCAGTGCAGCACAGGCCTGAGATGAGGAGGTGGGGTGGAGCTCTTACTCGGCCTCCACATGGGCACTCGGTGGGGTCTGGAAAAGCCCTGCAAGGTGGACTGGCCACGCCAGGTGGAAGCTGCCTGCTTCTCATCAGGGACTCCCAGGAACTCTATTCTTAGGGTGCTTCCTCTTGCTTTTAACTTTGACATCTTCCAGAAGTTTCCCTGCACAAAAGCAACCCTGCTGTGGCTGTAATTTACACATCACATTACTTGCACACAGCACAGTCCACCCCCTTCAACCCACTCCTGCTCTCGTACCTTCCCCTGCCTGCCCTGCAAAAATGGCTTCTGCATCATCCCAACCACCCTCCTGGCCCAGCTTCTCTCTCCAGGGGACAGCAAGTGACATGTGAAACTGACAGAGGAGGGGGAAGGAGGGCCGAGGAAATTCAGGTAAAATCCAAGCTTTGGAACTTCCCCGTTTCCGGGCTGGGCATCACTTCTGCTTGGCGGTCGACATTGCCATGGCAACAGCCCAGCTGTGCCCAAATGTCCCAGCCTGCCACCCAACCTGGGAGCACCCAGTGTGAGCCACTTACTGTGATGGTGTTTTCCTTGCTCTGCTTTTTGCCTGGTGAGGAGGATCCCAGGTTCTGGAGAGAGAGGTAAGAAATATCATCAAAGCTGTTCTCCATATTGGACTTTCTTTTTCCCCATTCAGGTTCCCTGAGGGTGGAGGATCGGTTAAAATCCCTGTACTGGTGAAGTTCAGGGATGTTCAGCCTGCCATTAACTCCTAAGTCACCATAGTCTGGGCCAGGGCAGGCAGGAAGATCTCCCGAGTCCATGCTGCTCCCATGCTCAGCTCTCCGGCTACAGGCAAAGGGGAAAAAGGCTTGTGAAGAAGCTCTGAGATCTGCTCCAAGCCAGGTCTCCCCTCCTCTCTGCTCAATCTGTGATTTGGGGAGTTAACCCCTCTGCTGCCCTCTGCTGATAACAGGTTGTACGCTGCTCACTAAGAACAGAATCTACCCGGGAGCAGAGAGTTAAGGCCAATCACAGGCCACCACCTCCTGCCAGTGGGGATTCAGCACGTGACATCTTATTCTGAAACTCTCAGGTCCCAAATATCAAACCCTAAGTATGGATAACATGCACAGAGGCGCTGCTCAGTAACTGCTGAGACTTGCCGTCTCCCAGCCCCAGGAGCCAGGAACCATTTCTCAGCCAAGCCAGCGTCAGCTTCCACTCAGTCTCTGGGTTGCCTTTTCCTGTCTTCCCTGCTGCCAGCAGGAAGACTGAGGTCCCAAGTACCTCTGAGCTCACAGGTCCTTGGCAGGGGTCCTCACCAAAGTCCTAGACTGGGGTGTGCTGGCACACAAAACAAAGGGCTGCCAGCTGAAAATGTCACATCTGTATTAAGAGCAGATGACCCTAAAGACAACGTTCACCCCTGGGTCTTCCTTGTGCAATTAGCAGTTACATTAGGGATTCGACACCAGAGGTCCCAGGCAGCACCTGAGATGTCTCCTTCCTGAGCCCCACAATGACCTTACCCCTCAGCTACTGTGGGTGGGCATCCTGTGTACATCCTGGCACTGACATCCAGACATACCCTATCCTTGGTGGAACAGAAGAAATGTCTGTCACTTAATAGATAAAGTGCCAGGAAAAGCATGCAAGGGCTTTGCCAGTGAGATGCAAGGAAACCAGCAGCCATCCCTCTCACCCACCCTCAGGCCAGTCCAACCCTTGACCACCCTACTGCTGTGGGTAAGTACCAGTCCTTCACTTGGGAGCTGGACTAAGTGCTCATTTCTTACTGCCTTATAGTCCTCCTTTGGCTGGTAAATAAAATCAGCTCATGAAAATTGACATCCTTAGAGGACTTAGCAAAAAGTAACTCTCTTCAGGACCATGCATTTCACAGACAAGAAACTGATTACTGGTTTTGAGACCCTCACCAGGGATTCTGAATTCTTTGAGTCTCAGTTTTGCCATCTATAAAATGAGATCATTACTGCTGGTCTTTAGGCTTTGAGGTACATCAGGACTAACTGAGGAGCCTACCCCAAATGAGACTCAGCTCTACCTCCCAGAGCTGCTGCTCTAGCAGGTCCCTGGTGGGGTGAGCTGGCCCCACGCAGAACCTGCAGCCCTCACTTGGAGGCATGCTGATCTGGTCAACCTTCCATCATTTTATCAAGGTGTCTACTTACAGCAACTCCTCTCTGGCTCCTTATAGTTGTTCAGTTTCCATAATTTTTTTTTTTTTTTGGGTACCGGGGATCAAACTTGAGAACTTGTGCTTGTGAGGCAGGTGGCAGAACCACTGAGCTAAATCCCCAGCCCTCCATAAATATTTTTAAGGGATCAACTCGTCCATATGGCCAACCCTGCACCCTCCCATGCTATTGGTTCTATCCCAGGTCATGTGCCAAAGTTGCTGGTGGAAGAAGGCAAACAGAGGCTCCATGGCAAGAGCCACAGGTGCCAGTCACTGAGGAGAAGAGACAGGGACAGAAGTCTATCCCAAGGTTCTTCCATGCAGAGACACTGGCCCAGCACATGTATGCCAGGAAGGGGGAGGGTTGCATCTGTGGTGGATTCTGTAGTTTGCTGTCTCCCTGTCATGGGCAAACACCGCACTACCACTATCACTCCATGCCTGGCACCCGGTGCTCCAGCATCCTTGGCCAGTCTTTGAGTCCACAGGTGGATGCTGCTGTTGCTGGGGATACAGAGACGGGTGAGGAGGAGGACTAAGAGGGAGGAAGCATTGCAAAAACTACTGCCACTGAGTGCTTGCTTATCTCAGCAAGCACCAGGCTTGGCATCTGACATATTTAATCTTGCTTAATCCTTGCAACCCTCGAAAGTTGTGTGGTACCTTATCTGTTTTTGCAGAACATGATACTAAGGCTTGCAGCCCCTAAATCTTCCAGGGTCACAAGACTGGTAAACAGAAGAGTGGAAACCAGACTTGAGGCCTTCGTATTTCTCTTTTCTATCTTCTATCATCGCTTCACTTTGAGACCTGGGACAATGTCTTGCTTTCCAGGTGTCTTTACAGGGATCAGAAGAGATCTCCATCTTCTACTAGCATTCATTTCAAGACTGCTGTGTACAAAACTCCATGGAATGAGATTGGACACAGAGATCACACCTGCTCCCTATGACTTAGGTCAGGACAGGAACACAAGCTGCACACAGAGGGTGGGTTCTGTGTGTGGGAGTCCGTGTCTCCCCTGATCTCTGCCTTGTTGGCCAAGGATCACTTCAACCAGGGTTGATCCGAGACTAAGGGGCCACAGGCAATACCGGTCTCTGTGACTGGTGCTGCTGATCTGTGCCCAGCATTCCAGCTTCACGTGCATGCGTCATATATGTGCAAAGATAAGTACCTATATATGCACCACACATACACACACCCTCTACTTTGTATCACTGAAAAGGCCCAGAGGGAAAGACACTGCATCACAATGTCAGCATTTACTAGCTACATAATTTGTTTCTAAATACTCTTCCCCACTAAAAGGAACCTAAGCTCCTTGGAAAACATGGCTAGTCCCAAATACATTGTAGATCTGGAATATCTAACTGCGGCAGAAGCTTAAGAAAATGCATAAATAGTAATGATGATGTAACAAAAGCACATAAAAACCTTCCTTTAAAGGGCTCCCACAGACTACGTTTGGGGCAATCTGAGCATGAATATGAAAAATGACTACAGTTGACTCACTCCAAGGTGGGGGAAGAAACAATTCATCTCAGAAAAATGCCAATAAAATGTACCAAGAATTAGAAATTCACCATTTGGGAATCACAGTGTCAAAAGAGATTCAGGCCATCACAGATGTTCAAAGCTCTGAGTGAAAAGACTGTTAGAGAACAGGACAGTCACATAGTATCACACTGGCATCTCACAGATTACTGACAATTTAGGAAAGAAAAATGTACCCCTTCAAAGGAGGAATCTAGTAGTCACCACATTAGCCAAGAGCTCACACAGTCTCATCAGCAGGTTGCAAACCTGGGAGCTGTGCCTCTGGATGCATGAAGCACTCAACGTGCTTAGAGAGTGTGCTCACCAACACCGTTTAATGGGAATCCAAGAACTCAACGCATCTAAGCACAAGAAAGCAGTTCAATCCAGAATGTAGGTCATTCTACAAGACAACTGATCTGGCCTCTCCAAAAAGTCAACGTCAGCAAAGACCGGAGAAAAACGTCTGAGTGATCAACCTAGGTGAAAAGAGATTAAAGAGACAGCTAAAGATAAAATAGATAAAATAGATAAAATGTTCCGTCTCCGCACAATGGATCGCTACTCAGCCACAGGAGTGAAGGTCTGACCCAGGCCACAACACTGGCCTCAAAAACACAAGAAGTGAAAGCAGCCAGTCACAAAGGCCCTCAAATAGCACGATTCCACTACATGCAATGTGCAGAGCTGGAAAATGCAGAGGAAGAAAGTAGAACAGTAGTTGCCTACGACCTTTTGGGATTTTTTGTGGGATGATGAAAATATTCCAAACTTCATTAGGATGATAGTTTACAACTTCATGAGCACACTAAAAAACCCAGTGATTGTACAAAAAGAAAAAAAGAGAGCAAACGGTACAGTACACAAGTTACATACTAACAAAGCTGTTTTTAAAAAAGAGAGACAGACAGGCTGAAGAAACAGCAACGAGTGAAACTTGAGTGGATCCTGGACCGGGGAGACGAGCTGATACAAAAGACAACTGGGGACAACTGGCAAATTTAAATTGGAATATATATTAGGTAATACGACTGAATTTGTTTTAAGTGTAATAATGGTATTGCGATGTTTTCCCCCTTTGAGACACATTTGGAAACATTTGCATTTAAAACAATGTATCAAGAAATTGCTTTAAATAATGAGGAGGTGGGAGAAATAGGGGGCTGCAATAGGGAGCATCAGTGAAACAAAATTAGGTTTAAGGCCGGTAACTGCTGAAGTTAAATGACAGTTCCATGGTACTTTGTTATAGTATTCCTTCAACTGTCATAAAGGTTTGCACATTCCCATGAATATTTTAAGAATTTACTTTGCTTCTGATTCCATAGAATTCCTCTCCTCCTTTTATATTTTAAATCCCTCTCCAGCCTGGGGTCCTCCTGACTCCACCTGGGCAGCTCTGCTGTCACCATGAGGACCAACAGAGGGTGGGTCACACACCAACTGCTGCTGTAGCAGGCCATTCACAAGGGATTCAGCAAGCCCCTGCTCCACGGCCTGTATCTGCCCCCTGAAAATAGTATTCTGGGCCCTACTCCTTGGGCAGGTGGGATTCTGTAGGAAATCCCTCCATGGCTTCCAAAAACTGTTGGCATCAAACCTGAGCATCTCGTGAGAGGCCCATGCAGACAGCTCCAGCCTCATCTTCCGCCCTCCTCACTTCTAATTTAATAAGACACAGCCTGCTGCACTGTGCCTCTGTGGGTTCTTTGAAAACATCCTTTCTTTCTTGCCTCGAGGCATCCACACAGGCTCTTCCTTCTCCTGGAATGTTGTTACCCCCTAGTCCCTACATCTTTGCCAAGCTAAACCCTTGCTCATCCTTTCCAGTCTTCTCAACAAAATATCTTTTCTTAGAGAGAACATTTCCACAGCCACCAGACTAGGTCCTCATAGCAGACACTTCTCCATCCCCTGGCACCACTCGATTTACATAATCACTTATCTGATTCTGTTCAGTACCAGCTACAAACTTTCATTGAGGCAGGGGTTACATCCTTATTGGTCTCCCTGCCTGTAAAGATGTAAATGCTCAATAGAACGTAGGGTCCTGAATTAAGGGAGAAGGCGCAGAGACTCAGCATCTCACTCTTACTTAATTTTCAATGGCTTTCTTCAGTGGGCCCCTTAAGTCTCTAAACCTCGAGTCTTATTCTTTTTCCTCCCTCCTGTGTTTTCCTGGAGAAGATATGGGAAACCAGAAGAACTGAAAGATGGATCACAAAAGGGCCTAGGCAAGAAAGAAGAAAACTGGCTAGGACTGGCTTCTATAAAGGCTGGCAAGACTATTAGTCTTTGATCCCTCACCCCCTCTCAATCAGGAGGACCCCTTTGACCCAGAACCCAGGCAGTAGTCCACCCCAGGCCCTCAATACTGACACCCTCCAATGCGTGGCGACACATCACTGCCATCCCCTCTACGCACCTGTTCAGGTCTCCCCAGGGCTAGGCGAAACATGGCGCAGGACCCAGCCATCAACCCTGCCCTTAATAGAGTACAATGAGGACATACTCCTGACTTCCATTAAAATTCGGCATTTCCTCCCTGTCCTCTCAACTTTCTATTCTTCCCGATGAGCCTACTCAAGGGTGGCAACCAGCAGGCAGCATAAAAAGAACACAAGACTTTCAGGATCTGGGGCTTGTTATTCTGGCCTCTGTCACTGTCACCTTGAGCAAGCCACTTTACTGCACACCTTGCCATACTGCATCTGGCACATGTTCATCTGCTACTTCATCCATCCATGTTACAATTATTATTAAGAGTAATTATCATGAGTTATGATGGACAGCCTGGGGAGGAATGAGCAAATTACCCTGTATGCCGAGGACAGTATGCTTAGGGATCCTTCGCGGGAGCACTGTTTGTGAACCGCAAACCTTTTTAACACATGTACATATGTGTTTAGGCTTTAGTGGCTTCTGTGGATAACCAGCTTTGCAGGTTCACAAAGTAGGATAAAAAGTCATAGCTTTTGGGGAGGCTGTGGCAGGAGGATCACAAGTTCCAAGCCAGCCTGGGCAACTTAGCAAAACTCTGTCTCAAAAATAAAAATAAAAGTGGCTGGAGGTATAGCCCAGGGGTAGATAGAGCATTTGTCTAGCATGTTGAAGCGCTGGGTTTCATCCCTACTACCCACCCCCCCCGCCCCGCCAAAAAGTGTAATGTTGTGTTCATTTTAGGAAATGTGAAAAACAGTAAAACATGTGAAGGAAATAAAAATTACTCATGATGTTTGAGCAAGATTCAGAGAATTCCTATTCCTCAGCAGAATTCCTATTTTCAAACTGGGTGATTCTTGTGGGAAGAGCTGTCCTGTGCATTGTAGGATGTTTGTTTAGCAGCATGCCCGGCATCTACTCAGTAGATGCCATTAATACCCCCTCCGTAGTTGTGCCAATCAAAATGTCTCCACACATCCTCTGATGCACAAGTGAGATCTCAGATGCAATAAACCACCACAAATTCTCCCAGACATTGTTTTCTTCACATAAGCATAGTTTTCCTTCTCTTGAATAAGACTGACTATACATACAGTATACGTAGTTTATGTTCTCCTTGTCCTATTCAATATTAAGTTGTGAGAACTTTCCAAATCACTGCATTTTCTGTGGAAGAATGCTTTTTAATGAGTGTATAATATCACTGGCTGGCTGTCTAGTGCCATAATCCATTTTTCTCATCCCTTGTTGCTGGGCAATTAGGTTGGGTCCACTGTTACGGGGCTATAAATAATGCTTGAGTGAACAGCCTTAAACATAAATCAAAATCCCTGAATATATTCCAAGAACAGATGCTAGAAGAGAAATTCCGGTGCCAGAGGCTTATGATACACTATTAGGTCAGCTTCTAAGTTATAAGTCAGTTATTCCAGCAAACACTTTTTAACTGGTTAAATAACAACTTCACGCTACTTCTGGAGGCAGAGGGTGTCGTGTTTTATTAGGGAAAGAAGAATGGGAAGCGGTTTCCAATATTCTTCCTCACGGTGCTCAAGCTAACACCAGTGTTCTTGGTCATTCATAAACTGCAGCAGAACTTAGGCTGTGGTCTTCAGAGACGCCCTCCAATCAGATGGCAAGTAAATTTTCCTTCCGACACAGTGACAGGAGCTGTGCTAAGGAGGCTATGTGGGGCGCTGGCAGGAAACGTTCGAAGCTGGGGTTGATTCACCTGGGTGACGTGGGCAGAGGAGTGAGGCGGACAGGTACATCACTGTGTATTGACTGAGCCTAGGTCCCTACTACTCAGGCTTGCGCCCCAGGCCAGCAGCATTGGCAGCACCTGGGGACTGGCTGGAAATATACGCGTCATTGCAGGCCTCCTGGATAAGAATCTGCATTTTAACAGGCAGCCAGGAGACTCAGACGTCCATCAGACTTTGAAAACTCTGACCTACACTGATGTTCAAATTCTTTGCCAGCGTTGACTGAACTGAACCTGACCCCAACCGATGCTTAGCTTCTTAAGAGAGCAACTCAGTAAGTTTTAAAAAACTAACATTCTCATCAATATTGAAACTGGGTGTCACACTTTAGAAATGGTACTAATAGAGCACAGGTCTTTCATTTTAATTCTAGGAAAAGACCTCTGGATTTTGGAAACTTCATTAAGAACCCCTCCTTGATAATTTGTGAGTACACTAGGTAAGACCAGGCCTAGTTTCTTAGACGCAGCTTAATGTACCTGGAGAAACCATGGGATTGGGTGTCGGGTCCACTCTGACCCCGCGGTCACTGTGTGAGCTTGCACGAGTTACTTAAGTATTCTGTGCTCCTGCGGTTTCACGTACAACATGGGAATGGTTCTGACACCCACCTTGTGCAAGTGTCAAAAGAGATGGTGAATAAGAGCAGTTTGGGGAATCTTAAGACATACTTCCAATTCTTCTTATTCCATAGCTGCCTCTATGTAAGCTTAGCAAGCTGAGATGAACAAATTTTACTAAATTCCAAGTCTGAGTGGGAGCAGTAGGGGATAGAAAAGGACACTGAACTGGATCGTCCATACTCTTCATGTGATGGAAAACCTGGACTCTGTATCAGGAATGCAGACAGCAGAATGGACCCTTCTGGCCTGACAGTGACAAGTAATGTCCATCAGCTCCTCCAGCAAACCACCTTTGGTGTCTACGAAACTAGCAGACTTTAATCATCCAGCCCTCTCCCCACCAGGAAAGAACAGAACAACCCAGACGGGCCACTCACTTTCTACTTGGGGCAGAATGGGGCTATAGTCAGCTAGACTCTCACAGTGTACCCATCCTTAATGAACCCTTCCTGGGGCTGCATAAGCAGCTATCCCTACTTCCCTTAAAGGGACGCCTTACCTGGGAATCACCGGTGGATTTTCGGAGACTCATGTGGGCAGTCTCTGGAGGGTGCGCTGGGGTCCCTGATGCGTGGTATCCATTCACTGCGGGGACAGAGACATGGCTCAGATGCTGCGTGGGCCACAGACAGGCACCCTCGACTTTGGCCACTGTGGCCCCTGTTCCCACCTCCTCCCCAGGTTCTGGGAGGTGTCACGTAGCTAGGTACGTCTCTCAGGATCTTTTCAGTAGTTGCAGAGCTGGAAATGGGTTAAAAGCATCTCTCTAATCCCCAGCACTCAAATTACAGAACTCTCAGGGGACTGAGTTTCTTCTCCATGGCCAGAAATCAGTTGGAGTCTCAGGTGCCGGTCAAGTGTCCCATCACTCTACTGTGCCAGGTGGCCCCTCTGCCACCTTCCTACCATCCCTTTCCTCTCTCTCTCTGAAGCATCTCCAGCTTCAACCTCAGAGCACTGTGATGTAGGTACAGGCTGATCATCCCTTATGCAAAACGCTGGGGACCAGAAGTGTTTCAAGTTTAGGATTTCTGTGGATTTTTGGAATATTTGCACAGATTTTGCATGGGTTGAACATCCTTAATCCAAAAATCTAAAATCTGAAATGCTTCAAAATCCAAACCTTTTGGACATCGTATCTCTGTTCAAAAAGTTTCTGATTTTAGACTTTCAGACTAGGGATGCTCAATGTGTATAACAGGACAGAGGACTGGGTCTACTGGTTGCATGAAATTTGGCTCAGCCAATTACTACCATAGTGATCACACACAGGCCATCTTGAGTCTCAGTATTATCAAAATTAAAAGGAAATAATTGAGGGCTCTAGAATTCTATTTCTAGGAATATATGCCTGCTGGAGGGCATGCTCTCATGCTCCTAATGTGCCAATAAATGTACTCTCTCAGGGGAGGGGCTATCTTTCAACCTCTGTGGCATAACCAGCTTGCCCCACGGCCAGCCTCAACCCCACAACATGGCTGCATGCTCCTGACATCACAAGCTTACACTGAGACCCAAGCATTCTCAGTCCCTACAGTTAGTGCAGCTCCCACTCAGATACAGTAACTTGAGCCTAAGGAAGCCAATTCTCCCCAGTGAGCCTCAGCCTCATGTGCCTGTCAAATGGGCATAATTCCACATAGTCCTCAAACCTGGTTTGTTAGTGCGATAATCCAATGAGGCAGTCATTGCAAAAGGGATCTGTATGCTAGTACTCATTAAAGCAGGAAGGAGGGGTGTGAGAGGGGAGGGCTACTACTTTTGTTCCTGAATTCAGCCCCACAAGCTTGCACAATCTCTGGAGACCAGGAAAGCAAGCCATCCTCAAATTCCAGGACTGGGGAACTGCCAATGTGTACACACAGTGCAGGTTGGACTAGAGGAAGGTATACAAACTGAAGTCCACCTTACGAGTCTTCTTCAGAAAACTCTGCAGGGTGGCAGGAAGCAAGTAGAAAAGAGCTGCAAGTTGCCAACACCTGCCATAGGTTAAACATCCCTTATCCAACAGTCTGAAATGCTCCCAAATTTAAATGTTTTGAGTGCTGACATGATGTCATGAATGGAAAATTCCACATCATGTAACTCCTTCATGCATATAATTACTGAAGATATTGTATAAAACTGTCTTCAGGCTATGTGTAGAAGGTATATGTGATATATGAATGAATTTCATGTTTAGACTTGGGTGTTATCCCCAAAACAGTGTGTTATGTACATGAGAGTATTCTCAAATCTGAAAAAGTCACCAATCTGGACTACTTCTGGTCCTAAGCATTTGGGATAAGGGACATGCAGCCTGTCATATGAAGTGGCAGAGGCTGGACTAAAGCAATGGGCAGTGGGATGGTGAAGACCATTCCAGGTGGAACCCTTTTCGTGCTGAGGGATGGACTGCATGCTCTACCACTTGCAGCAAAAGAACCCAGGCCCATGTGCAAACAGTTACACTCAGCAGAGCACCTGTGGGCAGTTAGCTTCTCTCCGCTCTACAGGGTCTGCCAGATACTCCTGAAGAAGGGTGGGAGCACACACCAAGGAGAAAGTGGTATAAAACAGGTCCCTGGTGCAGCGGCTCACAGAAGCAAAAACAAACAACAAATTAACCTTGTGTGGCCAGGTTCACACCCATGCCCCTCAGGCAGCATATGACCCAGTTAAAAAAGCAGCTGGGGAAAGGAGGCTGGGCCCATAATCCCAGTTACTCAAGAGGCTGACACAGGAAGATCACAAGTTTAGGGACCACAAGGTGACTCTGTGAGACCTTGTCTCATTAAATTTAAAAAGAGCTAGTGATGCAGTTCAGTGGTAGAGCACTTGCCTAGCATACCTACATCAAGGCCCTGGGTTACATCTCAGTATACAAAGGGGGTGGGACAAAACTATAACAGCATCAGGAAGGATGCTGAGGGGCTGAAGGGAACCTACTCAGACTGGTATGAAGCTACAGCAGTACAGGTATCACACTAATGACAAATACATCTTACAATGAAGCTAACACTCAAATTTTACTTATCAAACAACATAGTACTGAAATGGATAAAACACAAATGCTAGAAAAGTTTAGAATCTGCATTTCAGTCTGGGACTGATTAATAGGCAAGGATAGGGACAAACAAGATCTCAACAGTTTTAATTTTAAAAGCTAAATGAAAGATTTATTAAACATTCTAACCCATAAACAAAAAATAGCATCTTTTGCCAAGAAGCCACAGAACATTTAAAAAGTTGGCTATATTTTACTCGCAAATAAGTCATCAATAAATGGCAAAGGAATAAATAACATGGGTCATATTCTTTGACTAAAAAGCAATAAAAGTAGATATAAATAATGAAAAAATAAATACACAAAGTCCCCAATATCTCAACTCCCAATCACTTGGAAACTTAAGAAAATGCCCCCTTAATCTTAGGTCAGAAGAGAATTTAAGACTACAATTACCCAAAACTGAGAAAACAGTAAAGAAGCACATACAAAAACAAATGGGATAAAGCCCAAATTATCTTGGAGGAAAATCCATAACCTTAATTATTTCATTATCAAACCCAGAGGAACAAAAATAAATGGACTAAACATTCAATTTAAGATTTTGGAAAAAAACCCTTAAAGGCCAGTGAAATAAACCAAAGAAAAACAGGAGAAAGGAATATCGATAGAAATTAATGAGTTAGGACATAAGATGGTAAGAACACAGAGCTGGTTGGCTGAGTGTATATGTGCAAGCATGCAAGTGTGTGTGTGTGTGTGTGTGTGCATGTGCCTGTGTGTGTGCGCGTGTGTGTGCGTGTGTGTGTGTATGATTCCCCAGGGTCAGGGTAGGAATCACAACAGTAACGAAAGGAGATGAGCCAGCCTAATGTGAAAGTGAGCACAGACAGTCAGATTTAGGAATCAGAAAGAACACACGAGTGTAATAAGTACAGATCTTTTGCTGTTGTTAATACAAGAGCTCGTAATTTCTAATTCTCTGCTAATAAAAGCCAACCTTCCATAAGATTCAAGTTATCAAAATAACTTCAAGGAACACTAGAAGCATTAGAAAAGAGCAAAACCTTTGAAAAAGTATGGCCATGCATAAGCCACTGGACCCAGATAGTTTTATAGGCAAATTCATACAAAGTACGCAGAAAGAAATACCCGGGCACAGACTGTACCACAGTGCAGAAACATGTGCCAGCTTTCCTGGTCTATACACCAAGCCAGATTATCCCAATCCCCGTCAAACAAGGACAACACAAAAGTGAAGCACATAGGGCTTTACCAGAGCAAGTACAGTCACTATCTGCGATGCTACTGCATCCAGTAAACCAGGGTTGTTCCCCAGCTCCCTGAGAGTGGAGGCTGCCCTTCAGACCCCGACTTACTCCCTTCCCAGGACCTCAAAGTGCACCCTCACTGCGCTGCCCCCCCCTGCCCCCAGTTCCTGCCAGACTTGACATGCCCGGCACAGCCAGGAACAATATAATGCAGAGGCATTCTGCCCCTAATCCAACCCCTTTTTCTCACTTCAGTTCTGGTCTGTCAGCTGTTGGCTAATTACTACTCATGTCAAAACAATTACTGGGAAAGAAAAACTAATTTTCCATTCAACCATTTCCCCCCACACAGCACCTCTCCTCTGACACCCTGTCTCGTTGCATTGCTCTCTAATACTCCCAGGTGCAGTCAGAAAGCTATCAGTGGAGATCAGAACAGTTAGGGTCTGGAAGATCACAGCAACCTTGCCCACAAGCACGTGGAATTGGCATTCTCATTCTCTGGTCTCCCAACTCACAGGTGTCACGCACAAAGCAATGAGGCCAGACTGGGGGCTTTTGAAGGTCTCCAGCCTCTGGGGAGCGTGGGTGGGGGTATTACAGTTGGTTAAGAATCAGTCAATAACCATAAGGAATGTAATCTGATATACAAGAAAAAATGTAAAATGCCAACCCAAGGAGATTTTAAGTTTAAAAAGGGGAACAAAAACTTTACCTGGTAACTTTGGTAACTTGAATAATAAACATAAACACAGGCACCCACCCATTCAGTTCTGCCTTACAGGCAGTTAAACCAATAGAAAGAGATTGGGAGATGTACAATGAGAGGAGGGAACAGATATTTGGGTAGAAAGGAAGAGAAGGAGGTTGGAGTAGCAGGAAGTGGATAAAAACAGAAGAAGGAACATAAGAAAAATTATCGAGAGACTAAGCAACAAAGAGCCAGCAACTTCTGCCACCCAGAATTTACCCTTCCAGGAGCTCTGCTTCCATATTTCAGCCCCAGTCCCTGTTATGAACAGTTCCAACCCAAGCCCCATTGTCCAGGCTCCTGTTCCTTGAAAACACACAAAAATGTACAGGAAAATAAGCCCTTGGCACCTCTTTATACCTTCTTTAGCTTTGGGGTAATCTTCCCTCTCTCTGGAATGAGCACAGTAACTTATCCTCCCTCAAGTTAAGACTCCTGTGAGCTTTGAGGCCATGGTTCTTGAAATCCATCCATTCATCCATCTATCCATCCATCCACCCACCATTTTCCAGCCACTATACATTAAACATGGTAGAACACAATGTTTTCTCAGCTGCCTTATAAAGAACACCAATTC